CACTAAGAATCGTTTTTTTTTTCATTTTAGCCAGCATAACTTTTTTTAAGTAAATAACGACGCTTACCTTTCCTACAGAGCTTGTAAAAAATCCAGCGAAGGCAAATTAACAGACACAGGTGCAAGGAACTATTAAAAAGGCATTTTTACTCTAATTGGGGATAAAAGAGATTTATGAATGAATGAATGCAAATTTTGCAGACACGCTGAGTTGACGGTAAAAATACTGGGTTTTTGCCGAGTCGTAGCAGTATTTGTAAACTTGCGATGTTATTAAAATTTCTTATTTATTTTAACAAAAACTAGAAATCTTAACCTAGAATCTAGATTCTTAACGAATTGTTATTATTTACAATACCTATTACTTTTACTACTAATTTTTTTTTAAACGTAGCCCCACACTGGAGTTCTCTCCTGTGTCGTGGTTGCGTTTACAAACATACAAGTTCACATACACATGACATCCAGACCCGGAATAACAATCTGTGGATCATATGTACAAAGAGTTGCTCAGTGCGGAAATCGCACCCGCGGCACGTTGCGCGGCAGCCAGTTGCCCAACCACCGCACCAACCGTGCATTCAAATATAAAGAAAATATAAAGAACTACATGTACACTACATGACTGGCGAAGTAGCTGGACTGGGTTGCTGAGTAGCGAGCATCAAGTTCAACAAGTTCGAGTCTAGAAAAACTTAGAAGAAAGACATTGTAGCATTCATCAATGGAGCCACAGAGAACTTAACGGGTTACCGGGGCTCCGGCTCGAAGTGCAGGAGTAGGAACGGGGTGGTTTTTAGTCAGTAAGAGTCTGATACTCCTTCCCGCCGCACCTAAGCGGGAGAAGACATTCAATGATTTTTCACTCCTTAAAAAAAATCTTCATCAATATCAAAACCACTTGGCATGCAGCAAAAGATAAAACTCTTTATTTTAACTAACAAAGAGGCGAAAATAGATTGTGTTTCAAAAAACGGAGATGTTTGCACGCACGAATAACCAAGCAAAAGCCAGTAAACTGGTAAAACAGTGAGCAGATTGGACATAGGTATTGGTGTTCCAATCAGCGCTATGTACACGAAGTACGGATACTCAAACAAAGGGACTAACTCCAGCCTTGTTTGTGTCGGGACTAGGACACAAATCCAATTTAAAATCCACGTGGGTTCTGCTATCACTGGTGCTAGACCAAGGTAAGATCAACTATATTCACTGCTGGGTGAGAAGTCATAAAAGCGATTGCGTGACAATAAATTACGTATTTAATCTGTATTATTATCATAAGCTGGAATCGTTAATCCTCAATCCCCTATTTCCAATCTCCATTCTCCAATCTCCAATCGCCAATCGCTAATCTCCAATCTACAATCTCCAATCCCCAATCGCTAATCTCCAATCTAAAATCTCCAATACCCAATCTCCAATCTTTAATCCTAAATCCCCAAACCCCATTTCCCATACCCCAATCTCCAATCCTCAATCCCCAATCCCCAAACCCTAATCTTTGAGGCAATAGCCCAATTCTAAAAGTCCGACTATGATCTCCGGTGTTGCGGGTGCTTCCATCCACGAGTGAAATTATATCCTATATCCCAAACAAAAATAATACCAATAACAATTACAATAACGTTGAAAATGTATTAAAGATAGTATTTCGTATAGGGGAAACTTGATGAGCTGGCATCTAAACATAGATTCACCTACATTTGCCTGCCCTTTCTTTGAAAAAGGTTTTCTATCTTACTTTGGACACATCTTCATCTGATATCAACCTAGGTACCTGCTGTGAATGACAGCATAAGTTTTTGACAGCGCCATTAATAATATTGTTATTGTTGACTGAAAACAATCATAGTCTCGATGAGAAAGTTTCATTACCCTTTGATGTTTGAAATTCTAATCATAATAACAATATTAATGTTGAATTAGTATAGAGGTACTATTTGAGTAAATAAAGCAATAAAAAGCAGTAAAAAAGGCAAAAGGCTCACCCCGTATTACATGGGACTCATAACATAAATAGTGAAAATTGGGTGTTACATTGTACAGTGGCATAATGTACACCTGTGCCTACCCCTTCGGGGATAAAAAGACGTGATGTTATGTTATGTTTAACTAAATAAAGGTATTTTTAGTTACTTTTGGTTAGGTTTTAGCCCCATTAATTTTTTTTATGGAAAAGCTAGTAATCGACCTTTCACCTGATGGCAAGCAATCAGCTTCGCCCATGGACACCTGGAACACAAGAGGCGTTACAAGTGTATTACCGGCCTTTTGGGGATTAGGAATTTGAAGATTGTTGGTGATTCAGGGATTGGGGAGATTCGGGAAAGGGGGAGGGGTAATTGGGCCTCCAGTACCTTCACTCACACGACAAAACGCAACGCAAGCGTTGTTTCATGTAGGTTTTCTGTGAGCCCGTGGTATCACTCCGGTGGAGCCGGGTCGTGCCGAAGCATAGCTCTCAACACTTAAAAATTGTAAGAGGCTCAAAATGAAATAAATCTTCCAGATTTTTCGCAACATCTCTTATTCACATTCGGGTTTTATGGGTTGTACCTTCACATTGTAATTATTATTTCACAATAACAAATGTGATTTTCTATTGGTAACAGAATTTACAAAATCTATAGACTAGATCAGACTCAGACTCTTGATTTCTATTTATTTTTCATTATATCTCTCTTTAACGTCACTAAATTATTGTTCCGGTGCAAAAAGTAAAGTTTCAATTTAGAAAGAAAACACAATTTGTTTCTGTCTTTGTCATTTCGAGCGTGACGTCATTGACATATCATTAAAATGTGATTATGAATTAATAAACATGACATTGACACAATTAAACTCGAAGACTCCGAACTAATATGCATAGTAAAAGTATTTATAAAAATTATTAAAGAAATTTTAAACAAATTGTTTAAGCAAATATTAGGAAATCTGTGGATTTTATCTTTGGAAACATTTTCGTACAAATGAAAGACTGGAATCCGTGGGGTATCCACTAATTGGACTAACGACATCCACGTAACTTTTAACGACATAGATGTCGAAAAAAAAAATTGAAAAATAACACCTTGTTAACCTACTTTTTCGGGGTAACATGACATCGGGTTCCGTGCATTTTTGCACTGAAGATAAACAGAGACGAAACGTTGATATTGGGCCTTTTTCGAATTGTGTTGTTGGTACCTTGTCAAATTCATCACACCTATTATCATAAACCGTGCAGTTTTGTTTCATAAAATACAAAAATATGCCCGTTTGTAGAGTGGGGTCAAAAAAATTAACACTGGCTACTTTTCAGTTTAGTTCTACATATGTAAGTCTGCCAGGTGGCGCTGTATCCTACCTCACCCAGGTGGGAGCAGCGATATGATGATTTCCCGCCTTAAAAAAGAATTACGTAAAGGTATATCCGAATTTCAAGTACGACAGCATGTTTCAATTAAGCATTTGTCACTTAGAAGCATGACTAGCATGAGTGTCGGTATTTTGTTCAATCATTCGTTCAACTTTTGAACAGTTTTCAGCTAGCTCAATAGAACGTCTTTCAGTATACTATTTTGAGCATGAACAACAGTATCTAAGACTCGTACCATAACTAGTAAAAAGTTATAACATCATTTCATATTTACTCTTAACAGAAGATATATTTCAGTCATTTTCTACATACATATTAAGATATAGTACATACCCTTCATAAATCTATAAGTCCTGTAACGATGTGCCATAAAATATACATAATCTAATCACAGCGAGATTGAAAACAAATTCGATAAAAACGCGGTAGGCAGGATGCGTAGATCAATACTGAACGGGGCTGAGTAAGCGTTAAATCGTAGTTTAAATTATATTTCTGGGTTAATACTTCCTGGAATTTTTTGTTTTTATTTATACTAGTGATACTATATGGGCTTATAACCGGTTGTCTCCATAACTGTCGATATAGTACTTAGTCTTATCAACAATGTAACTAAGAATTGTTTTGTGAATCCGATTGAAATATAGTAACATATGGAGTTTCTTGCTTGTTCTTCTCCATAGGAATCTAACACTGTGGATCGAGCAAATAGCTTCACTAGAGGACTGACAAACAGATTGATATTTATAACATCTTTGATTTGTTTTTACGTTCAAAGTGCCTTCTTCGTCTAATTGAAGTAAATAATTTTGACTTTGACTTTATCAGGATTAATTTGCTTATTTCAGGAAAGCTTTCTCAGCTTGAAGTTATACTATTTGAGGTTTTTAGTCATTAAAAAATAAATGCTGCCTGCCTCGTTGGCCGAGTGGTCGCAAGTGCGACTGCCGGGCAAAGGGTTTCGGGTTCGATACCCGGGTCGGGCAAAATATTACTGGGTTTTTCAAAAAAATCTCAGTAGTAGCACGAAGTTTGCAAATGTGCCCGGTATATGGCAATAGGCTCACCCCCATAGTCGTTATGCAAACACGACCTCCAATAAGACAAATAAAAAATAGTGAACTTGATATATTCATTTTTACCGTAATACCTTTGACATTATATCACACTGACACATCTATATAATTAATAGTATCCATACTTATTTTCCTCCTCAAAGATTAATAGATGATCTAACTCATCGTTACCTATGTGTGAATTGTACCCAATATATGGCAATAGGCTCACCCCCTATTACATGGGACTCATAACATAAATAGTGAAAAGTGGGTGTTACATTGTACAGTCGCATTAAGTGCTGTAATGTGCACCTCTGCCTACCCCTTCGAGGATAAAAGGCGTGAAGTTATGTAAAAAATAAATCAGAAACAAAATTACATAGGCCTATGGCAAACATTCGTTTTTTATTCTCTTGCTTAAGTACCAGTTGGTACGCGGTCGTCACTATTGTTCGTCAATAGACCAGTCAAAAGATGTAGCGGTTTTTCCAAAAAGTGCACTTAGGGTTATACAATATTAGGTTCTGTATTACAATTTGTTTTATTATAATCATCATGTAACATAACTTAACTTATCACAATTATTTTGTTGCAAGCTTCTGTGGGACTGTTGTGGTAACCTTTATCGAAATTGTAGTTTCCGTACTATTAATTTTCTTGTCTGTGGTTGTCATGGTAACATTTTTATCAACAGTTGTTGGTAAAAGAGTACTTGGAGATGTAGCGTTATTTGGATTCGTATTTGGTAAGTTTGTCGTTGTAATTTCAACCTTTTTGGTTATAGGATTAAGGTTTGTAACAAGGCTGTCTTCAATGAATTTTGTTACATTATAAATATCTGTGTCATTCTTTTTATGGTTTTCTGATTTGTTAGATTTGTTTAGATTTAATAAGGAACTATTGGTTATCGTTGGTGCATGGATGTCGTATATTTCGTTTTCTGCAGGCCTGTAATAAAGTTATAATGGTTAATACATTGGATGTCGTGTACGCTGCGGAGGATTAACCCCTTAACAGTTTTTATCGGCAGCTAAAGGCTTAATGATTTCTTTTTTCTCTAGTAATCATTTTTAATCACATAGGGTCTCCCTGAAGTCAACGGTCAAACGTATTATTCCAACAGTTACCAGAAAAATACCTATAGAAAACGGTCGTTTGACTTTTGTTGCTAAAATTCTTAAAGATTAAGGTTAAGCTTAATAAAGAATTGTAGCAACAAGAGTCAAAAGACTGGCACATGGTGTACTTTTTCGTGAACACATAAGTTATTGTAAATTAAAAACTATATGACTTGGATTTGTTTCTATATTTTTTTGATAACTGTTGGAACCTTGCCGATAACTCGGTGCCATTTGATCGTCGACTTCAGAAACACCCTATATAGACAAGGCTGCACGCAATATGTTTTCTAATTTCTTTATAAAACTTACCCATCAGGGTGATTTTTCCATGAAATGTGTCTTTCGATTAACTTGAATCCATTGTTAGTAATATTATTGCAAATTACTCGTCTGTTAAAAGAAAAATAATTATTGAATTAATATTATATTAAAGACTAGGAAAACATTTCAATAAATAGTTATGTTAGCTAGAAAATTATACCTTATTTTTACAAGTACACGGAAGATTGAATCTTGATTTTGCTCTTGTTAGAAAAGCACTAGATATTTCTTCGAGTTAGAGTAGTATTAGTTGGTATTCTAACATTCTATTGATATAATAGCACATCTAAATTACTCAAACTACAACTGATTTTCATATAAAGGTCGTCTCAATTCACGGGACTCAATAACTTGAGCGTACCATAATGCCAAGCACGAGTAACTATCGCATTCGTAACGTAACAGTATCGAGCGCGTTCGGCGTTCTGATTGGCCGGCTCCGCCGACGTTACGAATGAGATAGTTATTCGTGGTTTTTTAAGGGTGAAAAATTATCGAATGACTGCTCCGGTGAGGCGGGAGGGAGTGTCACACTCTTACTGACTAAAAACCACCCCGTTCCTACTCCTACCCTTCGAGCCGAAGCCCCGGTAACCCGTTAAGTTTTCCGCGGCTCCGTATCGGCATCAGCCCTATTTTGCCCCATTCGTGGTGGTGTGATGGGTCTTTGAAGCCCGAACGAAACGCGACGAACCGCACGCTCGGGTACTTACTCGTGCTTTTCACTCAGAATTTTAAATCAAAGTACAAGTTCAAATGTTAATTTCGGTTCTCACCTCATTTGCGGGGTTACGTTTGAGTCAGATCGCAGTATACAATCGAGGAACGCTCCATTACATTGAGTACTGGTAAATAAATATGGCCCTATGCAGTCAAGGTCCTCTGTGATCTTAAAAACTGATGCAACACCAATAAGTACTTCGTGAGACCCCACCCAAGTGACCAGAGGTCCGCCGTGATCATTCTAAAAAGTATTGTCATCGTTAGCTGAAGGGTTCTCTTCTACAAAAGAGTGATTTTCTATAATCTTCACGCTTGGCAAACGGGCTGGAGATCGCAATGTTTTAATTATGGGGTAAGCCGGTGAACGAGCAGATGGATCACCTGATGGTAAGCAATCGACGTCGCACATGGACACCCGGAACACCAGAGGTGTTACAAGTGTGTTACCGGCCTTTTAGGGATTAGAAATTAGAGAACTGTTGGGGATTCATATATTGGGAAGATTGAGTAGGGGGGCCACCGGTAACCTCACTCACACGACGTCACATCACGTCGGTTTTCTGTGACGCCATGGTATAACTCCGTTCGAGGCAGCCCATTCGTGCCGAAACATGGCTCTTTTAAACTGCGACGATTTAAGTGTGGTATACTTATCAATATGGTATACGGATCAAATATACATGACACCTACACCCGCAACAACAATTTGTGGATCACACAAAGAGTCACTCCGTGCGGGAATTGAACCCGCTGCACGTTGCCCACCTACCGCGCCAACTGTGCCGTCGTCACACGGCCTTCTCTAAGAAGTATACCACTTTCAATTCTATTTTATAGTAATCATAAAGGCTTTCTCTGCTTAGCTATAATTTTTGAAATATTTTCTGATACAAGTATTTCATTAATTGGTAACGCATCTTGTATAAAAGGCAACTTAGTTACCTTTAAAATTAGAGCATTTTTCGTAAAAGTTATAGAGGCGTCGATAAAATGAGAACAAAATGCTAGGGGCTACATTTGTTTGCTTCTAAGTACACCATGGTAAGGTATAGCAAGTCATGTTTTAATCGGGAAATATAGGTTACAGCTAAAAGAAAAGGCATTTTACCTGACAAATCCCGTGCCTCCTAGTATTCATTCTTCTTGAATTTGAAACATTTAATGAATCCTTTTCTACTCTTGAACCATTTACAATTTCATCATTGACCACGTCTGGTTTGAGATTTACTCTTACTTTAGCTGTCATATTTTTCAGAACTACATTGTCTTTTCTTGTATTTTCTACTAACAGCATTTCTTGGTCCGGAGGATTGGCACTTTCACACTACAACAACGACAGTATTAGTTCTTGTAAAAAAATTTATCGAGGAACATGATTATTATTATTTAAATGAAACAAGTAATTTTATGGTAAACTTTTTAATGAAGTTTTTAAGAACAGTGAGTAAATGTCCTTAAGATCGGAAAATGAGGATCCTCCGAGGTGAGGTGATCGTGCGGGCTTTCTGCCTAACAGCTGTTATTCGGTGGGATTTCCTATCCATGTTTATTCGCATGTAAACTTCACATGTGCGAAGTAGCATTTATGTCGTCATGTTGATTTGCTTATCGATTGTCTATGCCATCGACATGTACTAATGGACATGCTTTAGAGATGAGAATTGTGGCACTCCGAAAGAAAGAGAGGAAACGAAGTTTCGGTCTATCTTTATCTCTCTCAAAATAGTACCGTAGTTAAGAAGTTATGAGCGGGAAAGAGATAGCGCTAGACCGAAAGCATAGGCCATCTCTCTCACTCTTTTCAAACCAAAAAAATACTGCAGATTATACGCGTACGTCTATGCGCGTCATTTGACTTCTGTCATTAGTAAATGTGTCATGTGTCGCCAAGCTGTTTTCTACCAAAAAGGCCCTTCGGTTTGATATCCATAACGGAGACAGTTGTGAAAAAAAACATTGTATTGTATGGTCATCAAGACTAAGTGGGTGTATCGATCTTACGACATTAAGGGGTTAAAATTTTAATTACTTGACTCAAACAAACTGTTCAATAATGATAATATGTGTCGGCACATGGGTTAATTCCTTACAGCCTCGACGGAGGTTGGCGTTAGGCGGTTGCGTCAAGGGCTTAATATAGGAGGCTTGTTCTCCTTGAAACGCCACGTATCGTGGGGAAGTTTCTGTCTCTGGATTTGAATCAAAATAAGTATCTAACATTTTTTTCATTATCGAACTGAAAGACTAAATATTTTTTTTTTATTTTATCCCATGCCAATCACCTTATTCTAGGAGTGAAATAGAAGGGAACTTACTGAAGCACCTTCATACCCACGAAGTCTCGACGACTTAGGTAAACATCCCTGTGCTGTAGGTGGTGATTTGACAATAGTCTCACCCGCATCATTTATATTTCCTTTTTCGAAAGTACAAATCATATAATTGTCTATTATTTGATCCATTCCTTTATATACTTCGTACTCTTTTTTACAATCTTCTTTATTTTGTATCAATGTTGGTGCATAATTCAACTTTTCTTGATTGTAGTCTTTTGGGTCTAATTGCTAGAAAGGCAATATATAGTATAGTATTTGGATATAGCGCAGTTCCTATAGAAGTTACGTTTTTTAAATGAATGAAAGTGTTATCCTGAAATATTTTGTTATCAGATGTAGCCTTCTTTACAGATTTACACAGTTTCCTTCCATCTGGCAAATCTATATAAATGTTTTTATTATAACTATTGTTAGACATACAAAATTAACTAAAAGTCGGGGGTTACTCACGGGCAAACACTGAGAAAAGTTCTACTAGTTTCGAACTACAGAGGGGTTCGTCCTCAAGAGCAGCGTGCGCGATCGCGGCGACATCGCGCAACCTACTCACTGCTGTAGTAGTATGTGTAAGAACCCCTCTGTGATTCGATACAAGTAGAGCTTTTCTCAGTATTAGCACATCTTTATAAATCCCTTACTAATTTCATTAACATCCCCTTTTACTGCATGTTTTTAAAGAAACGTTTCAACTGTATATAACTAACAGGAACTACTTATGTTTCAAGTTGAATAATATATTTAATACATTCATGAATGTTAGTTTCTGCCAGCGGCGTCGCCGATGTTACTGTGGGATTAAAAGTGACCAATGCATTATTCCAAACCAAAGTCTACCTTTGTTCCAAACTTCATCCAGATCCCTTTATAATAATAGAATTACCTGTCGCCACTTTGCTCGATGACCCCAACCCAAGACGATGGCATCGACGCCTGGCTCTTGGTATTTCATTTCATAATTAATTATTATAGGCGCAGGTATGTAAGAACACTTTTCCTCAAATGTTTTGTCCGCAAAGTCGTAGGGAGATTCAACTTTCACAACTGCTATATCAATGTACGACCATTTTTCTATCTCTTCATATTTTAATTCGTAAGCTAAAAACAATAGGAAAGATTAAGAAAATTAAAATATATACCACTGCTAGTTATTATGCTGTATTGTACGTTTTTTACGAAAGTAAATCTTTTTACCCATAGCATTGATTACTTTTTTGTTTGTATCATGCGTAACACAGTGATCTGTCATGGACATTTAGCTATTTCTTTGTCTGAGCCATAGCATGCAGCATTGATTACTAACTCTATACTTTATCCATGTCTTTAAACCTATGAAATGTAGACTTGGGAGCAAAGAGACTGAGCCATAAGGTATTTTTATTTTTAATTTCTTGATAAATACTTTCTGATACGAGTATTTTATTAATTGGTAAGGTATGTCGTATAAAAAGAAGAATAATTATTTTGAAGGTATCTTTTTTATGGCATAAGCCAGTAAACGAGCAGACGGATCTTCTCATGGTAAGTATTCGGCGTCGCCCATAGACACCTGGAACACTAGAGGCGTTACAAGTCCATTACCGGCCTTTTAGGGATTAGGAGTTCGAGGATCGTGAGGGATTCAGGGATTGAGGAGATTGGGGAAGGGGAAGGTAATTGGGTCTCCAGTAACCTCACTCACACGACGAAACACAACACAAGCGTTGCTTGTCGTCGGTTTTCTGTGAGCCGGCCCATTCATGCCAAAGCTCTCTCACACCATTATCTCCTGTAAAGGAGGCTCCGTCTCTTTGCTCCCAAGTGTATGTTCTAGTACCTAATAGTCTTACCTTTGGGCACACAAGTCAGTATAACTTTCTTTTTCTTTTCTTTCGTACAGGGATCATTATTTATTTCCGTATCCCTCACATATTTGTTATAACCCGCTATAGCATAGAGATGGTTAACATCAGTGACGCAAGCTGCTGACGTCACTATGAACTCCGGAGATACAAGTGCCCCTCCACACAACCATCCTTCATAGTACCGTGGGGATACAGCCGCTTTGAGGAAGTACACCTGAAAAAATCTAGATGATAATAATAAATATTTAAATTAAAAACTCAAAACACACTTTTAACCATAATATTTTTGTACTAGTCATCGGAAGAAATTGACAAGTGAAACAAGTGAATTTATTTCTGCAAATAGGCTACAAGGCAGCTCTTTTACACGTCACGTCGACGTAAATCTATACTAATATTATAAAGCTGAAGAGTAAATTTTTGTTTGTTTGTTTGAACGCGCTAATCTCCGAAACAACTGGTTCGATATGAAAAATTATTTCTGTGTTTGATAGCCGATCGATAAATGTATCGAGGAAGGCTATAGGTTATAAAATATCACGCTACGATTAATAGGCGCTGGGCAGAGCGAGTGAAACCGCGTGGAAGTAGCTAGTATCTTATAAGTACAAAGTACATTTTTTTTATTTGATAGGATGACGTTTGGCCACCATCTCACCGGGTGGTGGCGATGATGTGGCCACCGATGGAGCACGCCTAGCTATGAGCAACCTTTCAATCAGGACTCGAAGATCTCAAGTTATATTTGTTGGGAAACACAGATTCCGGCAAGGAATTCCATTCCTTAGCGTGTTACGCACAAAGAAACTATAAGTCCAAGGTTCCAGCACTTAATTCCATCATCAGGTCAGCTCGATGGTAGCATAATATTTGTACAGTCATCTAATCTACATGTGATTGTAAAGTTTCATGACGATGCAAGTATTAGAAGTGTGTTTAATTTAGATTTTTAGGTTTTCTTACGTACTTAGTTCATTATAAGTCGACCTAGTAGAAGCGTTAATAAAAAAAATAATTTGTCCATACTTCTTGACGGAATTATCAATTTAACTCGTCGAGTACCGTATTTATAGACACAATTAAAGAACAATAGGTTGCGGTCACCGGTGACCGCTTGGTGTTTGACAGTTTAACGTCACTTTTGACAGTTCAAGTTTGTTGTAAGTAGTAAAAGAAAAAAGCAACGTTTTACACTGGACACAATTTTAGACCCTGTGCTATTATTGAGAATGTTGAAAATCGAATGTAAGTAAAATATTTGAAATCAAATTCAAGATACTCATTCTTAGTCTTCGTAGCGTATAATCTCTATTAACTCAATTTTGTATCTAGTTGTATGATTTGACCACATTTACCATGGTATTTAATAACATTGTACTAAGTAAAATCGGGCTTAATAAGTAAAGCTTGAAGGTAACACATTTTTTTACCATAATGACTGGTATGAATTGTTAAACAACGCCATCTATCGACTGGGATACTACTTTTTTGGTACAAGATTCTACTCTGAAACATTTGTTCTAAGGCCTAAAGGTTTGTGTCTTGATTTTAATTTGTATGTGTAAACATAGGTGGCACTAAATGTTTCCTTAGATTTATTTTCCAGATATGGATCATTATAGGTCCATTACATTTTCATATCCTTTACCCGTTGGAATGCACCGATATGAGACACAATAGAAAATACATTGTGTCTCGAGTGGGTCCAGGTTTAGACGGGTTAAAGACAATAGCAACTGTTACTATTATGACTAAGAACGGAACTACTTATTACTTATTGCAAAATAATTAACTCACCACGTAAGCTTTGTTTTTTCCAACAACGTCTCCATCCTTTATCCTTCTTTGGCAATCATATCCTTCAAAATAAATAGACAATAAAAATAAAGTCGCGGTTCGTCATACAATATTTGACTAAAAGTACAAACGCCAAGCGAAATGTCAAGTGTTTGGAAGATCAAAATAAAATTCTATAAATATCTACAATTACGAACTTCTCCAGGTTAGTTTTTGGGAAAAACATCGAATGACTTCTACCTACTGGGTGAGACGGGAGGGAGTGTCAGACTCGTACTGACTAAAAACCTTCCCGTTCCTACTCCTGCACTCCGAGCCGGAGTCCCGGTTACCCGTTAGGTTCTCCGCGGCTCCGAATCGGCATCCGCCCTATTAGGTTCCTATCCATGGTGGTCTGATGGCTCTTTACACACGGTTTTTTGTCACCATACCAATTGTCCTCCGATACACAAAAAACTAAAGTTGTAAAGACCAGCTTACCATTAAACAAAAATAAAATGAATACGTAAATTAATTTGAAAGTGAACATCATGCGCCCTGTAGGAGGTTAAGTTTTATTGAGAATTAAATAAAAAATACATTATACGCCACTTTGTTTCAAACGAATCAATCAAATTGAACATGGATGAATAACATTTTTATTATTTTCGTCTTACTACGGTCCTTTCTTATGTCGATTTTGCATAGTCTGGACATGGCTTCACCTGCGTGTAGTAAATCACTGATTCCTCCGATAAGTACTAATGTAACTGATAAATTTTTTTCAATCATTAATAATATAAAATCACACAATCTTTAGTCAGTCCCTAGCAAAAACTTAAGCACCGTTTGAGGTTATAAAGACATTTTTTAAATCGTTGCCCCACACTAGGTTTTTCTCCTGTGTTGCGGTTACTTTTACAAATAAACTATTTCACATGCATCAAACATGATACCCAGACCCGAAACAAAAATTTGTGGAGCACACAAACACTTGCTCCGTGCGTGAATCGAACCCGCTACACGTTGCACGGCAGCCAGTTGCCCAGACACCGTGCCAACTGGGAACTTCAAAGGTTTATATTAGATCTTTTTTATTTAGTCTGTTTACTTCACGACACTGCTTCCCAGTAAAAAAATGTTTTAGTTTTGTGAATCAGCATAGTTAAGTACAACTGATGAAGTCATCATGGCATGCAGCGCGACGGAATCCTATCTTTGTTTTTCATCTATGCAACCGAGTCTCCAAAACGGTGTTGTCGACTATACTGCCAGTGTCAATTGGTGACGGCAAAATTAACTCGTCGAGTACCGGTTTTATAGACACAATTAAAGAACAATAGGTCGCGGTCACCGGTGACCGCTTGGTGTTTGACAGTTTAATGAACCGTCGAACTTAACTTTGCGGTAGATTTTGTTGTTAGTAGTTGTTAGTAGACAAAACAATTGGGTTCGTAAACATAATCATTATCAACTATTTTATTGTATAGGTATATACAGTGGTCTAAAAATAGTTGGGGGGACATACACAGAATCCTATCTTGTCAGGAGTCAGGACGCTCAGGTCGCACGATTAATCCCATGACAATGATGTCTACTGAGAGACCACTTTATAGTAAACTTTATATTGTAGACCAGTAAACTAAACTATTTTATGATTATTTATATTACATTTCAACCATTTTTTGGACCATTAAACCAAAGCTGGTTTCTATTGGTACTCACATTAGCTTAATAAGTAATTTATAACCTATTAATTCTACTTACAAACGACAATACAGTATTTTGAATAAGTTACATACTTTGAAAGTAAAAGGGTAATCATCCATGAGCTAAGATTAAAAGCATCCATTAAAATTGTACTCACATTTTAAATAAAGAAACCGGTACTGACGGTGCAAAAAACTAAATGTAACATTATGCTGCATTCGCAATGTGTCGTCTATTTTTTTTTTAAGGGGGAAAATCATTGAATGTCTGCTCCCGCCTGAGTGAGGCGGGAGGGAGTGTCAGACTCTTACTAACTAAAAACCACCCCGTTCCTTCTCATGCACGTAGTTGTTTTTTTTTTAAGGGGGGAAATCATCGAATGACTGCTCTCGCCTGGGTGAGGCGGAAGGGAGTGTCAGACTCTTACTGACTAAAAACCACCCCGTTCATTCTCCTGCACGTCGAGCCGGAGCCCCGGTTACCCGTTAGGTTCTCCGCGACCACGTAGTTGTTTAAGTTCTCAATATTATTGTTATGGTTCTCGTCAACAACTACCTACGTGAAATATAAATTTTACTACCTCTAAATAATATTTTATCACAAATTGAAAGTGTTTTTATCGATAAATATTGTTTCAAGATTCCAATATTTAAAGTAAATAGGTTCACGTGGAACGTTCACTATAAAATTTTATGTTAATTTATTTTAAAATGTCAAGATCACAGTGGTGTAACTTAATATTTTTGAATATTTTCTCTTGTAAGTGTCAATAGAACGAGCACATACTAGCTTCACGAATTGACTGACATGTGAAAACTATCGCTGTGTCAGCAACTGACTACAGTACAAAATATTAGGTTTATGAAAAAGTAATCCTGCCTTTCTGAACCTTGTGTCGTGGTGGCTCGTAGGTTAAGACGCCCGTTTCTCATGTATGTGGGTGCGGGCTCGAAACATACCAACAGCAAGTACCAATGTGACTTTTTCTGAGTTTAAAGTACTTTGTAAGATAATAATAATTTACCCCTGACAAACGGCGAAGGAAAACATCGTGAGGAAACCTGGGCTTATAATTTCTAATTATAATGTTGAAATCGCCAACCCGCATTGGAGCAAGCGTGGTGATTAATGGTAAAAACCTTCCCCGTGTGAAAAGAGGCTTTGCTCAGCAGTGGGCACTTATAGGCTGTTGATGTAATCCTGCCCGGTTTTGATCACTTACGTTGTAGTGTACTCTAAGTTAGTTTTTATGACATTCATGGAAAGTAGTATATGGCTGTGATAATTGTGTTGTACTTTGCCATCTCCACCATGCCTAAGAGAGAGTCAAGAACTTCAACATAGCTTCTTAAACTAGTTTTAAACAATTGTATTGTATTGTAAGTATTTAACACTGTATTCCAGTTTCCCTTTCTCAGAGAAGGATCACAAATGGAAGCGACCTAACTACTGATAAAGGATTTGTGGTGAGTCCAATGTGATGTGAGATCCAATATTCGTTATATTTACATTTGTTCCTTACCTGAGAAGTTATTTAAAACTATGACTTATCAATTCGAAAATAAGATTGAAATCAACTAGCCATATTTCAGGTGTACATTATGAAAACTTTGGAATCTAGGTTAAGTCTTGATAATGAATGGCTTTGTGGCGGTGCTATAGTCTCGCCCGAATATATAATATCATCAGCCGCCTGTATGAAAGACGTCGGACGTACCTATGCAGTGCCAGGATATAAAACATATGTTAAATTAGAAGGTCTATACACTGATGAATGTACGAAAATCAGTAAAAGACGTTTAGTTTCCTTCAGTTTTCCTAAACGTAAGGAACTTGTAATTTTTTGATAATTTTATGTTTTGATCAAGTCAAGGCAATAAGCGTCAGTATTTTTAGCCATGTCAAAGAAACCCCTCTAAGAAGCCGGTATGAAACTTAATTTCTTTACTGTTAAAATTAACATAAGAAATATTAAAAAAATAGGTTGGAAAAAAATCCACACACCACACATCATATTTTATTACATTCTTATTTTAATACATTCTGTTCCAAAAGTTTTAATTTCACAATAAATATGAATAATTTCTTCACATGAATATTTCGTGTTATTATCCATGGGTGTTTTTTTTATGCCACGACGGTGGTAAAAAAGCATAAGACCCACCTGATGGTAAGCGGTTCTCGTGCTCTATATACGCTTGCAACACTTGGGACGTTACATGTGCCTTGCCGACCCTTAAGAAACCTATTCACCTATCCACAGTGATGCTAATCACTTAGCATTTGCGAGCAGCATTTCTACTAGATGCGGACGCTAAATTAGAATAAACACTGAATGAAGAGAAGAAAATAAAAGGCCGGCAACGCACCTGTGACTCCTCTGGTGTTGCGGTTGTCTATGGGCGGCGCTGATCCGTCTGCTCCTATTCCTTAAAAAAAATTGAAATTCAAATATCTTTTTTTTAGAATACAAATTGGATTTCGATGACGTAACGAAGTGGTCATACGTGGACATAGCCTTAGCTAAAGTTAAGACACCATTTGATCTGGACAAAGTTGAGGCACAATGTTCGTATAAAGCATCTGTTATACCTGTTAACTATGTAGCCAGGTTTCAAAAACCTGGTAGTGATGTCATCGCTTATGGATGGGGACATGAATATGCTTGGCGAATGGTAAGAACTATATATCTTATTATTTTTATTTGAAAGACTATTGCGAGCTATTTGAGTAATATATAACTTACCCCGTCGCGAATCTCAGAGAGAACTATTTAAAACGATAAACGTCCTCACAGTGTTTTCTCAATTCATATACGAATAATCTACAATTATTTGAAAACAGAAGCGACCGCCGTAATTTTAGTACGAGAGGTAAAAATAAGTTGGCTGTACCGCAATGCCGACTGTCCAAAGTGCAGAAATCCTTCATGGGATTATGCGTCAAATGTTATAATAAATTACCAAATAGTTGCTCATACTCTAAGAATTAGTTTCGATTCCAATGTAATCCAGATATATTGTAGCTTCGAACGTTTCTTTTTGTTTTCATTTGAAAGACTTCATCAAGGATTTTCATTTGTATAGTATAATTATTATTTCAAATTGTAATTGTACATAATATGTGGACACTATGTTTGAAACAATCATTCATAGCTTTTTATTTTATTTCAAGACTTGATTCCGGAGTCCCATTAAATTTAGACGTAGTATTGTTGTTACATCGTTCTCACATAGTAGTATATATACATTAGGTAAAGGATCAGATAACGTATCAATGAGTCTGTAAAAAACATTTTAAAAGAGTAACGATGGATCTTCTTACTCGATCTTCTCTATTCGAAACTAAACTTTGGAACAAGTGCCAAATTTCACTGACATACGCACGGACAATTCAATTTCAAAAGTGCCTAATTATGGTTTAATTGAAATAAATATGTACTTTGACTTTGAATTTACCTTTATAATGACGCTGGAAGACTTACATACACACACTATAGTCTTACCAGCTACTCCAGCGCGCATTCACTCGCTCTGCTCAACTCCTATCGATCATAGCGTGGTGTTTTATAGCCTATAGCCTTTCTTAATAAATCCACTATCTAACAGAAATGCAATTATTCAAATCGGACCACTAGTTTCGGAGATTAGCACATTCAAACAAATAAACAAACACTTCAGCTGTATTGTGGTATAAGATAAGATTACTTCACCAATGTCTCATTCTGGAATACTTATATCTAAATGACGTAACATCACCGTTTTTTATCCCCGAAAAGGTAGGCAGAGGTGCATATTACGGCACTAATGCCACTGTACAATGTAACACCCACTTTTCACTATTTATGTTGTGAGTCCCATGCAATAAGAGATCCTATTTCCATATATTTAAATGTAATTTTATGAATCCGCGGATACTTATTTATTTTAATATAATGAATACATATGTCTTCTTCTCATTCTTTTTAGCCTGTACAGAATAAATGCGTTCATTTTTTTTGTAATACATAGTCACGTATGTCATTTATTTTATACTATTAAACATATAAATAATTAATATATTTTTGCCTTTGTGGCATATAAGACATAAATGACTGCACGCACAACGTATCGCGGGTTCGATTCCCGCATGAAACAACTCATTGTGTGATATCATGTGACATGTATATGTGAACTTGTATGTTTGTAAACGGATCCACGACACAGGAAAAAATCCTAGTGGGGCAAAATTATAATAACAAACAATAATCAGTCGTTACGTCAACTTTTGTAAAAGCAAATGTGGACGCTTGACAAAAACATTTTTATATTTTCAGGAAGGCGACTATGACACGTTGTATAATTCAAAAACATTGAAATACACTAGCACTAGAATTTTAGATAAAAGTACTTGTAAAAGGTCCTATGAAACATATCCTAAACTTGCAAAAACTATTGATGAATACATGATCTGTACTGCAGATGAAGGTTTTCTAGATGACCAGGGCAACGTGAAAGTAAAAGAGAGTCCCTTTTTGACTGGATGCAGTAAGGAAAAAGGAGGTCCAACTTTTGTGAGTAATTTACACAATAGGGATGATGACAGGGTATTAAAATTAAAAATATAATTAGTCCGTAAGTAATGAAAAAATATTAGACAAGTATTTTTTTATTTTGTTGTACCTATAATAAAATGATAGATGAATATAGTGGGGGCTAAAACGTCATTTCTACGTATAAAATGTACATAGAAGTGACGTCACGCGACATTTCAAATCAATATATCTTCGAAACTATTCGTTCCCGTAAACAATTTAAAAATACGTGTCTAATGTTTTTAAATAATCTACCAGACGGACATTAACTCGTCGAGTACCGGTTTTATAGACACAATTAAAGAACAATAGGTCGCGGTCACCGGTGACCGCTTGGTGTTTGACAGTTTAAAATAAAAATTAGTTATCTACCCTATAGCAATTTTTGTCTTTTGTTGACGACATCGGAGAATATAATTAAATACACTGAACAAAGCTCCACTAGTTTCGAGTCACATAGGAGTCTCCTCATGAGTAGCATGCGTGGTCGCGCAGCCTACTGACTGAAGTAAACCGTATTTTTAAGTTAATTCAGTATGTCTCACGGTAGTTATTAAAAAAATAATACATTTGTTATAATTCGTATCGTTGTGGTGTCGTAACAGCCAACTAAGGAGCTACACATAAGACAGAGACTAAGCAGCAACAAAGAGAATTTATATGTAAACTAGCTTTTACCCGCGGCTTACCTCGCGTCACAAAAAGATAAAAAGTAGCCTATGTGACATATACCAATACATACAGCGCCATCTATACCAATACTTTTGTTTTCCCCTGGGGAATATAAAATTTTTCCGGAATAAAAAGTACCCTATTATTTAATCCAGACTTCTAACTTTACGTCTACAAAAATTCAAAGCAATCGGTTTAGTAGTTACGGCGTGAAATTGGAACAAACAAACAAACTCACTTTCCAAATTATTATATTAGTAAGGAGTAAGGATGATAAACCTGAACATTAAGAACTGCGATCTTTTTAACTGCCCAGTTTGGCGGTGAAATTATGGCAAAATATAGAGAAGGCTTATGTCCTCTCTATACAGAGTGGAATTTTGTAAAGCCACCTGAAGGGAAAATAATCTTAAAACTGCATTCAAAGATTTTTTAAATTCGCTTTCCGCACAGGGTTTTGTTTCTTTTTATCTTGAGTAAAGAGTATTTCCCCTTCAGATGGCATTACAAAGTTCCACCCTGTATAGTGAAATCACGAGCGGTTGATAAAGTTGAAGATAAAGCATTGACATTAATTGCCAAACGTTAATAAACACTGACTTTATTTTAATGTAACTTAAGGTACCTACTGTTACACATGCTTATTTCAAACACAAAAGGATGGATTAACATGAGCACTTGTCACTTAGCAGCATGATGCTCAAAATTAGAATGGTTGTTTTCGAATCGACAAGCGTTCGATTTTTGAAAATTTTTGAGCATGCTCAACAGAACTCTTTTTAACATGCCATTTTAAAGCATGTGAAACAGTTCTTTTAGATCTAAAGCCCCGTATTCATGGTAAACATTTGTTTAGCAACAAAGTTGAATCAACGTGTTGCAGAATTGCTGTCAACATGTTGCTAGCAACACTGCGTGTTGCAGAGTTGATAGCATAATGTTGACAAGCTCTCGCCCGACAAGCGTAAACAACAGTTTAGCGACAATAACACTACCTCTTCGGGCAACATTTTACCGCAGACTGGCATGTAGTCAACCTGTATTGATTTAAACATAGATGCTAGCATCATTCTCACAACTCACCAACAATGTTGATCAACTGTTCCTAAATAAATGTTTACCATGAATACGGGACTTAAATAGTGATTAATATTTAAGAAAAAAATTTCTATTTAAGCTCGACTATGAAGAATCATATCAAGAAGTGGTAATTGATTCTACGAGAAAAAAGTTGTCAGAAGATTCATTTAATGGTACAGTCAGAAATAAAACTGTTACTAAACTTAGACGGAGACGTATCCCTCGTCGGCGCAATCGAAGACAATATGGAATTTGTCAGGTTTGAACATATAATTACTTTTTTTTTCTTTTATAATTTTTTTTTTCGTTTAAAAACGTTGCCCCACACTAGGATTTTCTCCTGTGTCGTGGGTGCGTTTACAAACATACAAGTTCACATACATAATGACACCCAGACCCGAAACAACAATTTGTGGATCACACAGTGTTGTTCCGTGCGGGAATCGAACCCGCGACACGTTGCACGGCAGCCGGTTGCCTAGCCACCTCACCGACCGCACTGTCTACCGAAACCACCACTGACATGACCGAGGTTTGTTCGATGTTTTTCTACAAATGAAACCTAATTTGAACTGAATGAGCGTTTATCTGCGGGTGGGAGGGCGGTGCTGCATACCGCATGGTGCAGATTCTTTCCTTCAGCAGAATATAAACTGAATATTATCCTATTTGTTGTCGATCAGTATATTTGTCTTGTATAGTATTGCTAGACTGCCTCATTGGCCGGGTTGTCACAAGTTCGACTGCCGGGTAAAAGGTCGCGGGTTCGATTCCCGGGTCGGGCAAAGTATGAATGGGTTTAAAAAAATCTGGGATTTTTAAAATAATTCTCAGTAATAATGCTGAGTCTGGAAATGTGTCTGGTATATGTGGATAGACTCACCCCTTATTACATGGGACTCATAACATAAATAGTGAAAAGTGGGTGTTACATCGTACTGTGGAATTAAGTGCCGTAATGTGCATATCTGCCTATCCCTTCGGGGATAAAACGTATAATTATGTTATATTGTTAGTGTAGCATAGATTTTCGCAAAGTATACCCTGATTAAATGCATGTCTAATGTTTTAAAATAATCTACCAGACGGACATTAAAATAAAAATTAGTCATATACCCACATCCAAGCCAAGCTAGTAGGTAGTAGCGGTTTTTAAAAATCTAGGAATATAAACACAGTCCTTATTAGTTAGTTAGCAGTTCATTCAAGTAAATGAATTGACGTGGAGTATGTTTGCAGAATGATCATGGAGGGCCTTTGACGACTTGGGTTGGAAACAGGGAGATCCTAGTGGGTATTGCTACAATGTTCAGAGTTAACAGATCATCATGGAATGCGTGCATTGGACCTCATTTGTTTACAAGTACACTTTGCAACGGTGAATTTATTGATTGTATTTTGTCTAATAAAACTACAAGGTGAGTTTCTGTATATTCTCAGCAATACTATAAATGCATTCCTAGTTCGTTTATTTACCTTATAAGTTCTATCTATTTAGGTTTGCTCAAAAATTATTTTAATTTAATTATGATTGTTTAAATTTGATTTAGGTATCATTGTAATTATTGGACTTACCAAAAATTTTCATATGACATTTTATTTTAGTAATTATTGTATTTTAACTTTAATTATCTTATTTTTCATTTTAATTATTTTATTTTGTTTTACTTGAATATGTAAGGTCTAGTTTGGATAATCTCTTTTTTAAAAAAAAGCTTTATCTTAACAAATATTGCTGTACCCTTACAGGGTCCATAAATGTACTTAGCTTTAAGCCTATTGTAACACCTTATTCACTTTATGATACGCAAATAAATGAATATGAAATTATCTTGATATTTGTAACCGACTTTAAAAAAAAGGAGGTTCTCATTTTGACCTGTATGTATGTATGTGCGCGTTTATCTCGCGATTAGCTGAACCGATTTTGATGTGGTCTTCAGAAAAGCGTTTACTACAATAATTAGAAGAAGGTTTTAGTATAATAATTAGCTGGTTTCAATAAAAGAGGGTGGGGGGGGGGGTGGATTCGGTATTTTCAAACGTAGTTTATAAAAGAATTATTTAACCACACTTGAGTTACAAAAATTGTATTTTTTTTTATTTCATTGGATGACGTTTGACCACTATCTCGCCTGGTGGTAAGCGATGATGCGATCTACGATGGAGCACGTCGTCCCATAAGCAACCTATCCATTTGGGCCTTAGAGACACCCAGAAATGTATTATAGAAATGCACAACATTTTTAATTAAATTTAATCATTATTGATGACTGATGACTACCGACCTCTAACTACGAACATGGCAATCGGTAGCTTAGGCTATCTGTCAGTAGAAATTTTATATTTATTGCCTAATATTTCAGACGTCCTGTCTGCGATGCTCCAGCAATAATGAGAGGTTACCATGTCATTGAAAATTACGTATACTGGAAAACAGACCGAGAAAGGTAACTTTATATTTTTTATGGCATAAGCCGGTAAACGAGCAGACGGATCACCTGATGGTAAGCAATCGGCGTCGCCCATGGATATCTGGAACACCAGAGGCGTTACAAGTGCGTTATCGGCTTTTTGGGGATTAGGAGTTTGAGGATCGTTGGGGATTCAGGAATTGGGGAGATTGCGGAAGGGGAGGGCAATTGGGCCTCCGGTAACCTCACTCACACGACGAAACACAACGCAAGCGTTGCTTTACGTCGGTTTTCTGTGAGGCCGTGGTATCACTCCGGTCGAGTCGGCCCATTCGTGCCGAAGCATGGCTCTCCCACACTTTATAGAATTAGATTTTATTGTTATTATTATAGATTAGTTTTCTGTACTATGTACTCTAGTTTTCTGAACTGAACTGAACTTTGACTGATCTAAACATAGAATTTGAGTCAAAATATAATTCTGAAATTTTGTATTTAATTTTGTGCTCATCGCATGTGAGTAGGCTCTCCTATTACAATCATAACATTACTGGTAAAAAGTGAATGTCACATAGCCTATGTGTCTATGACATTGAAGATTAAAAGACGAATAGGCTAATGCTGAAAATCAGCCCCGCGACTCGAGCTATCACGCTCAAGTCATGGCATTTTAGCTGAATCCTTAATACGGGTTTGTTTAGTACGAGTACGCGTTCAATGATCTGATTGGCCAGCTCCAATAACCTAACCAATCGGACCGTCTGAGGCGGTAAAACAAACTCGTACTAGGTCTTCTGAGCACTGGCCGTTTTGCTTCGTGTTAACTGTTTTTTTTTTTTAAATTATCTTACGTACATTTTTTTATTTTGTAACGGTGCAAATAATTTATTTTTTAAGTTAAAGCTGCCTCGTTGGCCGAGTGGTCGCAAGTGCAACTACCGGGCAAGGGGTCTCGGGTTCGATTCCCGGATCGGGCAAAGTATAGCTGGGTTTTAAAAAAAAATCTCAGTAGTAGCACGGAGTCTGGAATTGTGCCCGGTATATGGCAATATGCTCACCCCCTATTACATGGAACTCATAACATAAATAGTGAAAAGTGGGTGTTACATTGTACAGTGGCATTAAGTGCCGAAATGTGCGCCTCTGCCTACCCCTTCGGGGATAAAAAGGCGCGATGATATGTTATGTTGCGTTATTTTTTAAATTATCTTACGTACATTTTGTTATTTTGTAACGATGCAAGTAATCTGTTTTTTTTTCTTCTTTCGTATTTTAATCTCTTTTTCAGTGATGATGAAAATGATACAGACACGGTTATTGAACAATTTGTCGATGGAGTTAAAACACCATACAAACCTCAGGAACCAACGTTGTTACCTATACTTGAACTGTATGATGAAAATAGATCGGATACCCTACCTGCTATTTAATTGCACCGTCATATTTTTTTTTTATATGTTTTTTTACCATCTTTACAATTTGTCATTTATGGACATTTTCTTCGTTGTTTTTATTATTATTTGAAATTTATAACGCCTTGTTTTAATTACTGTAGTGTTATACTATTTTAATTGAAATAAACAAATAAATAAATCATTTTCAAGGAGCCCACCTCTCTAAAATGATGCCTCTGGTGGGCTTAGGTATCGGTGTCCGGTTACCGTAAGCTTTTTTTATTAAAAAAATCAATGATTTAAAATAATTCTGAGTTTTAAATAATATAAAGTGTTGAAATCAAGAAGTAATGTTTATATTAAACATGTTTTTAGAAATGAAATAAAGTTATATTATTTTATTTTTATTTTTTTTGGTTTTAATAACGTTGGCTACACTAGGATTTTCTCCTGTGTCGGGGGTGTGTTTAAAAATATACAAGTTCACACACACATGACAGACCCAGAGCAATAATTTGTGGATCACACACAGATGACACAGAGGTTGTTCCATGCGGGAATCGAAACCACGACGCGATGAGCGGCAGCCGGTTACCCAGTCACTGCACCAACCATGTCGTATTATTACTAACATTGAAAAAAAATCTTGATAATTAAGGTGTGTTCGCAAATCTTACTGATTACGAATGTTATAGTAATGTTACAGTACATACTTCTTACTACTTTCTAAGTATGTTAGGATTTTTTAAGTAGGGAAAATCATCGAATTACTTCTCCTGTCCGGGTGAGGCAGGAGGGGAGTGTGAGACTCTTACTGACTAAAAATCACCCCGATCCTACTCCTGCACCTTGAGTCGGAACCCTGGCAACCCCTTAAGTCCTCTGCGGCTCCATATCGGCATCAGCCCTACTGGGCCCCATCCGTGGTGGTCTGATGGCACTTTGACGCGATGCTCCATACGCTCAGGAAGTTTGTTAGGATGCACCTATCTTTATTACTCTTACACACAAAACGACTAAACAGTATGTTTCACACAAAGATAGACTGAGCTAACCGATATAGTACTTTTTATCCTAGTACCACAGGCGGAGGCTTTAGCAGAAACTAGTATTATATTTTTACAAAATTCTAAATGCAAGTTATTTAAAATGATGATACAAGTTGTTTTAGAAGTGGTTTTCGTTATTATGTTTTATTAATAGGCATCTGTGGTCTTAGGGCAATCATTTGATTATCTGAAAACTTATCTAATTTCGCAAACTCCTTGTATATCTTCTTATTTTCTTCATCCTTTTCTCGATTGTCGATTTCGATTTCATTCTGTGCCGGCCTGTAAACGATACATATTATATGTACTTAGACTGTATAGAGTTGGTCTGTATGTATCACTACATAGTATAAAACAAAGTCGCTATCCGCCGTCCCTATGTATGCTTAGATCTTTAAAACTACGCAACGGATTTTGATGCAGTTTTTTTAAATAGATAGAGTGATTCTTATGGAAGGTTTATATGTATAATACTCATACAATACAGCGGGGGCGGGGCGGGTCGCTAGTCTCCTATAAGTACGTAAGTACGTATAATAAAACTACATTACTAAATAATATATCTGCCTGTCATTCATTCACTATGAAAAGAACAAAAATTCTTTTTAATAATAATATTTCGGTGTATAATAAACTTAAAAGCGACGTCACACAACTAATATATCATGTAGCATATTCAAACGAAGATTTTATGAACATTAAAATAATTATGCCTCGTTGACCGAGTGGCAAATACAACTGCCGGGCAAAGAGTCTCGGGTTGGATTCCCGGGTCGGGCGGTTAAGTGTTACGGAGATTTTTTAAATAATTCTCAGTAGTAGCATGGAGTCTGGAATTGTGCCCGATAAATGAACTTATAACATAGACAGTCAAAAGTGGGTGTTACATTGTTACATTAAGTACCGTAATATGCACCACTGCCTAACCCTTCGGTGATAAAAGGCGTGATGTGACGTTGATGTAAAGTAATTATAATTACGATTATAATTTATTTTGTCTGATAATAACTAACTTACCCTGCAGGATGATTCTTCCATGACACGAATTTCTCTACAGTTTCGTATCCTCTTTGGATCGGTGGGCTATCGCATATGGATCTCCTCCTGTAAAATTTATTTTAATTGAGACTTTTTGTACTGTAATGTATACTACGCAACTTATGATTTTTTTAAATGTTTTTACTTACTAAATACCTATCCAGAGAAAATTTTGTAACGTATGTTTTATAGACTGTCTATTAACTTAACAACCCAACTTGTTTGTTTTAAGATATGTAAATTAGATTATGTGTGACCTCACAGAAAACTGGCACGAAACGACGCTATATTTTTGGGGAAACTCATCACTCCTGGCTTCGGTGAGGCGCGAGAAAGTGTCACACTCTTACTGACTAAAAACCATGCAGTTCCCACTCCTGCTTCAAACCAGACCCGCTATAACCCTCAAGGTCATCTGCAGTTTGCGTTGTGTTTCTACCTTTTGAGTGACCCTAACCTCGGTTCTCACCTTGTCTTCGACGATAATATACAATGCAGGAACATTCCATTGCATCGTGTACTCGTATATAAATAAGGTCCAGTACATGTAGATTCAGTAGTCACTTTAAATACAGAAGCCACACCGATGAGTACTTCATTGGCCCCCGCCCAAGTAACTAAAGGGCCTCCGTGATCATTCTACAAAAAAATGTCATAGTCAGGAACATCAATAACCCCGTGGCAGTCTAAACTGCTCTCATTGTAAATTTATCTAGAGGTACATAGTGCCTATATCATGCAAATCAGGCCTATAACAGAATTTGCGTCCAGAGCATAACCTTTTTTTTAGGGGGGAAAATCATCCAATCACTTCTCCCGCCCAGGTGAGGCGAGGGGGGGTGTCAGACTCTTACTAACTAAAAACCACCCCGTTCCTACTCCTGCACTTCGAGCCGGAGCCCCGGCAACCCGTTAAGTCTTCCGCGGCTCCTTATCGGCATAAGCCCTATTGGGCCCCATCTGTGGTGATGGTGGCTTCTTGAGGCGCACGCGGAACGCGACGCGCCGTACGCTCAGGCCTGGTTCTGGTCGGGCGGCGAGTCATCCGTACTCGCCGTCCGCGGGCCCGTGCTTACGGTGGCCGGAGATCGTCTCGTGATCCCCGACGCCCGGAGTGTCTCTCGCGACGGCTGGGGCGTGAGGAGGTTCTTTCCCTCACGCACCCCGCCTCCTCCTCAGTGCATAACCATTAAGGTAATAAATCCGTCCTTTATAACATAGGACTCATAATTATTATGTTTTTCGGCTTACTCACGTTATTATTCGACGAGGACCTCGACTAGTTTCAAGCCACGCTGAGTAAGTCGAAAAATATAATATTTATGTATGTCTCAAGAAAGTTATAAAATAAATAGAACTCATAGCATAAAAAGCGAAGCGACTGTCTTTACCACGTCCCATTGGCAAATAAAAACCATGATGGATAGTTCATTATTTCACCAACCTGACAAATTCCCGTTGTTCTTCGTGTTCTAATTCTTCTGCTCGATAAAGTTCCATTTTTGACATTCGTTTTGTGGTCATTAGAAGTTTGATTAGCAGATCTCAAAACTTCTCTACGTGTTTCATCTTCTGTGAACGTGCTAAGGGTTTCCTGATCGCACTTTGATAAAAAAGAATAACCAAATATACTTTTAAGTCTACATTCATAACACTTTAAATATGTTCTTCAGTCGGTGGCGCTGTGGGCTGGCTTGTTCCGTTGCTTACGAAATGGTTGATCGGACCGATTGCTCGCCCACACGTCATGCTCGTGAACGAGCGCCTACTGGTGGAGCAGGAAGGATCGCTCATCGCGCAGGTGAGCTGATCCAGTAGGGTTAATGTAAATGTAATAAAACATGTATTGTGTATATGTAGATAGTAGACATAAAGTTCTTTGTGCAAAAAATATGGTTAATTTAGCACGTAAGGTTTTTGTAATAATTAATTTTGACTATAAAATAATTTAATCGAATGACAAGGGTACAGACAAGAGTCCGTGGAGAATAAGCAATCTTATCATTACATAGTATAAAACAAAGCCGCTTTCTCTGTCCCTGATTCGATCTCCTGATTCGCTCTTTCTTTAAGCTTTCTTTAAGCTTAAATCTTTGAAACTACGCAACGGATTTTGATGCGGTTTTTTTAATAGATAGAGTGATTCAAGAGGAAGGTTTATATGTATAATACATGCATATTGCACCCGTGCGAAGCCGGGGTCGGGTCGCTAGTATATATATAAAAAAAACATTTTAAGTATTTTCATAACAATATAAACTTACGTTTAAATTCAACAATGGGTTTTTACACCCATTTAGTTTTGGATCATCATTTCCGTCGTTTAGTGCCAAGTTACCGTTTTCATCTATTTCTCCCTTCCCTTCAGTACATATCATAAATTCATCGATAACGTTGTTCATATTAGGAAACTTACTGTACTCCATTTTGCATATACTCTTATCTATAACCTTAACAGATGCATACCGCAATGCCTCCTGATTGTAATTTTTTGTATCTCCTTGCTGCAAGCAGAAAGTGTTTGTAATTATGAACCATAATTTTTCTATCTAATCGCAATACTAAGTATTGGTTATCGGTTTCCAATAGTGTATCCTACTAATAAAAAGTTTGTGACGATGTATTTGTGTGTGTTTATGTTTGTTACTCTTAAACGCAAAAACGATAGAAAGGATCGGCATGAAATTTGATACAGGGGTATCCAACGAGATCGCGGGCAAATCGGCAGGCAGAAGCTAGTATGTATATGTCACAATAACGTTTACTGCTTTGCTGAATTATCATTAGGAACCACTGAATGGCAATAAATGTATACAAGCAACTCGTAATGTATTTTTAATAGATTTACAATCTTGTCATCATCACTAGTCAAAAAGGCCACAGCTGAACAAAGACCCATTTTCAGGGGAGGTTTGCCATAGTACTCATAATTGCCAGGTGACCTAGAGTTTGTAATCTGGTAACCAATTTGAAAATGCTGCTGCCTATCCGATGATTGTCGCAATTTTAGGACTTCCCATTTAATCAAATTGAAAGTAGAATTTATTACAGGCTATCTGTGCCCGCAACTTCGTTCGCGTAAAATAGTGATTTACTGCGCTTACCCCGTAGCGTAATAATATGTAGCTATATGTTGACCCTACCTGTTAGTAATAATCATACAAAATTTGAAGTAAATCCATGCAGTACTTTTTGAGATCATACCGTACATACATATAGACAAACAGACAAACAGACAAAAATTCTATAAACCATATTTTTGGCTTCAATATCGAATGTAGATCACGCCCCAATTCTTTAAAAAAATAATCAATGTACAGTTTTGACTTTTCTACGATTTTATTTTATGTATAGAATAGATATAGTTGAGCGAAATAAATCTAGTGTGCATTTCATAGGTGCCCATAATTTTTTTGGGCGCTGCCGCCTCTCTATGGGCAGTTGAGCACGCACGTCTTGCGGTGCCCCTGTAACTGTAATTGTGATTTGTCTAAGGGAAAATACGGCATCAATCACACAATCTTAAGCAAACGTATAATGTTTATACAAACAGTCTTACTTGTCTCCAGATGTCTAGATGTCCCCATCCATACACTAAGCCATCAATACCTGGATCTTGAAATCGTTTCTCATAATTAACTCCTATAACTTTTGGTTTGTATGAACAAAGAGTTTCATACTGGCTGTCGTTGAAATCATAAGGTGATTCTACTTTTACTACAGCTATGTCTATATAGGACCATTTTTCCACCTGATGGTAGTTTAATTCGTATTCTGAAAATAAATACAAATCCTGTTGTATTTTAATCCTCAAAGTACAAAGTATTTTTTAACATTTACTTCGGTAATTAACATACTTATTTGCGTGTATACTTTGCATGTCTGCAAGGTTATCAAGTAAGTGAAATAACAAAGTCATGGGCAAAGTTGCACGCATTTCATACTCTTATCGTGCACCTGGTTGAACTCTTATCTTATTTTTGCGATTTCTCAATAAAGTATGATGTATATTATTGTTTATTTTAGATATACTATGTTCCTTACTAACATCATCATCATCTTCATTAACGGCCGTCCACTGATGGACATAGGCCTCTCCAATGGCACGCCACTGAGCTCGATCTTCAGCTCTACGCATCCAACCACTACCAGCCACTTTGCGGATATTGTCACTACACCTAGCTAATGAAAACACTAACAACCCTTATAGAATTTCTGCATTGTAATGATTACACTTGGGAGCAAAAACACGATCTTGCTATCGATTTTTTCATTTTATCGAACCTTCTATGACTATAAAAAGATTATTCCTTTTACAACAAAATGCTCTCATTTTAAAGGTAACTAAATTGTCTTTTATACGACATACATTACCAATTATTAAAATATTAGTATCAGAAAATATTTCTCAGGAAATGAAAGGTAAAAACGGCTAGTGGCTCCGTTTCTTTGGTCCCAAATATATATATATTACCACTTACTCATAGGAACACAAGTGTAAATCACTTTTTTCTTCATTGTTTTTGTACACTGATCAGTTTCAATGTCCTGGTCTGTGACATATTTTTTGTATCCCGCAACCGCGTATAGGTATTCCACATCATCTACGCATGCAGCTGATGTTATTATGAAGAGCGTTGATACTATAGCTCCTCCACAAACCCAACTGTCGTATTTCTTTGATGACATTGGAGCTTTTACTAAGTAAGCCTAGAAATTAACAAATGCTTATATAGCACTGAAATAAAATATCTTTATTTAAAGTTCCATTGTCATCCGACACCATTAACATAAACTACTAAACTCGTCTCAGCAGCTGTAGCCAAACGCCATTTAGCGCTTGTCTACTTGTAGAATAGAAAACCAAATTACGACATATAAATTTTGACACTTGTCAGTGTCATCCCAATACATTTAGTTTTCTACTCTCTCGGTAGACAAGCGCTAAAGTGGCGGTTGGCTAAGGGCACCGGCCGAGAGAAACCATTGTATGATTATCCCGACAAAAAAAAAGACCTCTCTAATGACATGCCACTGAACTTGATCTTTAGCTTTACGTATCATAACACTACTAGTTATTCCACAAGAACTTCGATATTAATGAACTGAAAATTTTCTTTGCCTAATGTCTTAAAATCCATAATGACTGTCACATAGTAATATATTTACTTATAGCTGTTTTATCGCTATCCTTAGCCCTTACCACGTATCGTTTAGTTCCAGTCACCGCTTCACCACCTTTGATTCTTCTATCACAATATGAGACTGAAACGAAATGTATCTAAGGTTATATAAAATGATTTCTATTATTAAATTAAATAACTACTTTCGACTTACCGAAAACAATGTTTAACATTATTGCAATATTTAACTTCAGAGTCACCATAACTGTAAAAAAGTAACAAAACGACGAAATACTACAACAAACGAAAATCAACAACAAAATGAAATTAATTCTAAGCTATAAAGCAGTGCTGCTTTCACTATTTTCCTCATATTTCTGATTATGATTAAACAGAAAATTCATAAACTCATATTGACGCAGTTGTCGTCCAATATCAATGTTAAGAATTTCAATTTTTGTGTTTGTAACTGCATCTCTAAATCGACTTTTACAACGAGAGAGATTGCAGTTCAAACTAAATTAACACATTGGTATCAACAACATCATCAGATTGTTTCTATCTTCTACTGGATAAAAGAGACGGACCACTGAGTTTGTTTCGGCATTTCTTCTCAGAGTAATCAGTTCGGAAATGTCGGCCTCATCGTTCTCTTGATAAAATTGACGTGTAAAAATGCTGCCTTGTAGCCTATTTGCAGAAATAAATTTGCTTATTTCACTTGATATGTTGTGGACATTAATGACTTAAATAAACGACATTTTTTGTCACGATACTTGACATATCCAGTAGGTACTACGACCAAAAGTTAATCAACTTTGTACATTTTTTTTTTTAGTGGAACCTTCTAATTTTCAGCATAATGACCCCATTCGGGAAGATGATGACAGTGATACTATAAGACTTGGTTAAATATTTAATAGGTTGTTTGATTTCAAAATGTTCAGTAACGAAATATCTAATCCAGAAAATGTCGGCTGCAATTATTACGGTTAATTAAACTATACATGTTTTGAAAAAATCCAAGTAAAATTGAAGAGGTTCAAATTAATATGACACCAAATTAAAGTACAAAAACATGCATTTATTTAAAAAAGAACTTATAAGGTACTGACAAATATTAAATAGTTCCATTTCCTTATGCGTACTGCTGAAGAATTGAATTTTTGCCAGAGTATTTGCCTGTATTTCCTGAAGGGTATACCTGGGTGTCTTCAAGGCCCGAGTGAATAGGTTGCTTATGTGATGACGACGACCGCATCATTGCTTAGCACCGGCCGAGATAGTCAAACGGCGGCCGTATCAAATACATAAAAAAAAACTTTGCCTTAAAAATAATGGTCAAACATGAAGAGGAACTTGTGGTCGCATTCTGAACAATTCTTGATTTTGACTATCCATGGTTTTTTCTGGGATCGAAGCAGGAGCAAGAGGTGGTTTATATATTTCTGGAGGACGTCTATTGGTCAAAGTAGGTCCACTCATTGGTACTGGACTTCTGATTATTGGCGGAAGCATGACATTTGGATTATATCTACCAATTGGCACAGGCCTTTGAGCCAAATAGTTACCATTCTGTGTCCCCCAATTTACTGGTACATTATTATTTGGTACCGGATTATTGGCTGGTATAAAATGATTTGTTCCATATTGTTGATTTTGAAAATATTGTTCATTGGCTACGTACCCATTGGGTGCATACTGGTAATTATTCCCATAATTATTGATAGCTGGATATCTTTCATTTCCTTCAAACTGATTATTTGGTATAGGTTTATGCACATTCAAGTAATCTTGCGTTATGTTTCTCGCATGTGCTTCAGAATTGATATCTACTATAGGTGTCTCTGCATGTTGAGTGTTCTCTTCTGCTGGCTCAGGTGTTGTTATGTCTCCATTTCTACCAATTTTCTCATTTTCAGCGGCTCTGGGAATATTGAGAGTATATTAAGTAATGGTTTTTGTGATAAGCGATGAGTTACTTATATATGTTTACCTATTCTCGGGACGCTATTTTAGATCCTATTCTTAAGATTTAAAGTACAAATAAACTAATTAAAACAGAGAAAATATTTTAGAGCTCACCCAGCTGGATGATATAACCAGGATATGTGTCGTTCTACTGTGGGGTGACCTTCGTCCTCTGGTCTCTTTCTGCATACAGCTCGCCTAAACAAAGTTATTAATAAAAAAAATCTAGAGAAACTATGGAAAAATGCTTGCCTTTCAACAATTTATTATATTATTAATCTATTATTATTACATACAATAAAATCGTAGGAAAATGAAAACTGTACATCTACACTCAATATCGAAGCCAAAAATATGGGTTTTATAGTTTTTGTCTGTTTGTCTGTATGTATGTCCGGGCTACACTCAAAAAGTACTGTATGCATTCAATTCAAATTTTGCATGAATATTACTGATAGATTAGTACAACATAATAAAATACAACATAATATCACCTACGGGGGAGGAGCTGTGAATCACTATACTACGCGGACGAAGTCGCGGGCACAGCTGGTTTTTCATATTTATCTTACCTCGTATTACTTTTCTTTTTCTTAATCGGAATTACTAATTTATCTGTTGTTAAAATACAATCTAGGAATGCTCCATTACATTGCGTGCTTGTGTACAAAAAAGGACCCACACATTCAGAATCCTCTGACACTTTAAATACAGATGCTATGCCGATGAGGATTTCGTGGGTACCGACCCAAGTTACTAGTGGTCCACCATGGTCATTCTGAAAGCAAACATTAAAACATGAATTAAAAGAGAAGTGAAATTCTTCCCTTTCATATCTTAAGTGTTGGCCGAGGAATTATGAAATCTCGTAGAGAACTAATGAAGAATAAATATCTGTCGAATTTATTGCAGTGAGCTTTGCAATACTTATTTTATTTATTTAAATCAAATCAGGTCAAGTCAGGTTACACCTAATGCGATAATGTTGTCACTCAATACAAAAAACTTGTAATTAACATTGTAATAACATAGCCAAATTTATTGATCTTATCCATCAAGTAGAAGTAACAACATCAGTTACCTGAACGCCAATGAGCAACTAAAAATATGTATTTTTTGTCCAACGCTGTTAATTATTTTAAGAGTTCTAACCTCAGGAGCATATAGACCTATGTTGGTGCGAGTGAAGTTCAAATAGTCTCTGCCGATATAACTACCAAAAATTTTCCACTCTTGAAGGAAACATCATGTAATCTAATAATTATTACCATTTAAAAGTCGTCGTTCTTTTTTGCCCTTATATCAGTGATGAATAGGGTTGACAATAAACAACATTATATACAACAAACCTGACAAATTCCATGTCTTCGACCATCAATGCCATAAACAAGAGGTCTTTTACGTATAATGGTTTCATTAATGAAAGGAGTTTCATTAGAAACATTCACTTGTTTCGAATTTGTTTGCTTTTCTTTTTTCGTTTCTGTTTCATTCAGCGGAAGATTTGTCATTTCAATAAACCGTCTACTTTCAGCGTTATCTTTATTTTTACATGTCTAAAAGAAATATAAGTCATGTAAATAATAAATTATATTGTTATTTGTATCATTCACATTACTATTAATCATTATAGTGCTTACTATCCGTTTATGATATTTTCTTATTTATTTTTTTTATACATCGATAAACGAGCAGACATTAATTTTTCAAGAGGTTTATTATTTAATTCACGTAAGTAATTTATAACATCAATGTGTATTTGCATACCTCTTTATTTTTCTCTTTCGGTTTACATCCATCGTGTTCGGGTTTTCCTGGTTCAACTGGATCACCACGGTCATCAATATTGCCCGGTCCGTATGTACAGATCATGTACTTATCTATCACTTCAGTCATATTTTCATAATCCGTATAATGTTTTTTACATTCTTCTTTATCTATTATCATTACTGGTGCGTAATTTAATTTTTCTTGATTATGGTTTCTGGCATCGCTTCCCTAAAAGTGACAGTTAGTTAGGAAAATAAATTGATCAGAGTTAGTTCCAAAGATAAATTGCCAATGAATTAATTTTGTGATGGACAGCAACTGCCGAACAAGGCCAATTTCAAATTTATTATTATCAAAACTGAGTATTACTGGGGAGCCTGAATTTGTGTCTGTATTATTCTAATGCTTCTATAATAGCTAGTATAATAGTATAATTACTATGAGTCCTAGACTGCTACTATGAGTCCATAGTAATAATATTGACTTGGCATACTTTACCTTTCTCCATTTGACCAAATGTCCCCATCCGAACACAATAGCATCAGTTCCAGGCTCTTGGTACCTAGCTTCATAGCTAACCGGTATCACAGTTGGTACGTAGGAACATGTAGTCTTGTAGGATTCGTCAGTAAAATCGTAAGGAGATTCAACTTTAACGACACCTATATCTATCAGTGCCCATTTGTCCAGTCTTTCATACCTTATTTCATAACCTAAAAGTGTAAGGTAATTTTATTCTTAGGTAATCAAACAAAATACAAGGAGAACCCCGCTTAACTGATGATGTGTGACTAAGTTTAACCGGCATCGTCATCATCATCAACAGCCAAAGGCAGCCACTCTTGGACAAAAGCCTCTGCCTTAGTCCTCTATGTCGACAACCCGCCACCTGCTTTCACTGGCTCCCAGCCACTCTGACAATGTTGTCGGTCTTATGTGATCGAATTCAATGTACTCGACTGGCGAGCTCGTCAGTTAAAGAACGACCAGCAATTGTAGATGATTCCAACGATTTACATTACCTTATGTGAAAGGAGAAACTGACACCATCGGACACCTGTTACACCGAAGATACAGTTTTAGGAATTGTCCTGCATTGGCTGTATCTTCGACATATTATGTATATTTAATGTAAACAAAGATATTACTTACCCTCTGGATAACAAGTATAAATCACTTTCTTTTTCATTTTACTAGTACATTTATCCGTTTCTAATTCAGCGTCAGTGACGTATTTGTTATAACCAGCTATCACATAGAGGTAATCCACATCTTTGATGCATGCTGCAGAAGTGACTACATATTCACTGGTCACTAAGGCACCGCCACATAGCCAAAAGTCATAGTGAACAGAAGCTATTGGTGCTTTCACTAAATATACCTGAAAATGACATAGATGTACAATCGGCAGTAGGTCAACCTACTCTATTCTGTCAATTAGATTTTCAAGTCTATCGTTTAGATATAAAGTCTAAAATTTTATGACAAAAATTACAGATGTGAGAAGCTTGATGTGCTAACCACTGTACGTAATAAGGCATCAAGGCTATTGATCGATTTCGATCATGGTGTCTAGTCTCTCATCATAGACTACACAATACGTGACATGGGATCTTTCATAATTGTCTATGATTTAAAGTCGACAAGATCAAAGACAGAGATTAGGCCCAAGGGCAACCATTTTATGCTATTCGATACACAGCTGTAAAATACCATTGAATTTTCATAGTCCGTCGCACTAATGTTATGGCGATGAAGTGTTATAAGTAAATAAATATTTTACGTACCACATACGGTTTGTCCTTCGTCACTTCATTACCCTCTTGTATTCGTCTTTGGCAATAGGTTTCTAAAATAAAAAAATGTGTTCATTTACTCTCGGTAACGGAGGATCATTGTTTTATAAATCAATCAAGTAAATATGTTTTGTAATTATTTCTGAGTTGACACAATCAATGACTAGTTATTTCGTATAAAATCTTTGCAACCGATGTCTTTATCCAGAATTAGCTGTATCATTAGCTCTAGAATGAAAGAGGCTACTATCTATTATACACTAAGTACAATTCTAACTGCGCGCTATTGTAAGCGAATGCTTAAACTGATCAGTAGAGGTATATCCTACAGCAGGGACTGTAAAATGTCCTACGTACCGAGTAAAAATACGAACAGTAACACAAGTTCTGACTTTATCGTAAACATTTTAAGTAGGTACTGTCCTTGAATTACTGATATCAGGGAATTTCAATTTTTTTGGTTTGTTGTTTTACTGCATATTTTATTAATTGGTAGATTAACTGAAGTTTGTCGTGTTTTCTTTTCTTCGTGTTTTCTTAATCAAAATTCACATTTCGTATAAAATATGCCTAGAGACGAGCATTTCTATATATATTTGTTTTAATTTATGAAACGATTAATAATTCCTTACCTATGTTATATTGTTTATTTTTTAAAGCATTTGTGCGAACTTGCTTAACTTTCTTGACATAATCTTTCAATGATCTAATTCCGATTGGGAAAGAAATACTAATCCGTGAAGATTATCTTTATGTATGTGTATTTTTTTATTAATAGTAATCAGTTTGAGACGAGTTTTCTGTTCGAGGATCTTTACATTAATTATCGATAATTCTTTCACTATTAGGACAATATAGGATTAATAATTGTATATCAGGCGATTAAGATGCATTTCGAGTGCACCTTACCCAATGGTGTACTCAAACATTCAGTTAATGAATTTCATAAAAAAAAACCAGTTACAAAAAAGTAATAATTTAATGTAATAAAAAACAATACTAACTAATTTTATTTACTACGAATTGGTTTTTGCGGTCGCATTTTGAAATTCTCGAAGACATTTGTATCTTTCTGACTGGTCGGTTGGTTTTGTTTTTTCTCTGCATTTTGTGTTGCTAATGGATAATTCATTAAACTCTTGTTGTAAGCCGTGTTTTTCAGATTTGGTGAAGAGTTTGTGTTAAGTCCCACTCTTGGTGGAGCACCAGTTTGTGACGGAGGTTCAAAAGTAGGACTTCTCATATTTGGTATCCCAACAATCGAAGGATCCTGGTTTAGTGCCGTCTTAAAATTTAACGAAGATCCCATGTTTACAGAAGGTCCTAAATTCATTGGAGAATTAAAGCTCATCGGTAGTTCAGAGTAAGACGAGGGTGCCGAATTAAGTATAGGGTTAAAGTTTGACAGTGGTCCTAAATTTGAAGTAGGTCGTAAGTTTAACGAGACTCCCATATTTTGTGGAGGTCTAAAGTTTTGTGGAGACCCCAGGTTTTGTTGAAATTTCTGGTTTGATGGAGGAACCACGTTTTGTTGAAACCCTGAGTTTGGTAATGGTCCCAGATTTGATATAGGTCCCAAGTGTTGTTGGAGCCCCGAATTTTGTTGCAACGCTTGGTATGGATACCCTAGGTTTTGTGGGCGATTCAAGTTTGGTGGGCGCCCTGGATTTTGTGGAGACCCCACATTTTTTGGAGGACTCAGATTTTGTGGAGTCCATAAGCTTTGTGGAGGCCCTAAGTTTTGTGGAGGCCCTAGGTTTTTGGGAGGCCCAAGATATTGTGAAGTGCCCAGGTTTTGAGGAGGCCCTAGGTTTTGTGAAAACTCCAGGTTCTGGATAGGCCCAAGGTTTTGAGGTCGCCCCAGGTTTTGTGGAGGCCCTAGATTTTGTAGAGTCCCCTGGTTTTGTGGAGGTCCCAAATTTTGTTGGGACCCTAGATATTGTGGTAGTCTCTGGTTTTGTGGATACCCTAGATTTTGTAACGGGCTATTCGGTGAAGGCTCCAAATTTAATGGAGGCCCGACGATTGGCTGAGATTCTGGGTTTTGTGAGGTCCCCAAACTTTGTGACTGCCACGAACTTTGTCTTATTTCTGATGGTGATACAATCTGCGATGACAATCCCATTTCTGGATGTGAAGGTCTTATTTCTGGTAGAGACTTTAAATTCGAAGGTTGCATTTGTGATGCAAGTTCTATGTTAGGTCTCATTTGCTGTGGAGGACCCAAATTTGTTTGAAGTTCTGGCGTTCCTAAGTTCGATGAAGACTCTATGTTCGGTGATGGATCTGTATCCAAAGGATTATTCGTTGTTTGTGTGGTACCCGTACTAGATCCAACCTCTTCTGATGAAGAATTTAATGGTTCTTCAATCTCTTTTTCCTCGGAAGACTCTGTTTTTGTTTCTGACGATTTCTGTGTTTGTTTCATTAGCGCCAAAAAACTGGCCTGAGCTTTATATTTTCCACTGAAACCTTTCGGAAAGCTGACTTGTTGCGTGTTTCTGTCACGTAAAGGATTATTATTCTCATTTGATTCTTTGTCCGATTCAACACGTGTTGCAAACTTATCTTCTTTTCTTACAGGCTTAGAACGCAGCAATGCCTTTTCATTGTCTGCTGGCCTGTAAGAACATACACATGAAAACGTTACCTTATAGTGGACGTATACCGACTCACAAACTAGAAAGCTTCTAAGATACCTATAATACAAATACTTTTTTAAATGAACTGGATTTCAGCATTCCGTGATTTTGACATTTTTCAATAGTTCTGATTCGCCTTCGCTAATATTGGGCTTTGGCTTTGACTTTGAGTGTTATGGGAATAGAACACGACATTACGGTATTTGATAAGTCGAAGGCTACTTACCCAGAGGGATGATCTTTCCACGACACGAATCTTTCAATTGTATCATATCCCCTAACGCTTGGAGGACTGTCACAAAATGCTCTCCTGTTAGATAAAAATACTTGTGATTAATTGCGGAATCATGTTTAATGACTTTTTGACGTTTTGTCTGCCTCGTCATTTAAGTTTTCTAAATGTTAGTGAACCAGGTTTTCTTCATAGCAGACTATAAAGTATTTTGTATATAATTGTATTCTTGGCGAGTTACAAACATATCAGATATTCAATGATTATTAAAAAAACAACATGCTGCTTACCTATCAGCAGGAGTTTCGGTCTTTTTAGGAATCGGAATCCTCGGAGGCTCTTCATGTAAGGTACAATGTAAAAAAGCACTGTTACACACTGTACTTGTGTACAAATATGGTCCAACACATCTATTTTCTTCATCAATTTTAAATACTGAGGCTATACCAATAACAACCTCTCGTTTGCCGATCCAACCTATGAGTGGACCACCGTGGTCATTCTGAAAGCAAATTATAAGAATTTAAAGGGGAACAGATGCTAACTAGTTGTTTACTTTTGTTTTGTGATAGTAGTGTTGGAAATTGATTGAGATGTATAGAAGTACATTGCCTCATCATCATCATCATGATTTTCGTCCATTGCTGGACTTAGACCTCTTCAATGGTCGCCACTGAGCTAGACCTTCAGCTCTACGAATATAATCACTACCAGCCACCTAGCTGGAGGTTCCCCTACACTACTTTTGCCTAGACGCAGTCTCCATTCTAGAACAAGTTTACCCCAACAGTCATCGGTTCTTTGACAAATAAATATACTAGCGTCAATTCATATGTTTGTAAACTAAGTCAGAGAAAATGTTTTAAGGATTGTTCGCTCACCTGGCATATTCCATTTCTCCGACTTATTCTGTATTCCATGTTTTTCGTAAGAAACGTTTCATTGAAATTGAAATTTTCCTCTGTAAAACTTTCATTAGAGTTACTATTTTTCATATCTTCATCTTCAATCGTATCATTTGTATTCATACGTTTACGTGTCTCATCTTTAGGGTAGTTTATATAGTCTATGAGAATAGGATCATTTTTGGTTTCCATTTGACACTGCATAAACAAATAATTACGTATTAAAATAACTATTTCGGTCAAAACTAACTCTTTATTAAACAAAGTTTTGAATTACATGACATAGTGTAGGCTTAATAACTTCAAACGATGAAAATCCTTACTATCCTTACTTATATTATAAATCGGAAAGTGAGTTTGTTTGTTTGTTCCGCTTTCACGCCGTAACTACAAAATCGATTGCTTTGAGTTTTTGCAGACGTAAAGTTAGAAGTCCGGATTAAATAATAGGGTACTTTTTATCCCGGAAAAATTTGATATTCCCGAAGGGAAAACAAAAGTATTGGTATAGATGGCGCTGTGTGTATTGGTATATGTAAATAGGCTACTGTTTATCCTGTTGTGACACGAGTGAAGCCGCGGGTAAAAGCTAGCATAAAATACTTACCACTTCACCTTCTATGCCCATCAGTTTATCGTTTTTTGTAATGCAGCCATCAACCAATGTATGATTTTGCGATACAATTTCTCCCTTATCGTTCATGTGACCGGCATCCAATGAACACAACATATACTTATCAATAGTTTTTAGTAATTCCGGATAGTCCTTATAGTGTTCCTTGCACAGGTTTTTATCCATTAGCAGTGTTGCTGTATATCGGAGCATTTCTTGGTTATAGTTGACTTTGTCACCATGCTAAAAATTATGATTAGATTTTATTATTGTTTTAGAAAACTTGTTTGGAATTACTTTGGAACCGACAAAAGATATAGTTTCTCCTCTGCTATGCTATCTCTTTATATGATATGGCTCGAATTAACGATTACAATATGATTATAAAAAATCTACATGACCACATTTTAAGACTAAATTGGTTATATGAATTATTTGTTACCTCTCGCCACATTTCTGTGTGCCCCCAACCAAGCACCATACCTTCAGTACCAGGCACTTGATGTTTAGGATCAAAATTAATGCGTGCTATAGTCGGAATATATGAGCACATTATCTGGAATCTTGCGTCGAACAAATTGTAAGGTGACTCCACTTTGGCCAATGCAATATCTATGTACGACCACTTTTCTATTTCATCGTAGGAAAATTCATAGGCTGAAAATATTTTTAGCATAATATTAATTATTAATCTGGATGATGCTTGAAATATACGACTTAAAATCCTACTTCCTTGTAAGAATCATAGAAACGGATGGAAATATTAATCAAATTTAGAACAGACAGAGATGTTTTAAAGTTAAGTGTGTGGGATATCGAATTTGGAAATAGTTGAATTCTATAACGATTTTCGCCAGCAACGTTATGAGTTCTATCAGGAATATAATTAAACCTAAGGCCTAATCTAAAAGGCCAACGGCCCTACTTCCAAAAAAATAGGTAGTATAGTAATACTACCTATTTTTTTGGACGTAGGGTATGATATATCCATGACTACACTTATCTTTGATCCATGACACTGCCGATAACACGGAACATTATTTTTTTAAAAATACAGCACTTTGGTATAATTAAAAATGCGTTCAAGGTTAACAATTTTATAATGACAAATTTAAATAGGCGGGATATTACCATACATACCATTCAACGAACTAGAGATTAATTACAAGCCATCCATTATAATTATTATTTGTCAATACAATTTAGATTCTTTCTTCCTTCGACTTACCTACCGGCACGCAAGTGTAAATAACTTTTTTCTTCATAGTCTTAGTGCAGTCATCGTATTCAATAAACTTGTCTTTAACATATTTCCTGTAACCTGCTATGGCATACAGATAGTCCACATCTTCAACGCAAGCAGCTGATGTTATAATAAACTCTTTGGAAACTAATGCTCCACCACAAAGCCATGAGTCGTAGATTTTCTTTGAAAATGGTGCTTTTACTAAATACACCTTAAAAAATATACTGGATTTAAAACATTTTTGCTTGTAACTGAGGCACTGGTAGGTTGGCAAATGTCTTTGGGAGGATCAGGTAATGTATCAATAAAACTATAATTTTATTTTTAAAGAGTAACGATTGAATTTCTTGCTTGTTCTTCTCCATTCGAAATTACACTTTGAAACGAGTGCCTAGCTTCACTGACAGACAGATGAATGGTCTATTCAGTTTTTGACGTTTCAAAAGTGTCTAATTAAAGATTGTAAATGCTTCGACTTTGACTTTGAGTGTAAGTGTAGATGGACTCTTACCACATACGTTTTATCTTCAGAAACTTCACTGCCGTTGATAATTCTTCTTTGACAATACGATACTGTAATTACAACACCTAGCTTTAGTAATAATTTGATGGTTTTTCAGTGTTAAACGACATAGTAATATTCTAGGATTGGCACCATATATTTTCTTCGCCTATGCTTTAGCCCTATTCTCATAAAAACTGTGACAGTTATCATTTTATATTGAGAGGAATAATATTAAAAACTTTTAAGCCTTTAGTTAAATGCCACCTTTCAACAAACGCTAGACGGTAGCAGATATCGTTTCCAATAAAACTCGTGACTTCGAAAAATTATTAGCACTAACAAAACCACGTGCGACCATCAAACACTTACCATGAAAAATAATGAATAACAAAAAAAAATTGAGGAACATTTTAATACCTAGCCTTGATCATACTTCATTGTAACTACGAATTTTAATTTATCGGTTCGTTAGAACAAAATGGAATCACAAATATTAATATGAATTTTATTGTATCTGCTTCTTTTTCGTGTTTAAGTAACTTAATAGTTAGGTACGAACATATAGAAATGGTTTTTTTTTTAAACACGTGACGCCTTTTAATGTTTATTTTGGTTTTCTAGGCAAAATGCATGCATTTGTCTCATAATCGTCAATTGGTCGGAGAATGCACGCATTCGTCAAATGACGCAACTTGCCTAGTAGGCCTTAGTTATGAGACTAGTATTTGTATGCTTCCCAAATTCATTATTTTTTTAATTGGTGTATATTATGAGATATGGGTTCATCTTGATAGGGGCTCATCATTAATCACCTCTGGCTACTTGTGCAGTATGCACAGAAATACATTATGATCTTATGACTATTCAAAATACCAATTAGAAAATAAAAAACACCAACGTTATCCACGTAATCTACTAAATAATTTATTTAACAAAAACAATGATTAGTATGAAATTCATTTTTAGCCATATCCATACGGCAGATTTTGTGGTGGCATCGTAGCTTGATTGACTAAGGCGTAGTTAGCGTCCCCGTATTCATCTCCAATCCTTGCCACCATTCTGTTACCCTGGTATCTTTCTGGTGGTATTCTGTAATCACTAGGAAAGTCTTCCAGTTCCTCCTCAGGGTGATATCTATCTTTTATGTAGTATTGTATATTTTGGTTATTGTTTGTATTTTTCATAACTTGTTTACCAACCACTTGTTGATTAGCTGTGTACTGTTTATTTACTGCATACTGTTGATTAGGTCCATTTTGCATATTTGCTAAATTCCCTGTATCAGGTGCAAACTGGTTACCTTTTTGTGAGTTATAGATGTATTGTGCATTTGCTGTATTCTGTTGATTTGTGACAACTTGTCCATTTGGTATACTCTGTTGATTAGGATTGAACTGTTCATTAGCTTTAAGTTGTTGATTAGGTGCAAATTGTCCGTTTGACATGACTTGCTGGTTTAGTGAGTATTGTACATTTCCTATATTTGATACGTATGGTTCATTTGCAACATTTTGTTGTCCTTTTCCTGTATTTTGTTGATTAAGTGCATACATTCCATTTTGTTGATTATATTGAAACGGTCTATCTTCTGTATGTTGTTGATTAGGTTGAAATTGCTCATACGCTGAATTTGGTGGGTTTGGATTAAATTGCACATTGATTGGATTTTTTTGGTTACCATCAAATTGTACAGGTTGCGGGTTTTGTTGATAATTTTGAAATTGATTATTTCCTGCACTTGGTTGATTAGGATCAAGTTGTCTATTTTGTTCATAAGGGTTTCCAATCCTTAAATAATTTTGACTTCCTACAGATTGTTCGTTACCAGCGTTATTTTGTATCACTGCGTATCTTTGCCTCGAAGCATTTTCGTTTTGTTCGTTCGCAGTATTAGTTTGCATCGCTGCATATTGCGCACTGTTTTGCCTTTCCACATATTGAGCAGCATTAGCTGCAGATTTTTGCTTTTCTACAGATTTTGCTGCTTCTTGTTGTTTTAAAAATTCTTCATTAGTTTGATATTGTTGACCTGAATATTGTTTATTCGCTGCAAATTTTTGAGTCGCGTCATATTGTTGATCTGCGTTTTCGTTCCTTACATATTTTTCTCCTGGCACTACAGGTTTTTCAAACTCCTGTGTCTCTGGATGTAGTTCATTTTGTGCAGGCCTGTTAAAATAATAATAATGTGAATAAAGATGTCGCAATATCAACATTTCATAAAACTAGCTCATGCATATATTGACAAAAAATAGGGTTTACAATTTTAATTACTTTTTTACGTATTATTCATGCAAAATCTATCTTAACCGGTTAATTGCAACCATTATTATACAAAATAAACATTTAATTTCTTACTTTTACGAAAATAACTTGTGTTTGACCATCACCTGTCGGCGTTTCTCGGGAGCGATCCGTTTACACTCTTTATAGGCTATATACTATACTATTATTTTAAATTCTGGTACCCACTTACCCTGATGGATGATCCTTCCACGAGATATGATTTCTTACAATATCAAAACCTTTCACGCTTGGTGGACTGTCGCATAAATCTAATCGTCGTCTGTAAAATAACTTATTTTTACTGACAATTTCAGTTACACGCAGATACACTGATGCTCTTTGAGTCTTATTTTGTTTCCATGAAAACGTGACCTGTGACTACCTTATTGGCTGAGTGGTCGCAAGTGCGACTGCCAGGCAAGGGGTCTCGGGTTCGATTCCCGAGTCGTGCAAAGTATTACTGGGTTTGTAAAAACCTCAGTAGTAGCACGGAGTCTGGAAATGTGCCCGGAATTACATGAGACTCATAACATAAATAGTGAAAAGTAGGTGTTACATTATATAGTGGCATTAAGTGCCGTAATATGTACCTCTGACTACCCCTTCGGGGATAAAAGGCGTGACGTTATGTTATTATGTTATGAAAACGTGACCTTGTTGCTTTTAAGTTATACTCACCTATATGTTGGGTTCGGGTTTGGTTTTGGGTCCGGTATTGGGTCCGGTTTCGGGGTCGATTTTTCAAGTCTTGTAGCACCAGTTTTATCAACCCAATAAGGATTGTTCAAAACACAATCCAAGAAAGCTGAGTTACACTGTGTACTGGTGTACAGAAACGGTCCAATACATGCGTTTTCTTCAGTTATTTTAAATACTGATGCTATACCGATTATTACTTCTCGGCTCCCCACCCAAGTGACAAGAGGACCACCGTGATCATTCTGGAAGAATAAATTCATGTAAATTATATATTTTAATCTTAATTGAGATAATGAAGTTTCTTAAATCCTACTAATATTATAAATGCGTAAGTTTGTGAGGATGTATGTGTGTGTGTGTGATCCAACATCACATCCACAGTACAGTGGTTCACGCAAAAACTACTGATCGGATTTAGATGAAACTTCACAGTAATGTAGGTCATACATCAGAATAACATATGGGCTACCATTTGTAATGGCTTTATGTTATTTTGAGCATAATATAACAAGAAATGTTAGCCAAATCGGGCCTCTGAGACCTATCTGGGCGTACGCTGCATAAACCATAGGAGTTACACTAAGATAATGTACTGTAAGATTATTTGTCTTGACTAGTTCTAAATAAAATGTATATGTCTTCTATTAGAATGTAACTTATCACATATTTAGCTAAAAGTGTTTATTTGATACTAGACTTCCTTTCTCCTTCGGGTCATAGAAGATATAAAACATGCACAAACAATTTTAAATTGATCGCCACAAACGCATCAGACGAATCAGCTGTCAATACAAACCGTCGAGAATCGAGATGGAGACTTATGCATATGGGGGCTTTTGCTCAGTCTTAAAAATTCACCAGCAGGTTTTATTCAGAGGACCACTAAATTTACATTTCTTTTTAAGCCTTTAACTGTCGATAAAAACTAGTTAAGGCCGATCCTCCACTAGCGTCGGACATCATTGTCCGCGACGGCATCCAATGTGTTAAATGATGTTACCTGACAAATCCCGTTTCTTCGGGTGAGATTAGAGTATCTCAAATGAGCAGCACGCTTTATATACTCATATGACGTGTAGTAATAAATTTTATCATTATTTCTTCGAAATTTGAATTCTTTATCGTTGTAGTCTTCACACTAAAACAAATTAATTACTTTAAAGATTCAACATACAACAACAATCATCAACAGAATCACTTTTTAGAAATTCTTACTAGGTACTAAATGCATGGGGCATAGAACAGCTACACATGTAGTCAGGTCACCCTAAACTATCAATAGGTAACATAAAATAATAACACGCCTGTTATCCCCGAAAGAGTAGACAGAGCACATTACGGCACTTGCTGGTACTATATTATGTAACACCCACTTTTCACCATTTAAGTTATTACTCCCATGTAATAGGGGGTGAGCCTATTACCATATACCGGGCACAGTTCCAAATTCGTTGCTAATATGTACTCATATTAAAAAAAACCTAGTAATACTTTGCCCTACCCGGTATACTCGAGACTTTTTTTAAAAGAGTAACGAATGAAGTTTCTTTCTCGTTCTTCTCAATTCGAATCTACATTTTGGAATAAGCACCTAGCTTCACTTACGGACTGACTGTCAGACTATTATTAATTTTATATTTGTTGACGTTTCAAAAGTACCAAATTATGGTTTAATTGAAATAAATGCTTTGACTTATCCGACCACTCTGCCAACAATGCTATCAATAGGTAAGTAACTTCCCTAAATATCCTCATCACACAACACCAACTAACTCACTAGATCATCTGGTCCGTTCTTCCTAGCTCCGGCTGGCACACATCCTTCCATCTTGGTAAAATCTTCATTAATTTGTTCTCCTTTATCATTTATATTACCATTTTCTAAAGTACATATCATGTATTGCTCAATTATGTATGACATGTTAGGATAAACTGAATATTCTTTCATACATTCCTTTTTGTCCATAATGAGCGTGGGAGAAAATTGCAAAAATGGTACATTGTAGTTGTCTAAGTCACCATGCTGTAAAAATATTTGTACAACATAAGTCGAAACGTTCCAGTACGTCTTCACAGAAAGTATATCTATATATATATATCTATTCAATATAAAAAATATCTATATACATATAATAAAATTTTAGAAAAGTCAAAAGTGTACATTTAATATTTTTTAAAAAGAATATTACAATTTTATCTGTTTGTCTGTATGTATGTCCGGGATGATCTCCAAAAGTATTTCGTGGATTTACTTCAAATTTTACATGAATATTACTAACAGGTTGGGTCAACATATAGGCTATTATCACGCTATCGTCTACGGGGGAGGAGCTGTGAATCACAATTCCACGCGAACGAAGTCGCGGGCAACAACTAGGAATATAATAATATGGCATTGTACCTCTACTTACCTCACGCCAAATGGATTTGTGACCAAATCCCATTACCATAGTATCGACATTAGTTACTTGATATTTAGGATCATAATTGATTGGTATTATAGCTGGTTTATAGGAACATAATTGTTCATAAACAGGATCTTCAAAATCAAAAGGAGAATCAACTTTTACCAATGCTATGTCTATGTAAGACCATTTCTCTAATAGATCGAAGTCAAAGTTGTAAGCTGAAATTATGAATAGGTTTAGACTGCTAATAATAAATTATTTAATGGCATCACATTGTCTATTTCATGGTATTAATGGACTTAAAAATGGAGGTGCTCAGTTTGACCTGTATGTATATGCAAGTTTGTGCGCAATTATCTCGCGACTGCCTCGCTGGCCGAGTGGTCGCAAGTGCGATTACCGGGCAGGGGTCTCGGGTTCGATTCCCGGGTCGGGCAAAGTATTACTGGGTTTTAAAAAAATTCTCAGTAGTAGCACGGCGTCTGGAAATGTGCCCGGTATATTGCAATAGGCTCACCCCCTATTACATGGGACTCATAACATAAATTGTGAAAAGTGAGTGTTACAAAGTACAGTGGTATAATGTGCACCTCTGCCTACCCCTTTGGGGATAAATGTTATGTTATGTTAAAAGTTTCAAAGACAAACATATATTTGCACTTACATACAGGAACGCACGTGTATATAACTCGTTTTTTCATTTTCTTCGTACATTCATCTGTCTCCAGTTCCTCATCGACAATATATTTGTTGTATCCTGCAATCACGTAAAGATAGTCCACATCTTCAACGCAAGCTGCTGATGTGATCACAAAATCTTTAGTCACTATGGCGCCACCACAAAGCCAGTGGTCGTAATTCCTTTCTGATAAGGACGCTTTTACTAAATACACCTAGAACAACAGCTTGATTTACTTATTATCCTACGGTTAATAAGAAGATAAAAGTGACAAGTTAATGTATGTACGTACTTACATAATATGGTTTAGCAGTCGTTATGTTAGTTCCATTTACTATAGCCAAAGATGGAGGAATATGCACTAGAACAATAAATAATTGTATATCATATGACTGACTGACTGCACGGTTGGCGTGGTGGTTGAGCAACTGGATGCCGCGCAACGTGTCTCGGATTGGTTTCCCGCACGGAACACACGGAACAACTCTTTGTGTAATTCACAGATTGTTGTTTCAGGGCGCTTACTCTTGAAACCAATCTCAATGTCAATGCAATTTCAATCCAATAATTATTTAATGTTAAACCTATACAACCCCTATCGTAGCTGTTAAAATAGCATTCAGAGTACGGAATATAAAGCCAAACTCAATACCACTTAGTTCATTAAATATACACGCAATACGGATGTAATGAGCGCTAGTGTTACAACTCAAGAGTACGAAATTTCACAATACCAATGTCGATCGATCGGAATTGGATTCAAGAGTAAACCCCCAGGTCTGAGTGGCATGTGTATGTGAACTTGTATGTTTGTAAACACAACCACGACACGGAGGAACGCCTAGTGTGGGGAACTGTAGGTTTTTTACGCAAAAAGAAAAAGTATAAAAACGTGGAAATAGGCGTGGTATTAAACATTTCGCCTGTCTCACCACACTCTAGGATTTATCCTCAAATATCCCACATAATTAGTTTAATTATAAATCTCAGTAGCAACAGAAACGACTGACGAGATCAAACGATCGACGTTCGACAAAAGGTACTTACTCTGACAAAACACTAAAAAAACAAAATCCAATACTATCGTGAACATTTGAAAAGTAGTTCTTGACGTATATCAACTAACTGAACAAATTGAATTCCATTGGACTGGAACACCTTTTAAATTCTTCTTTAGTAATTATATTTGTTAGTTTGTAGTGATTCTTTGACGAACTGGTGGTCAAGGTTTAGATAAAGAAACCAGTGTCATTTTAAAGCATATTAATAAATAAAATAGTTTCCTAAATTGTCAGTTTCATATAATTATTAAAATGTTAACTAGATTTAAACGTAGCAAGTAAGGCAATGTATTCAATCACCTAATACAATAATTTTGCATACTGTAAGGCAAAATGGAGACCCCATAAGTTATTATCCATATTAAAAAATACGTGTCTAATATTTTTCATTATCGAATTGAAGGACTCATTGGATTTTTAATTTTCGTACCCTGCCAACTGGATCTCTAATTGAGTAATTGACGATAGAATCAAATTATGGAGCCATGATCAGAATTGCACTGAATGAAAGAGTGTAACAATAAAATCAAAAATCTTTACCTTTTACCCAGTGCTGCAAGAAAATTTCGTATTTTCCTGCGCTTACCTTTCACTTCTTCTAATTCTTTGCCAGAGTCTGTATTTCCTGAAGGGTATAACCTGGGTGAATAGGTCAAGGCCCGAGTGAATAGGTTGCTTATGGGACGACGTGCTTCATCGTAGACCGCATCATCGCTTACCACCAGGCGAGATATTGGTCAAACGTCGCCACATCGTATATAAAAAAAATGGTTTGTTTCGAATTCTGTATATTTGATACAGTAATAGATTTCAGTTTGGTATATTGCATTGACTCCTTTGAATTTCCAGAACCGTGAGCTAAACTACTAGCAAAAGCTACTAAGAAAATAAACATCATACAAAAACCGTTCCAATTTATTTATTTTAAAAACTAACATATATTTTATTCAAGTAAAACTGTTAAGTATGCCTAAACAAAAGGTATTAAAATAAATCATTATTCATTTGTTACATTTTTCTAACCTTAAATATTATTATTTTAAATTCGGTATTTTAACTCCGGTGACATCAGATGAAGTGAGATGACCTAAACAAGAAAGAGCCAACAGATACTTTACACGTGATGATGATGATGATAAAATTATTTTAAACTCACTAATACTATACGCAATATGTAATAGAGAAAATACCTATTAAAATATGGAACTGCGTATGGAGAGATGAGATATTACAAAAAAAACATGAAGTAACAACGTTTCTGTTACATGTATGAACATCACTAATTAGTAAGTAGTGGCCCCCTCACTATAATGTGTTCTATAAGGTAAAACACTATTCACTAACGCCGCTGTCTACCTGTCATAGTCTAAGTGTGTTTACACGTCGTGTGCCTTGCACATTATTGTAATAAATCCAAGTATAATAAATCCGTCTACAATTTATTAATCTACCAACATAACAGTTTCAACAGAAGAGAACAAATTTTAAAAAATAAACAGCTCATCTTCCTAAAAAAGAAAACGAATGAAATGAAATGGATATTTTCTATGAATCCTTGCCACTAATACATACATAGATTGACAATCTATTGAACACAAAGACAATCAAGTACTGTTCATTAATTCATACTATAGGAAGAGCATGGATGGGCGTTTGAGGTTGCAGTACAGGTTTAATTATGTGATCTACATTTGAACCTATATTAGCTTGATATTTTTCACTGACTGCAATAGGCACATTTGGTTTATTCCCATTTGTTCGAAATACCTGATATTTCTCATTTATTGGATTGCCTTGGTTACTTTGGTTCGGCGTATGCCAATCGATCACTGGTTCTTTAATATTTCTTGTCCGTCTGTCAGCAAGTATGAACTTGTAATTACTTTGCGGTTGAGCATTTGGTGGCAAATTGTTTTTGCTAGTAAATTTATTATTGTTATATGTGTTTATGCCAACGTTGCCTTGGTAACCATTAGTTTGAAAATTTCTTTGTGCTCCATTATTATTATGCAAATTGTAATTGCTTGGTAATCTATTATTTCCTTGTAACTGATAATTTCTTGATACTCTATCAGTTCTAATATTCCCAATAGGCATTCTATTTGATTGCATCCCGTTATTCGTTTGCATTCCGTTATTCATTTGAAGTCGGTTATTTCCAGTCATCCCATTATTTCCAGGCATTCTGTTGTTTCCATTTATTGCAATATTTCCAGGAATTCCATTATTTGTTTGCATTCTGTTATATCCGGGCATACCGTTATTTGTATGCATTGCGTTATTTATTTGCATTCTGCTACTTCCAGAAATTCCAATATTACTAGGTAAACCGTTATTAATTTGCATTCTGTTACTTCCAGACATTACATTACTTCTGGGCATACCATTATCCATTTGCATTCCATTATTTCTAGGTATTCCATCATTTCTAGACATTGCATTATTTTTAGACATTACGTTATTTCCAGTATTTCTATTAAACCCAGGCACTCCCTTATTTTCAGACATCCCATTATGTACAGGCGTAACGTTATTTATAGGCACACCATTATTTATAGACATTCCATTATTTACGGGCATTTTGTTATTTATAATACCATTATTACCAGCATTATTAGCCGACATACCGTTGTTTAAAAGTATTCCTTCGTTTCGAGGTGGCAAATGACCCTGTGTATTTGGCGGAAATCTTAAATTGCCTGGTTCATTAGCAGGAAACGTCACTTGTCCATTCAAAGTAATATTTCCAGCATTATTTAAAGCTGGTGCCCTATTTTGTGGCAGTACAGCAGCTTGTGGAATCGCTGGTGCTGCTAGATATCTTTCATTAAGGTCTGATTCATTGTTAACAATAGGTTTTTCATTATCTTGCTTTTTATTATTTTCTTCTACAGGATTGTCTATTTTTGGTGCACTTGCTCGCATCGGATTGTTAATATTAAAATACATTTTGTTCATCGGATGTTTTCCAGTTCCTGTATCTTGGTTATTCTCGCTTGACACGAAACTGGTACGATTGTCGTTTGCATCAGATTTTGCATCCACTCTCGATCTGATAAGTCTACCGTTGTAAGCAGTTTGGCTGAAAAATCGTTATTTTATTATTAAGAGAGTTACTTTGTTTCTTTTTTGCTTCACCAAAATTATAAAGTCAAGAAAATAATAAATTTTGGCCATAAGGTTTAAGGAAATTATACACATGTATGCAGATGCTTATATATTTACAAGCATTTAACTAAGGAGTACTTACACAGGTGGATGATGATCCTTCCATCGTATGAACCTTTCCACGGTCTCATATCCTTTCTCATATGATGGTCTATCACATAAATCTCTCCTGTAATAATGAAAATTAATATATTTGACACTAATCATAGTACAGAGCTTACCATATTTCAAATATTATAATTATATACCATACAGAGATTTGTCAACAACGGTTTCCTATTGCATTTCTTACACAATTTTAGTTCAAACATTAACTGTATAAAATTAATAATTATATACATGTTAAATAAATTATTATGTTTTCGGCTTACTCACGTAATAAAGCCATGCTAGAGGCTCATATTCATGAGCAGCATTTCGCGACACGCGACGCGGCGACTGTCGCGCTGCTACTAGCGAGTAGCAGCGCGACAGTGCACGAAAACATAATAATTGATTTAGTATATCTCACGAAAGTTACAATACAAATATATATATGTTATTGTGCATGAATAATAAAATAAGGTTTACTTACCGACCGGTATTCTTAGGATCATTTTGGCTAGTTGCTATTTCGGATGTTAATATACAATCCAAGAACAGTCCAGTACAGAGAGTGCTCGTAAATAAGTAGGGGCCCATACAGTCATAATGCTCTGATACTTTGAATACTGATGCCACACCTATTAGGATCTCTCGAGCTCCTGACCACGTGATCAGCGGCCCTCCATGGTCATTCTGTAGCCAAAAACATTATGTAAGCGAAGATAGAAGTGAGAGAGCCATTCTTTGGCACGAATGCGCCCGCTCGACTGGAATGACATCACGGCCTCACAGAAAGCTGACGTGACAAAACGCTTGCGTTGTATTTCATCAGGTTACCACCTACCTCACAGGAAGCCTGATTATCTCCTTCTCTCAATGCCCAAATCTCCAACAATTCTCAATTTCCTAATTCCTAGGAGTCCGGCAATGCACCTGTAAAGCTACTGGTGTTTCGAGTGTCAATTGGCGGTGCTGATTGCTTACCATCAGGTGTTCAGGTGTCCAACCAAAACAGGCTGAGAGAACAAAACACTAGAGTTAGACAGATAGGCAAAAAACCTCCGTTGCTGCACAAAGGATTATGACATTAAACGATATTTACATTTGGAGATGGTTTGAGTTCAAAACTAAACATGAATAATTATGTGTTTCTCATTAGCTTGGGACTTTAGTAGGCATCAGCCTATAAGTACCCATTGCTAAGCAAAGGTTTTCTCTCACACGGAAAAGGTATGAACATTAATCATCAATTTAGCTCAAACTGAATGGATGACTATAAACTTATAATAATTTGAGTAATACTTTCAATTACCTGGCAAATACCACTTCTCCTTCCGTTCCCTAACCAGGTCCAATCAAAAGTCTGGTTGAACCCTGCTTCCATATTATCATAGTACGTTTGATTTAAAGGATCTTTTTCTTCTACTCGCCTTCTTGATTCACCACTATTTTCGTCTAGTTCTTCTTCTTCACACTAAATGTTAAAATAAGTATATTTTACAAGCTATTAAATTTTGAGAAACAAAATCATGGACAACATTACTCACTGACACTCCTTCAAATCCTAATATTTTTGACTGCTCCTTAGTACACCCATTTTCTATCGGTAAACTGGTTACAATAGTATTACCTCCATCATCAATATTGCCTTTGCCTAGCGTGCATATCATATACGTTTCGATAACGTAACTCATATTTGTATAGTCCTCATAATGTTCTAAGCAAGTCGTCTTATTGAGCAACAATGTTGGAGCATACATCAGCAGCTCTTGATTGTGATCCTCTTCATCTCTAGTCTGAAAATATTATTTTATCAGAACAATGTGTGCTTCAAATGTTTTACTATAGAGGTAATATGTCTTTGTTAGCAACGGCCTGTGCCAGTTCACTGCTAAGCTAGACCATGAGCCTATCAAGAAGCTTTACGTCCACGATATGCGGATTGAATTTCGCAGTTTGCGTCATTTCAAATATCGTCGACATCTAGCCTTTACGACACTAGAGATAAAAATAGGGATAATTGCAATATCTAAAATGACATTACTAATACAATTTCATCATTTTACCTTTCGATATTTATCTATATGTCCCCATCCGAGTACAAGAGCATCAGTGCCAGGCTCCTGATACTTCTCTTCGTAATTGATTGCAATGGGGGTTGGTTTGTAAGAGCATAGTTCTTCATACGTAGCATCGTTGAAATCAAAAGGTGTTTCTACTCTGACTAATGCTATATCTATTAATGACCAGTAATCTAGCTCTCCATACTTTAATTGGTATCCTGAAATGCAAATATCATTAGATTTTTTAATTCATAATTATTAACTACACTTGCCCGTTTTCACCTACCTCTTCTAACTTTAAACTACTTTAAAGGAACCCTAAAGCTTGGATAGGTAACATTTAACAGCATTTTTGTTTTCGCCAACCTATAAGAGACTAGCAGTATAAGTAAAGGGTTATTTTAGGTGCTACGTCACACTATGGAACTTTTAGTTAAGTGAAGTATTTAAGTTTAGGGGTGATTGGTGAATACGGTTATAAATGGTTTCACTGTCTGTGTTACCTATAAGTCGTGGATCTTATGCGGAGCCGTGAAATGTATCACTGTGTTTTAACGTTTCGAAATTCTTAGCAACAATACAAGTTTAGGATTTGTCAAACAACAAAACAATAGTTAGATAAAACTGATTCGAAAGTTCAGGAGTGGAAGGTCGCTCCGTCACTTGTTCCTGTAATACGTAGCAACTTCGGACGTCACACGGTATTTGAAATCAATTTATCTTCGAAAGTTTTTAATTTTGTAAGAAAAGAAAAAGATACGTGTTTAATGTATTAAAATAACTTAGCACACCACAATGAAAAAAAAATAGGAAATATAGGATACTCTCTTACCTTTTGGTACACAAGTGTATATAACCCTTTTCTTCTTCGACGCAGTGCACTTGTCCAATTCCAATTCATCATTGGGGATATACTTATTGTATCCCGAAATAACGTACATATAGTCTACATCGTTGACACAAGCCGCCGATGTTATAACAAATTCACTGCTAACAATCGCACCACCACACAACCAACTGTCATATGGAACCTGTGATAGCGGTGCTTTAACTAAATAAACCTAAAACAAATAACAAATTACATGAATAAATTATTATGTTTTTTTGTCTTACTCACTCACGAGAAACTCGACTAGTTTCAAGCCATGCTATAGGCTCAAATTAATGAGCAGTATTCCACGAAATAGTTCCTTGTCAAATAATTATGCGAATAAGCCGAAAAAGTTAATGATTAATTTAGAATGTCTCACGAAAGTTAAATTATAAAAATTTCACATCATTCTCAATGTTCATTAGCATTCATCATCATTGGCCGAAAGCTGTCTACTGCGGAATAAGGTCCTCTCCTTCTAATGATTGCTTGTTTGAAGCTAACATCTTTGCTTGACTGGCGGTTTGGAAATTGTAATCAGATCACCACGAAGTTGAAGAATACTGCTGCCCGGTCGTCGGTTCCAGTTTTAGGATATACATGGGTTTAAACTAACAGACAAGATGATCAAAACACATGTAGTTATGTAATGTGTATTCTTTGCCAAAACCTGTGTTTCCTAAAGGACCTGGGTGTCTTCGAGGCCCGAGTGTATAGGTTGCTTATGAGCAGACGTGCTCTATCGTAGGCCTCGTCATCGCTTACCACTAGGCGAGATACTGACCAAACGTCGGCCCATCAAATATATAAAAATAATTTGTTACTGTACTTAATACACTTACCACATATTTTTTGGGTGTCTCTACTGGCACACCGTCTTTTATTCTTCTCGTACCGGAAGTGTTCGCTACACATAAAACAATTTTAATAAATTTTGGTTACTGCATAAAAATTCTAAGGACAATTATGACCAAAAAAGATAATAATAATATGTTTTACATAGGTTTAATGCACAATATTGTAACAGAACAAAGATGATATCGACCGTGGCCAAGAAGTTCCATCGTAGATCGCATCCTCGCTTACCACCAGGCGAGATAGTGGGCAAACGTCGGCCCATCAAATATATACAAAAACTCGACTCCTATTTAATGGGACTTATAACATAACTGAATATGAGACTGCAATAGTGAATTTAAAGTCATAGATATAAAATTTAAATCTAACGAAACTTACCATAATGAATCATGTAAAGTAACAATAGTTTTAACTTTATTGCAAACATTATAAAACATATCCTTGAATTACAAAGTTAAAAGTTATGATTTGACGGTGTATTTCAGAATAATTTAATTCCAGTAGAAAACTGAACTTTTATGTATTTTCATTATATTGCTGCATTTTTGTTGTATCACTTTTAATAAAAGAACTTTTTGCTTTTACGACAACGCATATTATAATACATCAAATACTAAATCTTTTTTAACCATTTAGTCCTTAATTTCCTTTTACAAAAAATACACTGGGCCCAGTTTTGTGCCTTGTGGCAGTCCGATTTTGACTCAATAAAATTATGATGTTAACTCACACTAACAATAAATAACTACAACAAACATGACAACTCGTTAATGATTCACATTAATTATACAAAAAAAAGGATTAAAACTATTTATTTTATCTTATTAAATTGCCTTCGCAATTTTACAAAATACGTGAATGATACTAACACTGCAAGCGATCAATCTTGTTATTTTAAAAATATTTTTTATTAATTTGCATAAATATACGTTAATAGTGTGCCTTATCTGTATAGCTAAATAATAATAATAGTTTAGATAAAGAGTCTTAATTTTAATAATATCAACGTTACTTATATTGGAAGACCCGTAACAAAATTGAACTATTGACACTAACGCAGTTATTTTTAAATCAAGCAGACGAACTAAACATACTTTTCCTTCTTATATCAAGTTTGAAAATTAATCACTCACAGTCTAAGAATTAAATGGAATTACAAAAATGGCGATAGGAAACGGCTATCGAGCCATAAAACTTGGAAAGAATTTCGTGGTTTGTTTTACATTGATTTTCTTAAACATAAAAGATGCTTTCAATTTTTACTTTTTTCGCATTTTATTTTATAGTACAATGTGAGTTATTGTGTAGATTTGATTAGATGTAAGTGTCAAGTTGTTCATACTTATGATTGGTATTATTTTGATTAGCTATATTAAATAAATTCACACCTCACATGTTAAAGTATAATTGTGCAAGTAATATTTGCATGATATACAAATCCCTCGTGTGCAGGAGACCACGACAAAAACAAGACTATGAATGAGATTTAATAAGAAGTGACTATGAAAGAAAAGGGAGTGCACTATATAATAGGTGTTTAGGAGAAAATATAAATTAAATACAAGTTACAATAATCAAGGTAAAAATAAAATATTGTTGTTTCCAGCTACTTATTGTGAACGAAGAATTGTTAATGGCACCAGAGCACTTGGTGAACCAAAATTTTTGGTAAGTTCATGTATAATATAATAATAGTATAATACACCGATATGTATAGTATAATACACCGATCAGATTAATTGTTATTACCCTTCGATCCCTCGACCTTATTAAAATGTTTATAGATCAATACATTTAACGTAAACTGCGTAACTCGTTTTTTTTTTTTATATATAAGGTGCTCTATAATTTTTAGCCACGGCTTTAATGGGAGGTAGTGTTATGTTTACAGATTACAATTGTGAAGAAATTTCGTGCCCCGGACCAGTTAATTACATACAGTAATTAAGTAAACATTGACTACATTCTGCATAATGTGGTTCACAAATTACGCGCGATGCGTCGCTTAGTCAATGAAAACAATTGCTATCTCTTTCCACGTGTACTGAGAATGAAAACGGAAATCAGCTGACTAGTTCGTCACAATCTACTAGATACTCAATAGGCAGGCTAACAAGGGTTTTAAAAGTGCAATTACTTACCAGGTACGGCATTCTTCCGAAAAGCTGATGTAGGTAAATAAGATTATAAACTTCCCATCACACTTAAAACAGTTTTTTACACACTCTCTACCTACTTATCTACAAAACTGTTGCACAAGTCCACCTTCGCGTTGCACACAAATGAAGGCACGCTTCCAAACATGTCATATCACATTATTTAATGCGTCCGTTTCACTTTTACTATGTTTCGCGTTTGATTTAAAAGACGCCACAAGTTATTGTCTCTATCATCGTAAACTCCGGCAGTATCCCTTGTGCTCGCAAGAGGATGACACCGAAAGAACTCTAACACTTCCTCTTCGAGTTCTGATTAGAATTTCGTCGCCTGGGAGTCATTTTTACGTAGCGCGCGCGTATCTCCGACATTAAAACTAACGTGCGGGCAGGCAGGGGTTGACGGGGCTACTGGCGGCCGGGCGGCGCGTGCGACGAGTTCTGCTGGGGTGTGTTGTCTCGTTCTTGAACGCCCCGTCATACGCTGTTGCCATCCTTATCAGTAGCTCAACCCCCGCCTGCCCGGCGGCCGGTTGACCAGCGCGTGCGACGAGTGCAGGAGAGGGTGCGGGCGCGCCCGGCCGCCAGTAGCCCCGTCAACCCCTGCCTGCCCGCACGTTAGTTTTAATGTCGGAGATACGCGCGCGCTACGTAAAAATGACTCCCAGGCGACGAAATTCTAATCAGAACTCGAAGAGGAAGTGTTAGAGTTCTTTCGGTGTCATCCTCTTGCGAGCACAAGGGATACTGCCGGAGTTTACGATGATAGAGACAATAACTTGTGGCGTCTTTTAAATCAAACGCGAAACATAGTAAAAGTGAAACGGACGCATTAAATAATGTGATATGACATGTTTGGAAGCGTGCCTTCATTTGTGTGCAACGCGAAGGTGGACTTGTGCAACAGTTTTGTAGATAAGTAGGTAGAGAGTGTGTAAAAAACTGTTTTAAGTGTGATGGGAAGTTTATAATCTTATTTACCTACATCAGCTTTTCGGAAGAATGCCGTACCTGGTAAGTAATTGCACTTTTAAAACCCTTGTTAGCCTGCCTATTGAGTATCTAGTAGATTGTGACGAACTAGTCAGCTGATTTCCGTTTTCATTCTCAGTACACGTGGAAAGAGATAGCAATTGTTTTCATTGACTAAGCGACGCATCGCGCGTAATTTGTGAACCACATTATGCAGAATGTAGTCAATGTTTACTTAATTACTGTATGTAATTAACTGGTCCGAAGCACGAAATTTCTTCACAATTGTAATCTGTAAACATAACACTACCTCCCATTAAAGCCGTGGCTAAAAATTATAGAGCACCTTATATAGAAACGTTGCCCCACACTTGGATTTTCTCCTGTGTCGTGGTTGACTGCATGGTTGGCGCGGTGATTGGGCAACTGACTGCCGCGCAACGTGTCGCGGGTTCGATTCTCGCACGGAACAACGCTTTGTGTGATCCACAGATTGTTGTTCCGGGTCTGGGTGTCATGTGTATGTGAATTTGTATGTTTGTAAATGATGTTATTTTATACTTTTTGTAAAAATATTATTACCTTTTCTTTAATTTTAGGCATATTTTATAAAAGCACCACATTCACCAAAGAACTACGTGGGATGGATTTGCGGTGGTGCGATAATTCATCCATGGTACATACTAACGTCAGCTGTATGTATCGACGATGTGAGGCATGTGTTCGCCATCGTTGGCTACAATAAGTATGTGAAAACCGAAGACATGGACAAGGATGACTGTACCAAACGTACTAAGAAGAGGATTATCGCCAGGGCTTATCAAAGAGGTATATAATATAACTTCTTGGTTCTCAATCCTAGAGTACTGTTCATGTATAGGTCCCAGTTGAAATATCGTGGCGGCCCGGAGGTTTAAGATTTCTCACGCATGAGAGTGCGTGTTTGAAACTTACCAACGGCAAAATACCAATGTTCTTCCGAGTTATATGTACTTTGTAAGATTATTTAGACACCACTGACTAATGGTGAAGGAAAAACATTGTAAGGAAACCTGGGCCTATAAATTCGAAATTCGTTTGAAATCGCCAACCCGCATCGTTCATTGCAAATTGGTCGAATCAGTAACCAAGTAATAGTCACTGTCTTTCTACTGAATCAGTCTTTGATCTTTATTTGCGTATCTAACAGCTTGGCTAAGTCAAAGCAATCCTTAAGGATTAATTGAAATAAATTTTTGATTTAACTTCGACCTAATTAATTAGGTACTTTGGAAACGTCAAAAATTGAATTACATATCTGTCTGTCTGTCAGTGAAACTAGGCGCTCGTTCCAAAGTGAAGTTTCGAATGGAGAAGAACGAGAACAAAATTGCATCGTTACTCTTTTATAAAAATGATGTTTACATTGATACATTATCTGATTCTTTACCAATTGTACATATATGTGAGAACGATGTAACGACAATATAACATTAATGGTGCTACTGAATCAACTCCTGAAATTATAAAAAAGCTATGGATGATTGTTTCAAACATGGTGCCCACATACGTACACTTACTATTTCAAATAATGCTTCTATACAAATAAAAATCTTTGATGAAGTCTTTTAAAGAACTAACTGTATACTAATTATATTGATTAATGCACTATGGAAATTTGAATTTTATTTACAGATATAAATAGAACACTAAGTCAAAAAAATTGGAATTCAAGAGACATAAGCTTGGCGAAAGTGGAGTCACCTTATGACTTCAGAGACCCAGTCTATACGCGGCATTGCTCATACATGCCAGGATCGATCAAAGTTAACTTCAACCGAGACTTTGAAATGCCAGGAACTGAAGTCATCACTTATGGGTGGGGACATAAAAATTTTATTCGACAGGTATTATCTTCATAACATAACATAACATCACGCCTTTTATCCCCGAAGGGGTAGGCAGAGGTGCACATAGAAGTAACACCCACTTTTCACTATTTATGTTATGAGTCCCATGTAATAGGGGGTGAGCCTATTGTAGTGTATTATCTTCATTTTATTTTTATCCACTACTAACAGTTTCTAAAATCCAAATATTAATATCCGTAGTGTATGTCGGTTCCATATTGACGTGGGAGCAGTAATAATTATGTTAAGGTGTAAACTACTGACTCATAAAGCATGGGTTTGTAGGTACATAACGCGAACTCCTTTAGTGGTCGCAAACTTGTATGCCTAGCAGGACATTTAAGGATTGTTTCTCGACACTAATATTCCAGAGTTTTTGATAAGGCAAACCCTAATAACAAATGTGAATAATAACATAACAAATAAATAATAATATGTTTTTTATAAACTACGTTTTAAAAAAAATACCTATACCTCCGTTTTTAGAAGTTGGTTGACTAATATATGTATGTATTAAAACCATCTTCTAAGCGTAACAAACACTTTTCTGAAAAACACAGAAAATCGGTTCAGCAAATTGCAAAATGTCAAACTGCGAATCTCCTTTTTTAAGTATGTAGGTTAAAAAATATTGTATTAATTCATTTATTTATTGTAACACCTTACAATATGACATCTTACAGTTTATTCCAATGCAATATCATAATTTTCTAACTCATTTAATTCCAACATGTAATTTGATTAATAAAACCTTAATTAATAGACTTAATAAGAGTTACATACTCTCAGTATGACATACTTATTATGACAATATATACACAATTACTCAATACGGTGATATTCAATGGATTATTATAACCCACTGCCTGATCTACTACACATTTTTTAAACAAAAAATTATGCATTTAACTTTTTGTCAAAGGAAGGTGACCTTAAAGATCATAATGCGAAATTCGTGAACTACGCCTCAACAATAGTAATTGACAAGGAGTTATGTAAAAAGATGCTAGTTGGACATTCCGATATACAACTAAACGTTGAGTATTTCCTCATCTGCACCTCTGGAGAAGGTGCCTTAGATGAGGGAGGAAAGATGAATAATGGTCCAGTTACTCCAAAGACCTTTAATGGCAGCACACCTGGAATTTATCAGAGTGTAAGTAGATAATTATGGTTTTAGACTCAAGCCGTGTGATGATGGCACAGTTGAATCCATCTGATTTTATCATCACCTCTAAAATCCCGCAGATGTCGTAAGAGTTATTGAAAAGGTTGCGTTTTGACAAAGACTGTGTAGCAGTGCTCACTAAATATTTAAACTGCGATTTCCAAACTAGATAGGTTGGAAATAATAAATAAAATTAAAATCAATAAACTAGTTAGAATAGAGGTTACCCGGGCTATAAAAAAACTGCAGGTTGGTCAAAATTGCTATTGAGATGTTTTCCAAGTATTAGAATCTTTTCTAAATTTGAATAAAATAGATTTAACCTCGTTTCCAATGAATGCTACCGATAAATAATTATATTTCTTAACACAGGTGTTGTCACTTGATAATTTAGTTACTCATAAAACGAACCACACCGACTTCACGAACTTGAGAAGACATGGGCCATGCCAGGTACGATAAATTATTTTGTTTAAATAATTTTATAATACGCTCAGTAGTTATTGATTCTAAATCTATGCTATTGTTTAAATACACACTTCTGAACGCACTCAATGTAAATTAGCTAAACTAAATCCTTTTTTAAGGAGCTTAGCGCGGATTTCATTGAATTAAGCACACATCATTATTTTTTCATTTTATATCTTTACATATCTATTGAAAGATTGCTAACAAACTTGACATCAATTAATGATGTCACCTTTTAATTTAATTTCTAGAATGATCACGGCGGCCCCCTCGTCACCTGGATTGGGGGTCGAGAGTACGTCATCGGCATCGCCAGTGGCTTCCAAGTCAATAAGAAAATGCAATGCGTTGCTCCTTACCTCTATACAAGTACATTTAGCAATGGGGAATTTATTTATTGTTTGTTAAGAAAGTAAGTACTATAATAGTAAAAAAAGTATTATGTATGTTTCCTTTTAAATCACGATTTTACGATAAAAGAGGAGAATGAGCAGACGTGATCCGTCTGATGGTCCTGATAGTAAGCGATTACTGGAGTCACAGGTGCGGTGCCGTTTATGCCAGTGCCAGTTATCTTGTAGTGAGCGACTCCATATTCACTATGTCGGTTGTTGCTAAAATAATAGATACTTTTTTCGAACCTTTAATCGATCAGTTTCTAGTGTAATAAATAAGTCATTCGCTTATTTGGTTCAGCATAATAAATTCGCTTATACATAACTATCTAACTATTAATTAACACAGTACAAAATTTTAGCACCAGACGTTCAACACTATGTGATGTCCAACCAGAACGAAAAGGCTATGAGATTGTGGAAGAAGAAATTAATTGGAACATAAATATTGCCAGAAGGTAAGTAAGGCAGGTTCAATAAAATAACAACATTTGGCCTGTAAAATGTCTAGTCATCTAACGTTTAAGACCCTGGACCCCATAATCTTGTGTAATAAGAAACTGCAAGCGGGCGCACTTGTGGTTTTTCCGAGCTAGTTTTAATACATACAAAATATATACATACAATTATATGTTGCAAGATTTTTAAAAGGGACAAACTTTTTTCGATACCTACTTCTGCAACTCCTGTATGGTTTTTTTTAAGGGGGGAAAATTATCGAATGACGGCTCCCGCCTGGATGAGGCGGGAGGGAGTCTCAGACTCTTACTGACTAAAAACCACCCCGTTCCTTCTCCTGCACGTCGAGCCGGAGCCCCGGTATGCCGTTAGGTTCTCCGCAACTCCGAATCGGCATTGACCCTGTTGGGCCCCATCTGTGGTGGTCTGATGGATCTTTGAGGCGCGCGCAGAACGCGACGTGCCGTACGGTCGGGTCTGTTTCTGGTCGGACAGGGAGCCACCCATGCTCGCCGTCCTCAGGCCCGCGCTTACGGTGGCCGGAGATCGTCACGCGATCCCTGACGCCCGGTGTGTCTTTCTTATGCTAGGATCTAAAGTTGTTACACAGTTATTACAACTATGAACATATCAGAACGTCCCAAGGACATGAATAACATCTTCGATAACGCAACGAAATAAATCAGTAAATGTTATTAGATGACAAAAAAGAACTTCTACAATTAAAAGCCACCTCGAATCCATCCTAGTGCGGCTGGGGCCTTGCTTAGATAACCAGACATTTATGTAACGAAGTGTCATGTGATACTAGAACTATTTGTATATGAATGAAATATTCGTTTCAGTACCCATTTAGAAGATATGACTCCTGTGGTAGATAACAGTAAAGTGAAGAAAACCAACAAAAATTCGGAACCTTGGAAAGACGCCGGTTACTTCTTGCAATTACGATCTACGAACCATTCAGATGACAAGCCATAAGATATCCTATTAGTTGTAATATTAAAGATTATTTTTCAATGATATATAGCGTTTATTAAAGTAAAACTGTAAGTTGAATGTTTTGTTTGCTTATTTTAATCAACTTTCATTGTTTATACAATTAAACTCTTATTTCAACTGAAGCTAAATCTTTATAGATTTAGCTTCAGTTGAAATAAGAGGATTAAAATACTAACTTAACTTACAACCTTAAATAAAATTTACTAACGACCCAGTTTCTGTATCAGATTTTATACAACATGTAAGGTCATTTTATTCCCTTTATATAATTTGGCCTACCAAAAAAACCTAGGGAGATATACATACATACATGCATAACCTCACGTCTGTCTCCCATGGGTAGGCCTATATACCTATATACTCTTGTATGGAATGCCAATTGCTACGATCCTTACATACCTTTTTCACTTCATCAACTGTCATCAATTTTATCATGCATGCTCGTCGATTAAGGGTACTATTATTACTTGTGTATAGACGAGTAGCCCTTATAACTAATTGTCCATTATCAGCCACGACATTCCTTTCCACCAGGTGATATGGTAGACAAACGTCAATCTATCCATTATAAAAAAATACTTTTTTAAGACAATACCTGTATATGATACACAAAAATTATGAACCTCTAAGATTAAATAACTACAGAGAAAAAATGTCTTATACCAATCCAAATACTTTATTATATAATTTTCTGATTCGACAATACTTACTAGCATTTACCACTACAGCATTTTACTAAATACTTTTATCAATATAATATCACCGCTACACCGCTTTTTTTAAGGGGGGAAAATCATCGAATTACTGCTCCCGCCTAGGTGAGGCTCCCGCCTCAGACTCTTACTGATTAAAAACCACCCCGTTCCTTCTCCTGCACGACGAGCCGGAGCCCCAGTAACCCGTTAGATTCTCCGCTAAACAAAATTTTCAAACGCTACATCGTAGCATCGACCAGACTTCGCCGTAGCACTCAAATAATAGCTACGCAAAATGAACAATATTTTAGAATTGTTTAATTAAAAAAATATAATTGATTGTCGTTTCCGAATCGTTTCTAACTTCAGTATAAAACTAAGTAAACCTTTCCGGTTGCAATAGTTCCTTTTATCAGTCAATTCTACGGATGAACGCTCACTCGGAATTGTACTTAAAAAATTAATTTAATGGAAAAATGAATCAATGTCGCTACGATGCTGAAGTGCTTTTACCTATTGATTTGGATAGCGGTTTTCAGGTGTTAGTACTGTATTATATTATCGTTGTTTTATTTGGAGCTAATTTGTATAGATTAAGCACTAAAATGGCAATTTATAAGACATTGATTACGTAATTATTGATCTTTACCGACCTTGTCCAGCACAGAGAGGAACCAAAACCATGTAGCATATATATACCTACACAAACACAAATGAATTGAAATCGGAATTGTCTGAATTGATTTCTTAATAGCTTACATTGTTTGTCTATTTTTCAGTGAAATTATTCATTAATGTTAATTTTACTGTAACAAATATTTTTTATTTCAGTATGTAACACAAGTCATCGAAAGATGGGACTGGGCAATGAAAGTATTTTGGGAAAGAAATACCTTGTAAGTGTCTTTCATTATTATGTATAGCTTCACATACATATAAGGTGTTCTATAATTTTATGCCACGGCTTTAATGGGAGGTAGTGTTATGTTTACAGATTACAATTGTGAAGAAATTTCGTACCCCGGACCAGTTAATTACATACAGTAATTAAGTAAACATTGACTACATTCTGCATAATGTGGTTCACAAATTACGCGCGATGCGTCGCTTAGTCAATGAAAACAATTGCTATCTCTTTCCACGTGTACTGAGAATGAAAACGGAAATCAGCTGACTAGTTCGTCACTATCTAATCTACTAGGTACTCAATAGGCAGGCTAACAAGGGTTTTAAAAGTGCAATTACTTACCAGGTACGGCATTCTTCCGAAAAGCTGATGTAGGTAAATAAGATTATAAACTTCCCATCACACTTAAAACAGTTTTTTACACACTCTCTACCTACTTATCTACAAAACTGTTGCACAAGTCCACCTTCGCGTTGCACACAAATGAAGGCACGCTTCCAAACATGTCATATCACATTACTTAATGCGTCCGTTTCACTTTTACTATGTTTCGCGTTTGATTTAAAAGACGCCACAAGTTATTGTCTCTATCATCGTAAACTCCGGCAGTATCCCTTGTGCTCGCAAGACGATGACACCGAAAGAACTCTAACACTTCCTCTTCGAGTTCTGATTAGAATTTCGTCGCCTGGGAGTCATTTTTACGTAGCGCGCGCGTATCCCCGACATTGAAACTAACAACGTCCGCGCAGGCAGGGGTTGACTGGGCTACTGGCGGCCGGGCGGCGCGTGCGACGAGTTCTGCTGGCTGGGGTGTGCTGTCTCGTTCTTGAACGCCCCGTCATACGCTGTTGCCATCCTTATCAGTAGCTCAACCCCCGCCTGCCCGGCGGCCGGTTGACCAGCGCGTGCGACGAGTGCAGGAGAGGGTGCGGGCGCGCGGGGGTGTGCAGCGTGCTCTTAGCCGCCCGGCGCGAGCGGTCTGATAAGGATGGCAACAGCGTATGACGGGGCGTTCAAGAACGAGACAACACACCCCAGCAGAACTCGTCGCACGCGCCGCCCGGCCGCTAGTAGCCCCGTCAACCCCTGCTTGCCCGCACGTTAGTTTTAATGTCGGAGATACGCGCGCGCTACGTAAAAATGACTACCAGGCGACGAAATTCAAATCAGAACTCGAAGAGGAAGTGTTAGAGTTCTTTCGGTGTCATCTTCTTGCGTGCACAAGGGATACCGCCGGAGTTTACGATGATAGTGACAATAACTTGTGGAGTCAAACGCGAAACAAAGTAAAAGTGAAACGGACACGTTAAATAATGTGATATGACATGTTTGGAAGCGTGCCTTTATTTGTGTGCAACGCGAAGGTGGACTTGTGCAACAGTTTTGTAGATAAGTAGGTAGAGAGTGTGTAAAAAACTGTTTTAAGTGTGATGGGAAGTTTATAATCTTATTTACCTACATCAGCTTTTCGGAAGAATGCCGTACCTGGTAAGTAATTGCACTTTTAAAACCCTTGTTAGCCTGCCTATTGAGTATCTAGTAGATTAGATAGTGACGAACTAGTCAGCTGATTTCCGTTTTCATTCTCAGTACACGTGGAAAGAGATAGCAATTGTTTTCATTGACTAAGCGACGCATCGCGCGTAATTTGTGAACCACATTATGCAGAATGTAGTCAATGTTTACTTAATTACTGTATGTAATTAACTGGTCCGGGGTACGAAATTTCTTCACAATTGTAATCTGTAAACATAACACTACCTCCCATTAAAGCCGTGGCATAAAATTATAGAACACCTTATATGTGTAAAACGTCATTATCATCATTATTTTAGACACTCTCTTCGTTTTCCTTATATCTTGATTACTGAAGGTCATATCTACTTAGCAAATCCTTCTGTGGGATCTTTAGTGTAGTCTTCTATGACTCCTTGTCTCAGCATACTCGAAAACGGTGTTGTTCGATCGAGAGAGTATGTTCTATCATCTGGCTACCATACTAATTTTTTCCCAGGTATATTTTGTCAAGTCACCATTTTCAAAAGTCGATGATGAAGCATGGATATGTGCAGGAGCCATAGTATCACCAACACAAATATTGACAGCAGCTGCCTGCCTTGTTGATGTGGACAAAATATACGCCATAGCTGGCTACAAGAAATATGTACACGGCAATGATATAGAAAATGATGAATGCACTAAAAGATGGAAGAAAAAAGTGGTCAAAGTTTCTGTTCCAAAAGGTATTAAATTAATTGATTTAACACGATTAAGAGCTCCTAGTCATAATAATTTTTGAATCCATAAAATATGTCGATGTTAACATCACACATATCACATAAACTTTTAATTTCTTAGACAAGTAAATAATACAAAAATTGTTTACTTCCAGAATACAATATGGCTACCGACAAACAGCCAGATTGGATGGACATAGACCTTGGAGTGGCCACAGTAGACGAACCATACAATTTCACCGAACTATCACATCCAACAAATTGCTCATATGAACCACAGAGTATAATCATCAATTATGATAAGAAAAATGAATTGGAAAATGTCAGAGCAACAGCTTTAGGATGGGGAGGAATTAAAATAAGACAAGTGAGTTCATTTTTTTATATTTGATGTATCAATGTTTGACTGTTTTGTAGTAAGCGATGGTGTGGCTGTGGCCTACAATAGAGCTCCGATTTTTAGGAGTCGAAAAAGGTTAGAGAAAAGATAATAGCAACACACGTTTTTCAAATATGACTTGGGTTTCTTCAAGTCCCGAGTGAACAGGTTGCTCATAGGTAGGCGTGCTCCATCGTCGGCCATATCATTGCTTACTATCAGGCGAGATGGTGGTCAAACGTCGACCTATAAAGTGTAAAAAAAACACATTACTGAAATAGCACCCACTAGGTATTTAATTTTCAAAATTGGATATCCTAATAGAGAATTAAGCCCAAGACTGTATGTGACACAAAATAAGAATAATGCGACTAAATAAATAGCCACAAAATAGGCACACACAATAAAACAAATTGCTTATGAATTCAAATTTAAAATAATGGACATAAATAAAATTAATATTAACTATTACTAAATGAAAATATATACAACTTATAAATAACTATGAACTTTAAAACTTATAAATAACTATGAACTTTGAATTGCTTATTATTTAATTTTTTAGCCCAAGGAATTAGCGAAACTGCATAAGAAACCTCAAATACTTAAAGAAGCATCAACAATTATAATAGAGAAAAAAGTGTGCTTAGACTTAATAAAAGGCAACGTATCGAAAGAAGTGCTTGATAAATATATTCTGTGTGCTTCTGGCAATGGTATGGTTGTTGATGATGGAGAAGAGACATCAGTGGACACGAGACCATTCGCCCCAGACGAGTGCCCTTACAACTCAACTGAGAGCGGCGTAAGTTTGAATTAAATTTAAAATACCTAATTAAAGTCAAAAATATTTTTTCACATGATAATATCATATTGTTCTCATGCTATTCATAGAATATTAGCAACAGTCTTTTGTCTTTTGTCTTTCATAGGTATTGACCTTAGCTTAACTAGGGTATCAAAGATACATTTCCAAAAGTTTTTTTTGAGGTGGAAAATCATCCTTTGCCTAGTTCCACCTTGAGAGTGACGAGAGGGAGTGTCAGACTCTTACTGACATAAAACCGTTCCTACTTCTGCTCTTCGAACCGGAGCCCGTTATGTCCTTCGCGGCTCCTTATCTTCATCAGCCCTACTGATGACTATTTCAGGCGCGCGCGGGGTGCAACGTGCCATACGTTCGGGTTCCGTTTTGATTGGGCAGCGATTTACCCGTGCTCGTCGTCCGCAAGCCCGTGCTTACGGTGATTAGACATCGTCTCGCAATCACATTTCCAAAAGCTGACTCCATTTTCAAGTATACCTGTTTAAGCTACGTTTGAACAAAATTCTCTTCAAAGCTTGTGATAGTGTAGGTATTTTACTAACCCAGATTTGTTATAATTACAGTGCGTAGATGCAAACTATGAAATGTTGAGAAGGCAACAATCAAAAATCAATGTAACCATAGAACAACCAGAAATACATAAAAACAGCAACAAAACAAATTCAAGAAGGACGCCCTTGATAGAGACTTGTCAGGTAAGATAAAACATAACCTATCAACTATTTAACCTCTAAAAGAGTGAGAATATTGGCACATATTTGATACTAGCTTTTACCCGAGGCTTTGCCCGCGTATTCCTATTTTATCCCATAGGAGCATTTAATCGGGATAAACATATCCGAAAGGATGGTGAGGTGGAAACCTAAGTACGTCCATATCCTGCCAGTATACCAAATTATATCAAAATCCGTTCGGTAGTTTCAACCTGATTGACGGACAAACATCCAGATAAAGAAACTCACATTTATAATATTACTGTAATTACGTTTTCATCTTATATGCATATTATTAACCTTATGTTATTGGAGTAAGCTTATTGAAACTTAATACGAAATCAATGATAAAAATACTAAAGTAACCTTAATGTAATTTTAGTTGACGACTTTCAATTTGAAAAATCAATATACACAACTGTAGTGCAATGTATCCGTTGCAACCACTATTAAACAGTTTCATTCATTTAAACGGGGCATTTAATAAATAATGATTCTTATTCAAATTTCCAGAATGATCATGGAGGTCCCCTCACCACGTGGATTGGTACAGAGGAGATGGTTCTAGGCGTGGCACTGGATGGCATCTCCAATCCAAACTTCGACTGTGTTGGTCCTAGAATTTATGTTAGTACAGCAGAAACCGCTAAAATAATCAAATGTCTTTTAGAAACGAATGAAACACAGTAAGTCTTTTAATGCATAGTGTAATCTGAGAGTTTATATTATTATATACTAGTCAAATCTCGTGTAAGAATATTCAGAAAAAACGCAGGAAATTGTTACTTCAATCAACTTTGCTCTTTTTTATATTTTCTTTATTTTATAGATCATGTTTTTTACTAATTTCATGTTTTGCAGGCGAAAAATCTGTAACAATGATAACAAAGAACACCAAGTTCACGACATACAAATAAAATGGCCTAAAGACATGCCAAAAAACTCAAGTAAAGGTGATCACAAAATATCACCTTATTTAAGACAAGGAAATGAGGAACAACCTCTGCATGTGCGGCCAACTAAAGACCTAGGAAACGTTGAAGAGCATGGCAACCCACTACGATCACCTCAGTTAGAAATTCCAGTTGACCAATTTTATAATTCACCACCTCTACAAACAAGTACATTAAATCCATATTACCAACTACAAAACCAACAACCAGTTGTGCCTCAAGGAAATGCACAACAATACGGAGAACAATCGCAAGGTCAGGTGCAACAATCAATGGATTTAAATCAACAACAATTCAATTCGTTAAGTCAATCTCAAGTTTCAGCGTATAACCAACCACCGCCATTAGCTAACGTACCACCTCAGGTGGAGTCTTTTAATCAACAACCAATGGAAACGCAACCCCAGCCATCAGATTCTTTTAGTCAGCAACAGCCATCGTCTTATGACCAACAGTCATTTGGATCACAAAACCAGCAGCCAATCGAAAATTATAAGCAACAGCAAGCCTATATTCAACAATATGTAGAATCGTTTAGCGATCCACAAACGGGCAGTTATAATCAACCACAAACCGTGCCACAAAATCAATCTCCTACTGACACGTTTAACCAACAAAATCAAGGTCAGAAAGAAACCTTTAACCAACCCTCTCAGGACGTATTTGGCCAGCCTGCAATGGATCCATTTAAACAACCTCAAACAGAACCGTTTAGTTCAGCTAATCAACCTCAATCGGACGCTTTTAATCAACCTATAGGATCACCTGATCAACAACAAAATTTGAGATCACCAGATCAACAGCAAATAGGACAACCTAACCAACAGCAAATAGGACAACCTAACCCACAGCAAATGGAACAACCTGACCAACAACAAATGGCACAGCTTAACCAGCAGCCAATAGGACAGCCTAATCAACAGCAAATGGGGCAACCTAACCAACAGCAAATAGGACAACCTGACCAACAGCAATTGGGACAACCCAACCAACAGCAAATGGGACAACCTAACCAACAGCAAATAGGACAACCCGGCCAACAGCAATTGGTACAAACTAGCCAACAGCAAATGGGACAGCCTACCCAACAGCAAATAGGACAGCCCAATCAACAACAAATGGACTTGCTTAGCCAACCTCAAATAGGCACACTCGGTCAACAGCCCGTTGAACAATTGGGACAATTTCAAACTTCATTCAATCAACCACAAAATGATGGTAATAAAATACCAGCAGATCCTTTTAACCAATTGCAGATGAATTCATATAATCAACCACAAATGGAATCTCGAAGTCAGGCACTCGCAGAAGAAAACAATCAGCCTCAAGGATCATTTAATAATCAACAATTAAACCCGACAAACAAACCAATGGACATAGCAATGTATCCTCCTGGGCAGGGAGATTCATTTAACCAGCAGCAAAGTGATGCTTTTCAGCAGTCTCAAACACAAAGTAAAAGCCAATATACAGAATCATTTCAAGTTCCACAGGCCCAACAGTCAGATCCATTTAGTCAACAACAAATAGATCCTTCGAAACAAAATCCATTAAATCAGTATATTCAACAACAAGCTGATCCCTTAAAGCAAAGTCCTCCAAATCAATATATGCAACAACAAGTAGATCAATTTAAACCACTGCAAAAGGAATCCTTCAACCAACAACCAGTAGACTCCTATGCCCTTCAACGATCAGATCCTTTACAGTCAGGCCAAATGGGTACATTCAATATACCACAAATCAACCCCTTTAAACAGCAGCCTGAACAATTGTACAATCAACCTCAGGACCAATTTAGAAAACCAGAGTCAATGCAAGGACAGCAAATAAAAACACAACCCTTCAGTCAACAACAAGATTCTTTTGCACAAGCATCGTACAGTAATCCTCAAATAGAAGCATTTAAGCCATCGCCACCAGAAACAGAAGCAGATGCGTATAATCCACTCGCTTTTCTGAATCGTAATTACGATGAACCATTCAAAGTGGATACATTTAAACCTCAGCCCGTAGAACCGTACAAACAACCAAATTCAGAACCCTACAATAACAACCAACATCCTTTCAAACCAGCACCGGTTGAACCCTACGTTGAACATAGTATACTACGTGATAGAGGGCAACCACGTTCACCTCAGTCTGCACCATCCTTACAAACATTTATTCAATCAAAAATACCAGTTTCATCTCCAAGTTTTGATACAAGTCACATACACAATATACTACGGGAACGACCTCCAAATGAACCGGAGCCACCTCGCGGTGAAACCCAAACTTTTGAGCAAATATATTCACAGTTCCGTGGGCCTGGGAGTGAGTCGTCACAGCAGGGCGCCACGGAACAAACATTTGAGGAAGTTTATAAAAATCTGCACGATGGCTCTGTTGACTTGCCTCATGAACTGCAGTCGGAGTCACGGTTTGACCAGCCGTTTGAGCAGCAGTTTGAACAAACGAATCAAAGTCCTAAGATATTGAGCATGGCTCGGGCGGCTGATGGAAAGTAAGTACGCATTTGAACAACTCTGATTAATGTTTTCTTATTTCCAGTGGTCTGATTAACCCGCACGTCAAAAGGCTTTATGCTACCTCTACTTATTTCAACAGGACATAGTTTGCGACCGACGCTGCCATGCTTCTGCCATTCAATAATTTGCAAATTATATAGAAAGACATGTAAATACCGTTGAAACTCAATTTAATGCAATGGATATAGTTATATCCTAATAACTGGTATCAAGGGATTGTAATTATTTGCTCGTTCGTAATATAGGTTTAATTAAAGCCGTTTATTTTATAAAAGATTTGAATATTGTAGATAACATTACATGACAAATTGATACTAGCATCTGTTTTTTATTTCAGCGACGAAATTAAAGTGAGACATCAGGTGCCTTTTGAGTTACCAGATTACTCGTCATACGACGTTAGACGTCAAAATAACAACGATTCGATTGCGATAAAATCGAGCACGACCTTAAGTTCGAATAATTAAATCGATTTGTTTTATTAGGTTAGGTTAGGAAAGAACAGCAGGAATAAGAGACAATTATTCGAATAAAAATATCATTTTATTTATTAATTTTATCTTACTTGTCGGAACCTTAATGGAGGAACAGTCCTTTAGCACATAAAATATTATAAAAAATTTAACACAAAACTGTCTCCTACATTTTTAAAAAACGAGCTGCTTCGCTTTGAAGAAAAACAGTAAATAGTCATAAACCTTATAGACATTAATGTACAGAATAATAAAACAAACTTATTTCAGAAAACAATTTAATACTTAACAGTTTAGCTTCCCAAAATAGTGAGTTATGTTAAAAATGACAACTATTTAACAACAATACAGTTATCTTTTGTCATTATCTGGTGCACTTGTCTCGATGATTTATTTAACACATATCTGAAAATACAAAAGATTTTCATTTAACCTTAGATATTAAACTCGTACTAAGTCCACTTAGTACGAGTATATTTTACGTTTATTGAAAGAGACCACGTTCGGCGCTCTGATTTGCCGGCTCCAAAAAATCAACAAATCCCAGCGGCGAACGCGGTCTCGTTTCGATTACTTAAACTGTCAAACATCGCGAGGACACCGGTAACTACAACCTATTGTTCTTTAATTGTGTCTAATGACGGTACTCAAAGGGTTAATACGTAAAACCAACGCGAACTAAGCCTTCTGGTTTCAATTTTGAATTTAAACTAGATGCATAATTTTCAGAAAAATTTAACTAAACCATAATATTTATCAGGTATGCAGTAAAATATTTTTGTTAATTGTACCTTTCCACGTTGCTTAAACATTAGCATCTGGCCAAATAACATCATATTCTTTGATGTCGTACTTCATAGATTTACATACTCGGCGTCTGAAAGATTTTAAGAAATCATGTTTTAAATTATTTGATATTTAACAGTATAAAAGTATTAAAATATATGATGAAGTTACTCAGTTCATTATAATACACACTGATACAAATACATACAAATACTTGTACACCAGTAAGTTGTACGTACTACACGTACAAAAAACTTAATCGGACAATTTAAAAGTGCTTCTAGAATATTCTTGATTATATTACCAGATCAGTCAACAGCAATAGGGTGTTATTGTTAATAGAAAATACAGCTTCTTATAAAATACAAAATAACTTACAAGAAGGGAAAGACAGTGTATTTACAAAGGGATGTCGCAAGGTCAAAATATGTTGATCCCATGATGAATTATTATTAATGTAGATTATTATAGACTGAGCATATCAGAAAAATAAAAATAAGAGCTTCATTTAAAACCTAACGATACTTACGTTTCTTCATTAGAAGACAATAAACACTTCAATAGTACACTAGATCGGGCTGTGCTCAGAAACAAGTATGGCCCCATACATTGATATGCTTTGTTATAAACGCTGTTTAGTGCAATACCCATTACAATTTCTTTATTTCCTGCTGTGGTTATCAAAGGTCCACCGTGATCGTTCTGTAAATAGAAAATATTTTGGGAAATCGGAATTCATTTGTCAGTCGTCATAATATGAGTTTTATGTTAGGAGAGAACTATACGACGAATGTTACTTTAAAGATAGCCTAATTTTAATATTCCAAGGACTTTAATGTAATGCTGTCTAACGTCTTTTTGCTCACCACATGGTGTTTATAGAAAGGGGTATTTGTCCAATCACAGTAGCTGTCAAATATTCAACGTCCAATGATGTGATATTAGCTACTTCCCTATTGGACGAGGAAGGATATGTTTACACTAGCGACATCTAGTGAGCGAAAATGCGGTAAGAACCATAGATTTGAGCAATTCCTACTTGACTTTACAAGGGCTAGGTAAAATTAAGATACGAACATACATAATAAAAATTTTGGATTAGAATAAACATTTTACCTGACATATTCCTCCCAACTGCGACACCTGTATTTCATTTTTATTATTAACCGTTTGATTTTCTTTCACATTATTCAAAGTACTATCATTCATCTTTCCTCCAATAGACGTATTTACTTCAGGAACCTGGTATTCGTTTGCTTTTCGATTGAACAATACTTCAGGTATTTCTAAACACTAAAACATAATTCTATAGACAGTTTTGTCAAATGTATAGAAGAAAAGCTTGTAAAGAAAGTGTGTGAGAGCCATGCTTCAGCACGTATGGGCCAGCTCGACCGGAGTGATACCACGGCCTCACAGAAAACCGTGTGAGTAAGGTTACCGGAGGCCCAAAAACCCCCCTCCCCAGTCTCCCCAATCCCCAAATTCTCCACAATCCTTAAAATTCCCAATTCCCAAAAGGCCGGTAACGCACTTGTACCACCTTGATGTTTCAGGTGTCCATAGGCGACGCCGATTGCTTACCATCCGGTGATCCGTCTGCTCATACACTGTGGTTTTTGCCATAAAAAAACATGAGAGGATTTATACTGACCTCTTTTGGAATAGCAAGACTCATATTGAAATTAGTATAATCACATTTATCAGGAGTTATTGAAGTTTGTGTAGTTACACCGACGCTCCCGGTCCGTTCCTTAGGTCGCTCAGGTAATTTTTGTGTACACAAAAAGTAATATTCCAACGATGCTGGAATTTGATTCCGGCAAAACGATTTGTTCGTCAAAACTGTGTATGCTTCCTTTAAGTATACAGAATTGGTATCGTTGTTTACATCTGGCTGCAAAATTTAAACACAAATGTTAGGATTTTCGCTTCGATGAAGTAAAATCAATGTCTTCTGTTGCTCCTAGTCTTATTTCTATATCTGGAGTACGAATTCGATACTCCGACAAATTAATATTGTGGATGTTTTAGTTCTAATTAATCCTTACTATGTGGGACAAGCCCATAGGTGCTTATGGGACGACGTACTCCATCGTAAACCGCATCATCGCTTACCACCAAGAGAGATAGTGGTCAAACGTCGGACCATAAAATATAAAAAAGTCCTCCACAAACCGTTAAAACTACTACAACATCTGTAAGCAAGGATTTATAGAAGATACAACCATGAAAACACCGGAACACTGAAGTCCGGCGCGTCTCAGGGACATGAATACTGCCCGCAACGAAATAAATTTTTGCTGTTTGCTCAAAAACTCTTCTTATTACTCACTCTATTTTGGATTATCACCATTCGCAAACTTGATTTCCCAAAGGTAAAGAATCTGATAATTTATCTATATCTAGTTTTAAATACTTACTCCTTTTGGCCTAGCCGCACCCCAACCGAGAACTAAGCCAAATGAATTGGCTGTCTCTATTTTAATATCGTAGTTGATTGATATAGCTTCAGGTTCATAAGAGCATACAGTGCGGTAACTTGTATCAAGGAAATTATAAGGTTTCTCAACTATTCCTATTCCAATGTCGAATTTGATCCATAATGTTGCGTTGTAATCTGGAAAATGATTCGAAAAGACAATGTAAACAATTACAATATTAAAAACAGCACCGTTTATAGATAGTATGGACACACGACACCAGAGGAGTTACTAATGCGTTGCCGACCTCTTGCGTGAGAGATTTCTGATACTGTTAATAGATAGGTAAGTTTGGTAATATTATGCACAACATATGATATGTAAGTTCATGGAGTATGCAGTTTTGATCTCATTATTAAAAATCGTATGTCACCATGACCATGAACGCTCATGTTATGGCTGAAAGATTTCTTTTAGATCTGTACTAATACTTAATTTTCTCCTATCTGTTGATTTCTCGGATTTCCAAATATTGTTGTTATTTATCAGTTCAATACCTCAAACATAGAATATTTACAAATTGATTGTTATTTTATAAACATTATCTTTAAAATTAGTCATCAGCTCACCTTTATAAACAATAATCTTCACAATTTTTTGTTTTCTCGTACGAGTGCACTCGTCTTTATCAATATTGTTCCCACTGACGTATTTCTTGTATCCAGCGATCACATAAATGTGAGTTACTTCAGTCAAACACGCTGCCGCCGTCAGGACTTGTGTTGGTGAGATTATGACCCCTCCACATAGCCATGAGTCTGGTTGATTTTGTGAGTATTGCGAATTGAGTAGATAAACCTAGAATTGAGATACGTATTATCTCTCAAAAACTGAATACACCTCTTTGTCCAGAGGCATCGTCGTCCTATATGCTGGTGAGCACTTCTGCTACCCACAAAGTTATTCTGAAATGCTACTTAATTATAAGTTGTATTTACTTGATGTCGAGCATCTGTGTAGTTTTATAAGGCAGTGGATATAAATATTATTGAGAGCATCTTAAATTGAGTAGCAGTTCAGAAGACGAGACTACCTCGTTAGCAGAGTGGTCGTAAGTGCGATTGCTCGGTCGGGCAAAGTAGCATTGGGTTTTTCAAATTAATCTCAGTAGTAGCACGGAGTCTGGAATTGTGCCCGGTATATGACAATAGGCTTACCCCCTATTAATAACTTAAAAGTGAAAACTGGGTGTTAAATTGTACAGTGGCACCAAGTGCCACAATGTCCACCTCCGGTAACAGGCCTAATGTTACGTCATGTTCAGAAGACGAGACTAAGAAAAATTTAAAGAAACAAAAAAGTAAAACAAGTGAGAGTAGTTCTACAATTCCTACGATGCAAGGATTTTTATGTAGTAAAAAGGTCTTTCTACAACACTTACCATATAGTTTTTCCCATTCTCGACGACTTTTCCGTTTGTTATTCTTCTGTCACACAGGCTAACTGTACAGTATAAATGTATATAGATAAAACATTTTGTTAACAAAAAAGTAAATTAACATTGAATAAATACTTCTTTAGAGGTCTAAAGAACTGAGGTTGAAAAGTTAAGGCAATTGGGTACTTTCCTTAATCAAAAATAAATTATTTCGACTGTTCAATACCATAGAATATTAAATAACAATCACACTTTTAATAATTGATTTTATGACCAACTTAATTTTGGTATATTTCCAGCAATTTTTTAAGAAATTAGTATGCTATTTGACGGTAAATAAAACACAATCTCGTATACAAAATTCATAGAAAACTGTCGGTTTTGACAGTTCGAAAAAAGTATTAAATATTTTGAGTAATTGGCGAGTGCCCAATTAATTACTCTATACTTTTATACAATCATTGATCAAACATTTGATAAAACTGAACCCTTTAAACTGGGACTATAGCAAACCCCTCTTACGTAAAAGATGTCCACAGTCCAAGGGTGGACTGTTACGGGTATGAAAACGTCAGCTAAAAGTATTGCAACGATTGTAAAGCCTGGACACTAATTTCTAATTCGTATGACCTTAGTATACTTAACTCTGAAGAAGGTAATGAAGAAACAGGCATAAAATATGTTCGACATGACTTTTCTAATAATATTTTTATAGCTTTTCTCTTGAAAGAAATAGCAATAACTATACAAAATCTCTTAATATTATTAACGACGTGGAACCATGCGAAGAATAGTAGTATTATGAGGCTATGGCATAGAAGGTATGATGTATCGATATGAAAGAAAAACTCTTGCAGAAACAAAGAACAGTCATTTACATTTACAATTCATTATATTTATTAACTTAAAACTTATTTTATTTTAAAACAATATTGATCACAAAAAGCCTTTGATAAATCTGCCAAACAGCGCCAATCCTGGTTGGTTAATCTTCTGGTACCAGGGTTCCTTCTTCAATCGGCCCCACCAATCGTGAAGCCTTCCATATTTCGAATGTATGGGTACAATACAGTCTAATGACGATATAGTGGTGACACACGAGATATCGGCCAAGGTCAAAGAATCGCCCGCAATGTATTGATCCGTAATATACTTCTCAGCAACATCATAACATTCCTTAATATCTGTCTCCTGTGCCTCCGTCATTGGTTTTCCATACTTCACAGTACTATAAATAACAGTCTTCAACCTTGGAAATAGTATGGACGCGTCAAAAAACAAGCGTTGATTGACTATCGCCCTTGCTGCCAAATCTTTAGGGTACAAACTCTCGTGTTCTATATCATATTTCGACACTAGGTATATCATGATCGCATGGCTGTCTTGAAGAACTAGACCGTCATCTTCTAATAATGGAACTGTGTGTAGTGGATTCTTCTCTAAGTACTCTGGGTTGAATTGTTGTCGTGTGGGTAAGTTCACTTCCCGAGTTTCGATTTTAAGACCGAGTAAGTCTGCGAGGATGAGCGTCGCGCGAGCCGGCGGACTGACATCAGTTTTGTGTATTATGATCGTCATAACGTCAGGCGTCGACGGCGATGTATTACGAACTGAACTTGTTTCAAACATTGCCATTCGCTTATCATCCTGATATACAAATACTTACGACTTATCTATATACTCATTTATCTACCTCTAGATATTTCAACCGCTTTGGACTGTGTTTTGGTCAACATGTAAATGACGTCATTCGGTACTTTCGAAATCGAGTATCATTATGTTACAATTCTATCCTTGGTTATAGATAGGAATGTAATATTAGCTCAGTGAGACTTAACTAGGATTTGTAAATGAATCGTTATACTTATCTATCCACAAGTATGCCTACGCAAAAACATGTTATTGTCATGAACATATTATTAACTTTTACTATGAATATGGTGTTAAGCTTCAGGTCGGAGTTCAAATAAGTGCTAAATTGAAGTTAAGAACTCTTTGTGTTTCACTCATATCCCTAAATTATATGTAATTTTGTAGACAATGAATGATTTTAAGGTCTTAACCTTTAAGGCCTTACGCGAGACACAGTGTACTTTCTACTGTTCACATATACTGGCACAAAAGAGTTTAAGCGTTTTACACAAGCCTACGTTTGTGTAATACCCCTTAAACCTGTGACACAATTTCATTAAACTCTACTTGAGACAATTAAAAGGAAGGGGGTAATAAAATAAAAACATATTATATGCTAACTACTTCCATATCAGGCAAGTCATCATCAGCATTAACATCAGGGTCATTTGTTCTGGGTGAGGGATTATTTTTTGTAGTAGTCTCCGTCGTAGGTGGCTCTTCTATGGGAGACCATAGTCTTGGCGGCAGATCGGAGTCAACCGACTGTTCTAATATATCGAAGTCGTCTAATATCTCTGCTGGACAATTCTTACGCCTGGAAGAAGGTATCAAATATTAAAGATATTAGCCTGATAAGTGAGTTCACGGTTCTGATGAACCAGTAAGGCTAGGTAGATAAACAAAGTGAATAGGTCACTTTTGGCCAGACGTGCTCCTTCTTAGGCCGCATCATCGTTTACCACCAGGCGAGATAGTGGTCAAATGTCGACTATATGTAGGTATATGAAACATACGAAAAGAAAGACTGATTGGAGTTAAAATGCGCTCAGTTTAACGCAAGTCAACTTCTCGAGAAATTTTCTAAACACCCTCTATGAGTGAGATTACCCCCTACTTCATCCCCACCCAAAAGGCCGGTAACACACTTATATGTCCTCTGGTATTGCGATGATCCATAGGCCACGACGATAATTAGCCATCAGGTGATATTTTTTATGGGACAAGTCCACCACAACCTCCGCAGCGATTTAGGGAATTTGTGGTGGGCTTAAAACATTACTTACGCGGAACCTTCATTACTATCTGTGAGTAGACACTTTATAATGTCACCAGCAGCCGCTGTGCTGATAAATAAGTATGGACCAATACAGTTGTAGTCAGAATCGTATAGACTGTTCACTGCTACTCCTATCAGAAGTTCTGTCGTGCCAACCCATGTGATGAGTGGTCCGCCGTGATCGTTCTGAGATGTTAAATAGGTACTTAGTGTTAGGAAAAATTAAAACTGCTTCTTTAGTAATAAAATATGCATGCTATACGCGTTGGGCAAATTACATATATAACGTGACCTTTCCATGAAATAACGGGTGTGTCTATTATCATCAATTTAGGCCTCCTTGCATAAGCAAGGATTATCATCAATATAAATTGAGAATCTATTCGTAGTAGTACCCGTATAAATATTTCTTTTTCATTATATCCACCCAAAGGTTGTCTGGTAGAAATCACTATAAGTGATAAGACCGCCTTTGTGCCCATTATTATGTTTTATTTATGTTTGTCATTTCTTTTTTCTGTGTGTGCTATATTACAATGTAATAGTGTACAATAAAGATTATTCTATTCTAGTCTTTACCCGACAGGAATCGTCATTTTGCTAGGATGAGTTAACTCATATAGCAATAAAATTGTCCCGCGGGTCAAAAGGTCCAACATGGATATCTGACAATTCTGTCGGCTGACTGATCCTTCATACGAAGCGTCAATGACTAACCCGTGTAGGACATAAAAATTGTTATATTAATTTTACCTGACAAATTCCTTGTCTTCTAGATTGTTGTGATTTTCCCTTTTTATCGTTAATGCCCTTAATTCTACGTGTGTCATTTAATGTTACATTATCCGAGTTAGATTTTCGTGTATTTGCAAAATTAATGCTATCAAAGTCATTACACTGAAAAATAATATGACGACATGATTAGAAGAACAATCAACATTCCAATAGGTCCAAAAGGTTTAGTATTTTGAGCAAAAGATTGACATTTTAGGCAATATGTTTATTTACCCATTATTAGGTAATCTATCGATACTTTAAGAATATCAAAGACATACGCATACCTCCTCATCAAAATTAAAATCATCGGAGACCTGACCTTGCCGTCGCATGTTCAAGCATTTATTATAAGCCTTTTCGTCCGCATTCTCAATAATGTACCCTTCAGCATCAAGCGCTCCTTTACCGTTAGTACAAATCATATATTTCTCAATCTTTTCCGTTAATCCATTGCCTTTAAATTGCTCTATGCATTCTTGCTTGTCTCTGAGTGTTGTGGACACTTCTCGAAGGGTTTCAGAGTTCCGATCAACTAGATCTCGGGTCTGGTGGGGAGAAGTATTAAAGCGATTTAAAGTCAACTGTGTTTTACAATAGCTCGTGAGACTACGTTGGTACCATATTCTCCACGCTTAGCAAAGAGTTTGGGAGATAATCATTTAAAAAGTTCCATTTTATAACAATGTGTTGTTGTCCGGTCTCTGTTAAATATCAGATCCTCACTCAGCTCTTTCAACACCCACGAAAAGAGTACCTAGAATAAGTTAGGAATGTATTTTCCTCCATTGTGAACTCTCTGGAATTTTCGAGAAATAATCAGATTTACCTTACTTCCTCGATCACGTCCCCATCCCAAAGCAACAACGCTACTACCTATTTTAGTGTCAACGTTTAAATTGTAATTTATTTCAATTGCGGCCGGTGCGTATGAACAATAGACACGGAATGACATATCCTCGAAGTTATACGGTTCTTCTACAGTCGCCACTCCAATGTCTAAAGTCATCCATTGTGTTGTGTTCTTGTATTCGTGTACGTGTGATAAATGTTCTGTAATAAAGAAGTAGGATTTTGCTATCTATATACTCTTATTAATCTCTAGCTTTTAGTCATGTCGCGGAGAACCTAACGAGTTACCGCGGTTCCGGGTCGACGTGCAGGAGAAGGAACGGGGTGGTTTTTAGTCAGTAAGAGTCTGACACTCTCTCCCGCCTCACCCAGGCGGGAGCAGCCATTCGATGATTTTCCTCCCGTAAAAAAAGCTTTTAGTCATGTATGATACTAGATGGCACAAAACACAACAATATGAGGAAATTGTACAACCAATATGAGGCAGTTGACATATAATTTAAAGAACTTTTTTCATAATCAATCACACTTATTGCTGGTTAGACTGTTATGAATTCTGCAAGCTGACGTAAATTTATGTGTAAATAAATAGTAATGATGAAAAATCAAAAAGAGCAATATCAAAACACTGGAGATCAAGTTGACAGTGAAAAAATGATTTTTATCATCATCATCAGCAACATCATTCATCATGGTCATGGCAAACCACTGATTAACTAAAGGCCTCTTCACCATAAGAGGGTCTTCATGCTTGGTAGGTAGATTGAAGACCGCAGTTTTTAAGATTCAGGTTTATCACAAACGCTGCTGCCTTTATTAGAGGTAGTTTAGACTTTAGAGAAACTTACCCCGTGGTACTCGAATCTTAACAACCTTCTGTTTCTTTATCCTAGTACATTTATCTTTATCCAAATCCATACCGCTAACATACTTTCTATAACCAGCTACGGCGTATATGTTGTCTAAATCTATGATGCAGGCGGCTGAAGTCAGTATTTGGGTTGTAGTGACCAGAGCTCCTCCGCAAAGCCAGGAGTCGTACATCTCATTTGATTCGTGAACCTTTACTAAGTACACCTGAAAGCAAAGATAGGTGTTTTTGCGAAATGGAGGAAGTGTTCTTTTTTAAGCCGGTAAACTAGCAGACAGATCACCTGATGGTAAGCAATCAGCGTCGCCCATGGACACCTGGAACACCAGAGGCGTTACAAGTGCGTTACCGGCTTTTAGGGGATTAGGATTTTGAGGATCGTTAGGGATTCAGGGATAGGGGAGATTAGGGAAGGGGAGGGTAATTGGGCCTCCGGTAACCTCACTCACACGACGAAACACAACGCAAGCGTTGCTTCACGTCGGTTTTCTGTGAGGCCGTGGTATCACTCCGGTCGAGGATTTTTCAAAGATTTGATTATTATGCCTGATTGATTACTACAGACTGCCTCATTGGGCGAGTGGTCGCAAGTGCGACTGCCAGGCAAGGGGTCTCGGGTTCGATTCCCGGGTCGAGCAAAGTATTACTGGGTTTGGAAAAACCTCACTAGTAGCACGGAGTCTGGAAATGTGCCCGGTATATGCCAATAGGCTCACCCCCTATTACATGGGACTCATAACATAAATAGTGAAGTGGGTGTTACATTGTACAGTGGCATTAAGTGCCGTAATGTGCACCTCTGCCTACCCCTTCGGGGATAAAAGGCGTGATGTTATGTTTATGTACGTGTGATTACTACCTGAACGTTGGGTTCTATAATCATTATTAAAGGCCTAAGACCACTGCTATACTATAGACCTCTTCTATATGAAAGGGCTTGCCATTATCTAGCAGATAGATTGGAATTTTTTTATGGAATAGGAGGCAAACGAGCAGACGGATCATCTAATGGTAAGGGATCAGCGCCGCCCATGGACACCCGCATCACCAGAAGAGTCACAGGTGCGTTGCCGGCCTTTTAAAAAGGAATTCGCTCTTTTTCGATGTCGAATGTCGCACTTAAAAGGTTCAAATTCATTAGAAAACGCTTATTCTTCGTCTGTCAAATGTATCATCCTTTTGTTGGCGCCTGCGACATCCGCGGAAGTGTGTTTATCAAGGTGGTGCCAAATTCTACTCTAACGTTACCACACAGTGTTCATATTACATTAAATTAAATTTTACGCACCATAAACCCCTTTTCTGCTCTCGTACGCATACCTTTAACAAGCCTTCGTTGACACAAACTGACTGTAATATTAAAGTATACATTAAAAAGTTAGAAAATAATATAATACTGACTGCCTCGTTGGCCGAGTGGTCGCAAGTGCGACTACCGGGCAAGGAATCTCGGGTTCGATTCCCGGGTCGGACAAAGTATTACTGGGTTTAAAAAAAAATCTCAGTAGTAGCATGGAGTCAGGAAATGTGCCCGGTATATGGCAATAGGCTCACCCCCTATTACATGGGACTCATAACATAAATAGTGAAAAGTGGGTGTTACTTCTCTGCACCTCTGCCTACCCCTTCAGGGATAAAAGGCGTGATGTAATGTTAAAATAATACAAAAATAGAATCAACGGACGTAAAATGTATACTTAACATTTAGAAACACGATTAGAATTAAGTAAGTAATCCTGAACGACATTACTACACTTGTAAGTTAAATATTTTTTTTAAATACTTCAAACTAGACTCATGATTATGAGTTTTTGACTAATGGCTGTCATACACCAAAATTTTTGAACACTTTATTCGAAGCGTCCGTCCTACACGCGTAAAACAGCTACTAATGAAACATCTCGTTTAAAAACACTTATTTTCTATGCCAATCGACCATGTCAATTTGTGATTGGATTTTTAAATATATCTTGCTAAATGTACAGGTAATGTCTACTATGACAAATTATAAAGTAGATATTTATACCACAGCTCTAAAAAGATAGTAGTGTTGTGTCTGTAAACGCGTCCACGACACAGATGAAGATCCTAGTGTGTGTAATAAAATAAATAGTTTGAAAAATAAAACCATTGATAGCTAATAACGAAATTTATTTACAGGTTAAAATATCATATAACTATCACTTATAACATTTTTTGAAAATAGCTATCATAATCACCATTTTTAATATACAAAATCTATGGTTACGTGGGTACACTCATTACCTTTACAAAATTTACAAACATTCAACGTTATACTTAACAATAAAAGAATGCTTAAAAATCTAAAGTGTTGGATATAAAAATTATGGAATCTTTTTAAAGTTTTATTTTTTTATTTTAAAGTCATAGATTAATATTAAAAAGGTGAGACATAGTGATGGGACACGTGTTACCGATATCGATATTATGTAACTTTGTCACCTCACTACGGCTTACCTAATACAGTAATGACCTAAAAATTCAGACAATAGTATTCTTAAAAATATACTTTTCAAATGTCCCTAACTAGTCTATAAACAAAACAATTTCCATTATTTATTTTGGGGCGTCGAAGTTTATTTGCATTCGTCAATAAAGCCAATCAATATGATAAAAATGCCATGTATTTATGAATAAAACTGATATCATGGACTAAGGCGGATATTGTTGACGTATTATTAAAATACGATATTTCGGAAGACTGTGGTTTATTTATTTATGTATTTAGCTAAACTTTCTCCAATGTCTTCAATGGATTTTCGACTTTATTTCAAAGATTTTCAGTTTAAAGTCCATTGAAGAAACTTGATTATAATTTGTGATAGCAGTGTTACCTTTGTTTGCCCAACATATTTAACGAGGAAGACCTATTTTCTTGACTTCACGTTCATGAGCTTAGAACCCTAAAGCTAAAAGCGTTAAAGACTATTTTTCAATACACAACTCCGGAATTCTGTTCGAGTCTTTCTAAAAAATGGCATTATTGGCGTATGCAAATAAGAACCTTATTACAATAAAACACGTAGCAACAATAATAATATTTAGAGAGCTACCTAACCAAACATGGAAATTCCTTACGCGAAAATTTTATATCAGTCAATATGAAACAAACTTATACATATTTTTATTTATTTATTCAACACCGTTATCAACAATATTGGTATTTATTTAAGGACTATATTTGCTTGAACGATTTTTTTATCTTGATAATGATGATATTAAAATCTCCAATGCAAATATAAACCTTAAAAAAATACCCACAAAGTGTATTTTGGAATAACATTACGATAGTAAAAATACACTATGATTGGACGAAAAATCGAATATAAGGGGAAATATTCACTTTACAAAATACCTCGAACACAATAAGTTGAAAAAGATAAAGTTACTTTTCATTATACTGAGGACTTAGTAAGAGTGATTTACTTTTAAAGTATTCGAAACGAGTACGCGTTTGACAATCTGATTGGCCGTCGCCAATGAACCAACCAATCAGAGCGCCGAACGCGTACTCGTTTTTTTTTTAAGGGGGGAAAATCATCGAATGACTGCTCCCGCCTGGGTGAGGCGGAAGGGAGTGTCAAACTCTTACTGACTAAAAACCACCCCGTTCCTTCTCCTGCACGTCGAGCCGGAGCCCCGGTTACCCGTTAGGTTCTCCGCGACTAACGCGTACTCGTTACGATTACTTTAAGCGTAAAAAATAAACTCGTACTAAGGCCTCTGGACTCGGATAACTTATCTTGGAAAAACGTCGTAAAATAAGTCAAATGATGATTGCAATCTCATCTTCAATATCACGTAAATAAGGTCTGATATTGAAAGAAGAAGGAAAACAACTCCAGATGAAGAAAATGTGAAACAACTGTATTAAAATAGTTTTTTCTTACGCCCGAATACTGAAAGGCTACTCAATTTTAAGTAGCACTTTAAATATCGTACCATCTCTTTCATTTTAAAAAGAATTTGTAGCGACAGAACTATAATTAAGCGCGACTCAATATTGCCTTTCAGTATTCGAGTGTAGTAGACTCCCATACTAATGTTAAAACATGTACAAACATAGAGTATAAAATTAATAACAATAATTATTGTGATTTACATGTTTTACGAAAAAAAAGTTAACATTTTAACAGTAATATGGGAGCTTTATTTTACGCACTGTTTTGATGGAGTGAGCGAGACAGAGTGCCTAGTACAAGTTGGATTTACGTTAACGCAATCAGTATGTTACTGCGACCAGCCTTCTGATTGGATGGTTAACATCCAACAACCAATCAGGGACTTACTCTTGAATCCAGTTCCGATCAATCGATATTGATACAGTGACGTTTCGTGCTCTTGAGTTGCTATACTAGCGCCACATTTCATATGTATTATGTGTATAATGAATGAACTACATAGTTTGCAAAGTATTGAGTTTGGCTTTATATTCCGTACTCTGAATGCTATTTTAACAGCTACGATATACAACCCCATTGTATTGTGTTGACATTGAATAGTTATTGAGATTTTATTGGATTGGATTGATATTGAGATTGGTTTCAAGAGTAAGCGCCTTGTGAGTCGAACGTCATCAACATGTCGATCGCGTTAACCTAAAACAAATTCGCTCTAGACACTCAGACCACAAGAACCTTCTCTATTTACACACATATCCATATAAAAACTTTTTTTATCGTTCTTGTCATAAGCCGTCTCGCTCTCCCATTTTGAACAGTAAGTCATAGTCTATTATAGGTACTATTATTACAAAACCGATTATTGTACAGAATGGTCAAAAATATCGTTTAACATTACCCTATACGAAATTACTTATGTATGAATCGTACGATTGTATGATAAGACTTGAGTCGTTTTTCCAAATTCAGATGATTCCGAAACTTAAGAAAATTGATAAAGGACGTACAAACAACATCAACATTTCTAATAATAAGATGTTAACTAATATAATAATTATAATTACTAACAAATATAATAAAAACGGTAAAAAGATTAAATCGAAGTAATGCACGATCTTATTATAAGTTTCAGAATGAAAAAACGCATTAACTGATCAATCTCCAAGCGGTCACTGGTGACCACTCTCCTCTAACTCCATTATCGACCTTATTTCCGAAGTTTAGAGAATACTTTTGTATGAAAAAATTTTGAAGATTTATATCAAGTGATTAAGTACTTATAAAACAGAATATTCGGACATCCGAAAGAGGGCAAGCGACCAAGTCAAGTAAACTTACTGACTCACACGCAACGTGCATACAATTTGAACAATATCCCCAAGTACTTACAGACTAATTTAATTTGTCTATGCAAGGCAAACATACAATTTTGAATCATAATTCTTCAAATAATTACGGTCTACTTTCGATTGTCACAGAATGCCATTATCTTGAAGTAATAAGGGTTATTATCGCTTGTCGAGTCAGCTGTATACATATAAATAAGTAATATCGTATAGGGTAAGTAATATAATGAAGTTTCACCGGTACTGAGAAGTCTGCGGCCGACGACAGTGGCTGGCGATAGTTTTGAAGCACTCGTCACACACTCGTACTGGTTTCAATTGCCCGTAGCGTGGTAAAGGAATTGAATTCGAACTGCATGATGCGCAGAATACTTTGCCTGGAAGGATAATGTTGATTTTAGACTTTATACGTATGTGAGTTAAGGTTTGTTATTGGTAGACGTGTACACTTGTACAGTTAATAGTTGGGTTGTAGATTTTTTTAAATAATGTTGCCCACACAAGGACTTTCTCCTTTGTCTAGTGAAAAACGTAAACGTGGGTGCGTTTACAAACAAACAAGTTCACATACACATGACACTCAGACCCGGAACAACAACCTGTGGATCACACAAAGGTTTGTTCCGTGCGGGAATCGAACCCGCGCCACGTTGCGTTGCAGCCGGTTGTCCAGTCACCGCGCTAACCGTACAGTCAAGATGCAGATTACATACAGACTTTACATAAAAATATCTATTTCGGCTCTTACAAATTACACTCATACAACCACGTCAGAGTAAGCATTTTAAAACTTTCATCATTCACACCATAAAAAATAACGTAACTTATTGTAATATAAACTCGATAACTTGTAGGAAATTCGCTTAGCCTTTTTTCGAGTTAGGAATCGAAACCTTGTCGAAATATTATAGTACCGTTACACTTAGCACTTAGATATTTTTAACAACCTTACAAAACATATCAAAATTGTCTGTTATTTTTATTTAGGTATTTAGATAAAAATGACAGATAATTTTGATACATTTTCATACGTTCGTTAGTATCGCTAAAACTCGAAAACGGCTGAACTGATTTGGCTAACTTTGGTCCTGAAATGTTCGTGGAAGTCCAGGGAAGGTTTAACCTGTGAAGTGTCGGAATACAGATCTACGTGAGACACAATGTGATTTCTATTGTGTCTCATGTATCGACAGACAAGATGTTAAAGGAGATAAAAACGTTTTTAGGTGATACAAGTTGGCCGGGACAGCTAGTAAGCAAATAATTAACTGCTCAATCTATCACCGGTAACTGCTCTCCACTAACTACATTATAGACCTTATTTCCGATGTTTAGAGACTACTTTTGTATGAACAAATGTAGGGTACGATATTTCATTGCACGTGACACATGACTGCACGGTTGGTGCGGTGGCTGGGCAACCGGCTGCCGTGCAACGTATCGCAGGTTCGATTCCCGCACGAAACAACACTTTGTGTGATCCACAAATTGTTGTTCCGGGTCTGGGTGTCATGTGTATGTGAATTTGTATGTTTGTAAACGCACCCAAGACATAGGAGAAAATCCTAGTGTGGGGCAACGTTAAAAAAAAGAAAAAAAATCGTCAAAGTATGAATGTAAGGTATAAGAAGCCATACCACAGTTCCTGCAGTGGTGCCTGCGGCGGAAGGCGGTGAAGTGCGCGGCGCAGCGCATGCAGGCCGGCGCCGCGATGTCCGGCACCCACTCCGGCAGCCGCTCCGGGGCCGCGCTCTCTCTGGCGGGGGGACTCAACATTCTTATTTTTGTTTAGTTAGGTTCAATACTATCGCCGCTTGAGTACACTCTACTCAAGCGTGTCCACTTCAAGTGTTCGCCTGAGTATGCCCAAGCGAAATTAATATAAGGTTATAGAGTACCAGATTCGATAGCTAAAGAAAAAAATAACATAACATCACGCCTTTTTTCGCCGTAGGCAAAGATGCACATTACGGCACTTAATGCCACTGTACAATGTAACACCCAGTTTTCACTATAATTATGTGTTATGAGTCCCATGAAATAGGGGTGAGCCTATTCCCATATACCGGGCACAATTCCAGACTCCGTGCTACTTAAAAAAGCGCAGATGCGATTTAAAAAAGCCCAGTTATACTTTTTCCGACCCGGGAATCGAACCCAAGACCCCATACTTGGCAGTCCCACTTACGACCACTCGGCCAACGGTGCAGAAAAAAAATGTACACGAAAGCGCTAATTTTTATTTCTCTACAAGTCTATCCTCTAAAATTGCAACATCACTGCAAAATAGGTAAAAAAAAAACTCAGCGATGGAGCTATTTAAATGTTAGATATTAACAGATTTATTAGAAACTCGACACTGGCAGTATAGTCGACAAGATCATTTTGGAGACTCGTTTGCCAAAGAGGGGGGAAAAAAAAAGATTTATTAGAAGCTAATACAACTTGAGATCCGCTTCATCACCTATCGCAGCAAATTGCGGTATCGTGTCTTAATTGATCAAAATTTTATGACAAAAATAAACTTAAAATATAATCATACCTGTAAGTAAGATCTCCAGTAGACACCGAAGCCTGCAAGTTCCCGGTAGTATCGAGCGACTTGCGGCGCGTAGAGGGAGCGGCGGGCGCGGGCGCGGCCGGTCGCGCGCCGCCGTCCGACGTGGAGTCCGACGTACTGTCCGCGTACACTTCCTCTGCAGAGTACACGCTGTCGAATGAGCTGCCTGCGATCGTGATATATGGTTTTTAGGTACAGATTCACTATTTTTTAACAAGGTAATGCCGGAATACTGAAACGTTACTCAATTTTAAGTCGTGCTTAAATATCGTGCCATCTCTGTCATTTTACAAAGAATTTGTGGAGACAGAACTATACTTAAGCGCGACTTAAAATTGAGTAGCGTTTCAGTATTCCGACATGTGTCTCTTTAAAGACAAAAGAAGTTTATCTACGTTGTTAATGACGGGTAAGATGTTATTCTTCGATAGCAAAGTTCATATAGAGTAGGATCCGAAACTACTGAACCCATTTCTAAAATCTTTTATTTAACAATAGTGTAGAGAGAGGTGCTTACTTATACTATACTTGACTGTAACATCATTACGCGAGTATGATATGCATCCCATCTATACACATTACATTCTATTACTTTTCCTGAGTGTTTACCATTATTTCTTGCAAAACATTGCCTGGGTTAATAGGGTAGACGACTAATTTTTATTTTAATGTCCGTCTGATAGATTATTTAAAAACATTAGACACGTATTTTTTATTTTCTCACAGAAACGAATAGTTTCGAAGATATATTGATTTGAAATGTCGCGTGACGTCACTTCTCAGTACATTTTATACTAAGGAATGACGTTTTAGCCCCCACTCCTAAACTTTGATTCGTTTTATCTAAGTATTGTTTTATTATACGACAAAATAAAAAAATACGTGTCTAATATTTTTTCATTACCTAACTTACGGACTAATTATATTTTTAATTTTCATACCCTGTCATCATCCCCATTGTATAAAAATAAATATCTAACCACTTCAACTTTAAGGAACCTCAAGCCAGTATTTATAGTGGATCCCAATTTAATCAGAACGTATCATTGGATTGGAGGAAATATCTAGTAGTTTACTGAATAAAAAATCGTTCAACTTACCATTCTGTATAACCTGGTCCTCAGTTGCTTCATACTCAATAGCAGGAGTCTTCTCCTCGACCGGTTCCGGTTCAGGTGGGTCAGGCGACTGGTTCATTAAGAACACAGACTTCAATATATTGCGCAGATCCGCCGCAAAGTTAGTTTGTAATTGGTCCGCTACACCGGCGATACATACGAACAGACGGTGGATTAGGTCTTCGCTTGATCTGGAAGTAGAAGTGTTTTGTTAGCAGTTTTTTATTCGTAGGGTATTTTGCTAGATCTAATTCTTTTTACTTGTAATCAGTTCGTTTCATGTTGTTACTGCTGTGACGGATGAAATGAAAATTTTGATGATTAAATTGAAAGAAACGCTTATAGTCAAAGTAGCAGTTGCTTATAGCAATAGGGTAGATGCCGAATTTTTATTTTATTATATTAAATCATTAGACACGTATTTTTTATTTTCTTACAGAAACGAATACTTTCGAGGATATATTGATTTGAAATGTCGCGTAACGTCATTTCTATGTACATTTTTAATAAATAAATAAATTTTATACGTAGAAATGACGTTTTAGCCCCCACTCCTAAAAGTTTGATTCTTTTATCAAAGTATTGTTTTGTTATACGACAAAATAAAAAAATACGTGTCTAATATTTTTTCATTGCCCAACTTACGGACTAATTAGATTTTTAATTTTCATACCCTGTCATCATCCCAATTCATGCACTCGAAACTAATCATGCTTCACAGAAAATTACAATACATACATAAATATTACAATATTCATATTGTATACTTACTTGAACTTCCCCCGAGCATGTTGTCTGGCCGCTAGTTCCTGCGCCTGCAGAGCGAGCGCTATTTGTTCGTCGTCTGCACATTCTGACGCGCCGCATGACGTGCCACTGGAAATAAGGAAGTGATTACTATAAAAATTGTAACACTGTTTAAATATAAAGTAAATAAACTAGATCCAGCTACTTTATTTATTCTAAAATTTTAATCTCGGATTTTGGCAAATCTTTTCGTTTCTTAAAGGGCCTACTTCTTTTTTTTTAATTAGTAGTAACAGTTTTATTTACTAAACAAGTATAATGCTCACCTTTCATCAACAAAATGATCCAAATTCAATCTTAAAGGACTATTCTGGTTCTGTGTCGACCGGTTATCTAATATCACCATACCGGGCGACCAGATTTTACTCTTCTTCTTTTTACTCTTACTACTCGACTTTCTACTCTTCTTCGGTCGGGACTGGGACGGTCCCACGTCCGCGTTAGAACTAACATTATTGTCTTCGTCAACTAGCGAACTAATCTTCTTATCGGACTCTCTGTGTCTCCTCAATTCAGTGATAACTTCGTCGATAGTCCTGTATTCTTCCTCAGTAGCATTCGCTCCCCAGTCTTGCAACACTCGCCTCGCCTCGCTATTTACATTGGTCGCCTCGTTCAACCCTTCCTCGTCCGAACTTAACCTATTTATAACCTTATCCATTATGGTGGACGACGAGCCCGCCTCGTTCTTACTGCTGTCGTCTTCAACGTAATTAATATTTACAGTAACGTCGCTATTTACATCGGAAAAGGAACTTTCTAACGTGTTTTTGGTGTGTTTGTCGTCGTCTGCCTCCGCGTCCGGACTCTTTAGTACCCTGTTTTGTTGCATGAAGTGATTGTCTTTGATTTCCTTACTCTGGTCGGAGTCGGGCGATCTATCTAAACTAGTGTTCTCAGTACTGACGCCCGAGTCGACCGGCGACTCGTGTTCGCTCTCGTATCCTAGCATAAACTTAACTCGCTCGTCCTCTCTGTCTAGCGTCATCTTAGCCGAATGGAAACTCGTGTTATCACCGTCCGCAGCGTCGTTATCAACTAAATTATTATACTCTTCATTTGTTAGTAGGAGCGAACTTAAATTAGCGTTAGCTATCGATATATTAGTATTTACAATGTCCGCGTCAATATTGTCAGGGATAATGAGCGGGAGATCAGAGTTCAGCATGGCTCCGTTCATATCGTTGCCGGATTCGTCTTCTTGATTAAAGACGGCTGAGTTATTGTGAGAGAGGGAAGATAGTACGGCGGGCTCGTGACTGATGGCGTTGGGTATGAGATACCCGTGACTCGTTGAAGGCAAACAGCTTAATTGTTCGTTTCTAGGTCCGGAGAAGCCGTAAGCTTCGGAATCATCAGTCGATATGAGTGTGGGGACGTCGTTTGTGGAGAAGGAGTGCATTTGATTGTGGTCGAGTATATCGACGTCGCTGGTGGCTATAGAGGAAAGTCTGTCAGCGATCTCAGTGACCTGGTCATTTAAAGAGGTGACGAGGTCATGGTCTGGCACAGGGCGTGTTTCAGGGGCGGCGTGGATGACCAGGGGATCGAACATCATGAGCCCGCTGGTGGAGAGATTTCTTAGTGAGGAGAGCTCACTGGGCTCCGTTTTGCTGGTTTTCCTAGTTCTATCGATGTAGTCCTTGCTATCGTTGGTGTGGAATGTGTCAGTGCTAGTGGTGTCTGAGTACAGTCTGGTGTGACTCTCGTGTTCTGATTCATGTCCCGTAGTGTCGGCCGTGCCTTCACTGAGCCGACGTAGTCCGTCTATGATTGGAGTCATCACTTCTATGTTGTCTGGGAGGTAATCGCCGTCGGCTATCGGATCACTTGAGCTGAGGATAAGAATTCCAATGTTATATTTACCAACTATTAATAATATCACAATACATAAAGATAATAATATCAGGTTTCTTTATTTTGTTTTCTTTCTTTGAGTAAATTAGTAATAGGTTGGCTAATCAACGTAATGATAATAAAAGTTAATTCTGAACTCAAATTTAACACAATGCCAATAGATTTTCCTGTTGTGACATGTAATTTATAACGACTGAAAAATAAGGTTTACAAGTGAGTCTTGCACATTATAATATAACACTCACTTGCAAAGGGCTAGACAGAAACACAACATATGGTCTTTATAATAAAGGAATCCAAATTATCATACTGACATAGTATAAAACAAAGTCGCTATCCAACGTCTGTCTGTCCCTATGCATGCTTAGATCTTTACAACTACGCAACGGATTTTAATGCGGTCTTTTTTAATAGATAGAGTGATTCTTAAGGAAGGGTTTATATGTAAAATACATGCATATTGCACCCGGGCGAAGGCGGGGCGGGTCGCTAGCGTTATGTAAAATAAAACAGTTATTTAAATGAAATACCTTGGCTGCGAGTACAAGTCTCGGCAGTTGGCGTGGTCCGCGTAGAACCTCGACACAAACTCTCCGAGGTCTGGGTACGGACACGACCAGTCGTTTGATGTTTCTGGATCTGAGAATACAAAACAGGTTTGTTTTAGTTCTAAATATGTATTTTCACTATCTACTATATAAAAATAAGTCGAGTTTTCCTTCCTGACGCTATAACTCCAGATCGCACGAACCGGTTTCCACGGTTTTACATTCGTTGGAAAGGTCTCGAGCTCCGTGAGGTTTATAAAATATAAAATTTTAAAAAATATTCTTCATCTTTTAATCACCAAACGAAATATTTCATAAAATGAAGCCATCTGGTGGTGAAACCGAGTTCGCCGGAGTTTGCTAGTTTTGTATAGAAATTGGCGTGTTCTATTTTTCAGATATAACAAAAACACATTAAGACCTTACAGAATTCGAATTCTGCATGCAGTTAGCAAAAAGAAAAAATCTATTACGTTCGCATAAAGACTATTTTTTCACTCATTAGTATATATTTTTCGAAAGTTATTTTTCTGTGTCACGGCAGCGCTTACAGACGCAACATTTACATGCACGACACACACACAACAATAGATACCAATCTACTAGTGTAAAGTACAGCTTCGGGAAATAACATACACTAAGTTTACTAATTCTTCTGTTTAAATTTTTCAACTCTTATATTTTTATTACTTCCACTGTCACATCTTGATTGTCTTTTTTTATATTTTATTTATGCTGCATCGTGCTTGGTGCTGAATAAATGTTTTTTCTTTCTTTTCTTTCTTTCTTTCTTTCTTTCTTTCTTACGTTAGTCGAAGTATAACACCCAAAATCTTCCACAGCTCATCACAAGGTCTAAATTCAACTTGAATGTTACTCACCGGCGGGCAAGTCCAACGCGGCGAGATTGGAGATATCCTCGTTGGTACAGAGCAGTCGCTCGAGCGCCAGCAGCTCGCGCCGGTCCAACGTCCACAGCAGCGAGCGGATCTTGTGCAGCAGGGTGCGGAACGGACGGAACATGTCCGACATCTCCTCTGGAATGGGGAATGACATACTGATTAGTCACTGGATAGGCTTGGACTACAGGTTCACACATAACATAACATCACGCCTTTTATCCTCGAAGAGGTAGGCAGAGGTGCACATTATACCACTGTACAATGTAACACCCACTTTTCACTATTTATGTTATGAGTCCCATGTAATAGGGGGTGAGCCTATTGTCATATACCGGGCACAGTTCCAGACTCCGTGCTACTACTGAGATTTTTTTGCCCGACTCGGGAATCGAACCCGAGACCCCTTATCGCGATTGCGACCACTCGACCAAAGAGGCAATCACACGTATTTAATAATATATTGCAGTCAACTAGCTCAATTAGCCGGTTTAAGTGTGGGAGAGCCATGCTTTGGCACGAATGGACCGGCTCGACCGGAGTGATACCACGGCCTCACAGAAAATCGACGTAAAGCAACGCTTGTGTTGTATTTCGTCGTATGAGTGAGGTTACCGGAGGCCCAATACCCCCCCCCCCTTCTTCTCCAATCTCCCCAACCCCTGGATCCCCAACGATCCTCACACTCCTAATCCTCAAAAAGCCGGTAACGCACTTGTAACGCCTCTGGTGTTCCAGGTGTCCATGGGTGACGCCGATTGCTTACCATTAGGTGACCTCCCTCATCCGTCAGCTTGTTTACCGGCTTATGCCATAAAAAAAAATAGGGACGATGACATCAAAATTAAAAATCCATTTAGTCCGTCAGGTAGGTATTAAAAATATTAGATACGTAATATTGTTTTATTTTGTTATATACGAAAACAATACAGATTAGACTGAAAGAAGTATATTTCGCTTACCTGGTGGCTTGTCTATGCTGAGGGGTCCGCTGGAGTATATGAGCAGTCCACTGACTATGGCCAGTCGGGGCACAGCGAACATCAACGCAGGGTCGTACGAGTCCACCTGCAAGATTCATTCAGTTTCTATTAGTTTACACGCATTTATACCTCAGGGTATGACTATACAGATTTTGTACATATTATCTATCTATTACGGCACTCCAGGGAACTAAAATGAGGAGTATTATCGTTTTTTGACTGCCTCGTTGGCCGAATTGTCGCAAGTGCGACTCGGCAATGGGTCTTGGGCGAGATTCCCGGGTCGGCCAAAGTATTACTGGGTTTTTAAAAATCGCAGTAGAAGCACGGAGTTTGGAAATGTGCCCGGTATATGACAATAGGCTCGCCCCCTATTACATGGGACTCATAACATAAATAGTGAAAAGTGGGTGTTACATTGTACAGTGGCATTAAGTGCCGAAATGTGCACCTCTGCCTACCCCTTCGGGGATAAAAAGGCGTGATATTATAGTAATGTGTATTATCGTTTTTGTGCTGACAAGTGTAGTTGCTTGTCTAATCGCTGTAGTTGTCAAATATTGATTGTTCAATGATTTGACACTATCAAGTTCCCTTTTGGGCAATATATCTTAATTCTTAGAAGAATAAATTCATGGTAAGACAAGATTAAAGTTGTTAGAATAAATGATTCCAAGTACCTGTTCTTGTGTGAGCAAATTTTGTTTGAGCGCTCGCCGTAAGCTCTCGGAGAATAGAACGCAGATCAATTGCTGTGCTTCGAACTCGTGCGGCGTTTTCACGTTCACCATAGCGCTGACGTAGCATAGCTCGAACTCCGCGAACAATCTGGAAATTGCAAGTAAGGTTATGATTTTGGTGTCCTTGAAGAATTCATATAAATATTGTAAAATTCACTAAAGAAGTACTACTTATGGGTTGAATTTTCTAATTCTTCTGGTAAGGAAATAGGTCTTCTGTTATAAGAACAGTCTTTTAATGATAAAACCATTAAATGTGTGCAAAACCATTCAGTAGTTATTGTAAATCTTATACAGTTTCGCAAAACAGGATACTAAGAACACAAAAACAACAATACGTTTTCGTCTAGGATTTTTTTAAGGGGGGAAAATCATCGAATGTCTGCTCCCGCCTGGGTGAGGCGGAAGGGAGTGTCAGACTCTTACTGACTAAAAACCACCCCGTTCCTTCTCCTGCACGTCGAGCCGGAGCCCCGGTTACCCGTTAGGTTCTCCGCGACTCCGAATCGGCATCGGCCCTATTGGGGCATCTGTGGTGGTCTGATGGCTCTTTGAGGCGCGCGCGGAACGCGACGCGCCGAACGCTCGGGTCTGTTTCTGGTCGGACGGGGAGCCACCCATGCTCGCCGTCCGCAGTCCCCCAGGATAAAGCACAGACTATTTCATTTAATAAAATGTTAAATGTGTAAATATCGAAGCATAACTAAAGGACAGGAAAGTGGCAAGAACTGAACCAAACAATGTATAACTGTTAACACATAATACAATGGCCTCACCTGTCAAATATCCTCAAGCTCTCGTGCAGCATATCATCATGTTGCGACAAGGCCATGCCTCGCGGTCTGAGACACTGTTCCCGGAGTAATGACCGAACAGTCTCCAAACTCCGAGTGAGGGCCTTGGCCAGCGGACGCATCGCCGCTGATTCTTCCTCGCGATTCATTATCGAGGAGCCGGCGGCTAGGCACTGGAATTAAGAAAAAGAAAATGTTTAGCCCACGAAGATGCATAAGCCGTCTTTTTAACTACAAATTACGAGTTACTCACGTAAATGTACTGTACTGAGAAACGCTCTGCTGGTTGTCTTTTGTTGGTATGTGAGTTTAACCCTTTGAGTACCGTCATTACAGACACAATCAAAGAACAATAGGTTGCGGTCACCGGTGTCCTCGCTGTGTTTGACAGTTTTTTTAAGGGTGGAAAATCATCGAATCACTGCTAGCCTGGGTGAGGCGGAAGTGAGTGTCACTCTCACTGACTAAAAACCACCCCGTTCCTTCTCCTGCACGTCGAGCCGGAGCCCCGGTTACCCGTTAGGTTCTCCATTGAATCTGATGGAGTTTCTCAAAAACGCGGTTATTAGTTTATGTGTGTATTGTTTTGACTGCACTGTTGGTGCGGTGGCTGCGCAACCGGCTGCCGCGCAACGTTTTGCGGATTCGACTCCCGCACGGAACAACACTTTGTGTGATCCACAAATTGTTGTTTCGAGTCGGGTTGTCATGTATATGTGAACTTTTATGGTTATAAACGCACCCACGATACAGGAGAAAATCCTAGTGTGGGGCAACGCTTTTTTAAAAACTATAAAACTAAAACAGGTCGATTCAGTGATGTTGGAATAATATTGGTTAGTAATTTCAGTCGTTAAACTGTTATGTCCATCCCAGATAACTATAGTAAACCCGTTTGTAATCTTGGGTCAGAAAATGAAGACTCCGTGTTTCCTAGACGCAGACGCAAATCTTGTACACAAGGAAAATGTATGTACCTACCTACTGTACACCTTGAAACACACTGATCTTTGTAATAAAGGGAATTCCCGAGTACGACCTAAATACTTGTAATAAAACATTAAATTTATAGGCATATATTATTAGACATCGTAGAACTACTAAGAAATCTAGTCCCGAGAAATGTCTATAAATTGTGTGTTTTAATGTACTTTTACGTGTACCGTGCATAGCAATTTAGTGTCCGTAATTACATAACATAACATCACGCCTTTTATCCCCGAATGGGTAGGCAGAGGTGCACATTATGCCACTGTACAATGTAACACCCTCTTTTCATGTAAACTAAGGTTTAAAAAAAACAGTAAACTTTGCCCGACACCCCTTCTCCGGCAGTCGCACTTGCGACCACTAGGCCAACGAAGCAGGCCGTAATTATAAATAAGACTAGCTTCTGCCAGCGGCTTCGCCCGCGATCCCAGGGGTAAAATGCCTATGTATCACTTCAGACCATAATCTACCTCTGTTCCGAATTTCATTCCGGTCCCTTCAGTCGTTTTAATATGACTGAGTAACAAACATACACATAAACTAACATATTTTAATTTATAATATCGAGTCAAGCTAAAATCAACCATTGGCAAAGGCCAATGGTTCATTGTCCATTGGCAAAGGCCAATACTCATTCATAGACTTTACGCTGTAACTGAAAGCAGTTACAGCGTAAAGTCTATGAATGAGTATTGTAAACGTTAGAGTAGACAAATACAATCAAAAATCACCGAATTGCTAAGCTATCGGGAGTTTCACGTGTTATTGTGAGTCAACCATAAAAGATAGACATATGTTGTCGAGGAATAGTTTTTTTATAATTTTAAGGAGAATATTTCCGTCATACATGATTTCTATGTAGCTTTAACCTATAAGCCTGCAAACGCGACGTAGGCTTAAAAAATGGAATAACTTCTCCCGTTTTCCCAATATTTCCCTTCACTGCTCTGTTCCTATTGATCGTTTGCGTAATGAAAAGCATACTATAACCTGCCCAAGAGTATGAAGAATAATTGTGCCAAATTTCGTTAAAATCCGTCGAGTAGTTTTTGTTTCCATAACGAACATACAGACAGACAGACAGACAGACAAAAATGTTACTGATTGCATTTTTGGCATCAGTAGCGATCCCTAACCACCCCTTGATAGTTATTTTTTAAATATATTTTATGTACAGAATTGACCTCTCTACAGATTTATTATAAGTATAGAATAGATTATCCATTGCACCATTGGTAATTTAAAAGAAATTAAAATAGATGACCAAAGGTCATAGGCATTCTGGAAATAAGAAAGAACATATGTATAGGTACTGGTTCAAGAAGTAAGCACATAGTACATATTACAATGTATGATTATAAAAGTAAGTACCTACCTATGTAAGCCAACTTCGCGTTCGCCAGTTTTAATCAAATATTATGTAAAATATTAGAACTGCGTGTTTGCATACCTAAGCCTATTCGTTCATAGGTTGCGTGACTCACATTTTAATTGCCCTTACACACCTAACGCCGCCATTCTCTAGAACACACAGCTGCACATCGAGCTATGCAAAACTAATATAACCTGACCGTTGAACATGCAGAAAGATCATACAAAGCAAGACCAAGATATACTGGTTTTGTATAGGTTGACGAGTAGCCTTGTACAAATCAGATGGACATAAGGTTGTGCGGACTTGCGCGTTCCAGTCGATGTGTTATCAATGTTATGGCTAAATACAATGACCATTGCAAAGCCCAACATATAACGTGTGTTTTGTCTAAAGGCAGAGGTTAAAACGCCTATGGACAAATAGAATATACCTCCCTTGCTTTCTCTATTCTCTAGGTTAATTTTATCAAAATCTGTTCAATAGCTTAGGCTCATGACACAGACATAGACACACAAACAAACGAACAGACTCGTACTCATACGTGCTCCATCGTAGGCCGCATCATCGCTTACTACTAGGCGAGGCAGTGCTCAAACGTCGGCCTATCAAATAAAAAAAAGAAACAATTTCGTATTTTTTCTATGATCGAATAATATCATACAATTATATTCGACGCGGCGACTGTCGTGCTGCTACTGTCGTTGCATCGCGGGTCGCGAAATGCTGCTCATGAATTTGAGCCTCTAGTATGGCTTGAAACTAGTCGAGTTCCTCGTCAAATAATTAAGTGAGTAAGCCGAAAACATAATAAAATATCATACAAGTAAATTAAACAAAATAATAACCCTAGAAAGAACATTTAGCTTCGTTCTAAAAGCTAAGCACTGGTCATTAACCACAAAACATTTTTCAATAGTATGTTTGTACAAATTGTAATCGATATTCACATAGAGGCGCGATTATGGTTTATGTGTGTATTGTTTTAACGACTAATTTGGCTAAATGACATGCCTATAGAAGTTTGACCTGTAATTTAGGTAGCTAAAGGTCGACGAGCTAAATGTATTAAGTATTTACTTCTTTTGTTTTTGTAGCACTCTAAGGGCTTAGTACAAGTTTGTCTTAGATTTAAAGTAATCGAAACGAGACCTCCCTCGGCGCTGTGATTGGTTCTTTCATTGGAGCCGGCCAATCATAGCGCCGAACGCGTACTCGTTTCGATTGCTCGTACTAAGGCCTCTGTACTAATCTGACAGTGACGAATCACTTACGCCCTTAATGTCTTTTTTGAGTTCAAGCTTAATGGGGAAAATGTCTTGAAATTACTATTTCACTATCACGATGTTTAAATAAAACATGAAAGTAAGTTACAATCTTATACTATTAAACTGATGAGTTTGTTTGTTTGAACGCGCTAATCTCTAGAAATACTGGTCCGATATGATTAATTCTTTTTGTGTTGGATAGTCCATTTATCGAGGAAGGTATAGGCTATAAAACATTACGCTACGAACAATACGAGCCAAGTAGAGCGGGTGACGCGCAGAAGTTCCCCAAGTGTGTATTACAGAGATACCTAAATGTTAGGCCTATATCCAGTAGTTAAAGACCGATGATATAACTATTGTGATTCTCACCTCAGCGCCAAACCAAAGCTGCCCCGCCAAGTTGTCTTGCAGCACATCCTCAGGAAACTTAACCCTGAAGCCGCGCGCCACTCGCTCGTCACCCAGCAGCTGGTCCATTATCTGACTTGTGATGTTCAGCACGCGGTCCTGTGAACAAACAAATAAATATCTTTAGTCAAAAGAGTTTTAAGAGTAAACACGGATTTTCTGGATGATTTATTCGTTAAAGAAAGGCACTCGCTAAAACGTAGATCTGTATGGTATAGGTATAATACTCCATGCGAATCCCATAAGTAGGCAGTAGAGTAGAAATTCCGAGTGAAAAGGTTGATTATGGGAATAAGCCAGCTCCGTCGTAGGCCATTCTATAATAGGTAACATTTCTAGATAACATGATGTACGGGAAAGACAAAGATATTATGCAATACCCATTTTTGACTAGTCATGTAAATGAATTTTGAAAATTGAAAATCTGCAAAGCGCTAAATATTTCCCGAAATCAATCAAAGTGTAGCTCGGCAGACGACCCTTCGAGTAACGAAGCAAAAACATTTCTAGATTAAATATTTAAAAGCAAAGAAACAAATCAGACTGGATCTAATATTGAGAAGGTATTTCAAGAGTCTAGCTCATTAGACGGATGAACGAACAGCAATTTCATTGAAACGTAAAGGTTAAAGAGAACACAATAGAGATGTTTATGTATTTAAGGAAAATATGAACAAAATAAGTGAACACAATTTGAACATTATTGCTTGGCTTCCAACAAAATTGCTGTAAGCAAAAACCTAAATGAAAGTTGGTAAGATAGGTATTGAAGTGCAATGAAACATAAGGCAGGAAAGTAATATTCTCGAAAGTACGTCAATCGTTTACTTCTGGGAAAATCATCAACGTGTATCCAAAAACGAGTTATCATGAAAGAACATAATAAGGAAAGTGCAAACTGTGAATCACAAAACCACCGGACCAACTTGTGTCTAGGGCCCCTGCAATCTTGACAGGCAGAAATTATACAATAAATTACTTGATAAAAATATTTGTTAGAATTTCATCCCAAAATATTAAACAGATTTAAATAAAATTTTACATAAGATAAGGACTATGACACAACATCCTAAAAAGTCCTTAATGAAAAGGCAACGATATTATGAGCGCTCTAATTAAAACAGACTAAAAAACCTTAGCACTACATTTTAAAAGCAACATTTATAGTTAGTACTTAAATTAATTCAGCTGCTAAGGTTAAGGTGGGTGGTACACAAGCGGGTGGCGGGTTAACAACCCATCAGTCGGTGTGCACGCGACATTAGCAAGGATAGGGCATCGGCATAAAGGTCAAACGCTAATGCCGAGCACACGTGTACTCTGAGGTTTAGAAGTTTGTTTGTGAAAATAGAGAGAAACATTAATAGCACAGTAATTTCAAATTTGTGTTAGTTTTGCTAGCAGATTAAACTGTTTATAAAAGTAGTACAAAACTATGGCACTGTCTTTCTGCATTGGGTGCAAAAAAGGACTGCGTTAAGCGCTGCGACGGTGCTATCAGTTTTATTTTGTGACTTTTAAAAAATAAGATTTAATTTTTTTTTTTTCTCATTCCCGTAGCGGTAGGCAGAGATCCACATATACAATGTAAAACCCACTTCTCGCTTATGTTACGTAGGTACAAGTCTTATAATCTGTGTTTTTTAACCGACTTCAAAAAAGGAGGAGGTTATACGTTCGGCCGGTATGTTGCTTTTTTTTATTATATGTTCTTGTTATATGCTCATGTTGTGTTTATGTGCAGTCAGTTTTTAATGAGCTCATATCACGGGATCTAAGCTCGATCTAATTAAATAGCTATTATGCCATTTATTTAATGTGTGTAAAGCAATTATCAGGTAATAACTTATAACCCACATCTATAACATATTATGATGGTAACTAACGCAATACTCTAGGAAATGAGACCAGGAAAATAGAACAAAGAATATTATAAGTAAGGAACAGTAATTAATATTGCTGTACAGACAGACATGGCTTAGTCATAGTCACACAATCACGTGCTTCGTGAGCCAAATCATGTCCTATCCGGTGCTAAAATGGATTAGTAACACATTATACTTAAAACTAGCAGAGTACCTATAACTAAAGTATAGTCGACTGCACGGTTGGCGTAGTGTCTTTGTGTGCCCACTACTCAAATATATCCTAAAAAGATAATGTAGATATTTATTCTATGTCAGGGATACAAAGTCCTTTTTAAAATATGGAACGGACCGAGGAATGATATTAAAGCTGAGTATATTCTTAAACTATGATTAGTTATTGCGTGATAGGTGATAGCAGCATTCAAGAAATTTTCGCAACCTAACTCGGGTGGCTTATGATAAGGATTGGCCACAGAAAGGTATAAGAAGAGACGAGTGAAAAGAGGGTTTGCCAAGCAGTGGGACGACCATGGCTGGAATAAAACAAATATAAATAATAAACTCGGATCCCTGATCCTCATTCCAAACGTTGGGATTATGGAAAACCGAGAGTTAGGAGGGCTTTGTACACCAATGCACGTCTTTCGGTTGATGATACTAGAGGCGTGTATGTATGGCGTGTGACTGCAAATTGCATCAGTGCGAATTGCTCCACGAAAGAAAAAGATCTCGTTAATTTCCGTATTATAGCTATGAATCCGAGTATGTCCTAAAACTGTGACTGGCCACAAACATAAAGGAGTTCAATGGAAACACTTAAAAGGAAGTCCTAAATGCTGAACGGTAACTACAAAGGTAATATGTATACACACGTAGCATTATTTACTCATAATTACATAGATAACAACAATGTATACCGAGCACACATAGCCTATGTTTGGTATGCAGGCAACATAATTATGATAATGCATACATATGCACTATGCATTAACAAGGTGATTCCTATTGTTCCGTGATTATAACTGTTGCCAGAACTATGAAGAAGGAAGTGGTTTATGTTCTTAACTACTTTCGATATCCTTCCATGTTTAATTTCATATTATTCTAGTTGTAGACTATAGGCGACGATATCCACACCTTAACTGCAGCATGAAATGGTTAAAAGCAAATCGTCCATTCATGTAGGTCACGATGATTTACATACTGATTTAAGTATCTCAGAACCGGATTAATTGGCGTTAAATAGTATCTGTTTTTTGTTTTTGAAGGGGAATAGGCATCGAATAACTTTTCCCGCCTTTGGGTGAGTGAAACAGGTAACCTTTCCTGCCTTTTACTAACTAAATCTCCTTTTACTCCTGCTTAGAACCGGGGCTCCAGTAACCCGCAGCTTCTGTCAATAATACTGTCTAAGCTCAATGCCATTTGAGAAAACAATCTGATGAAGACGTTATAATTATGTTCACCTTCACCTTTAGACTTAATTCATTCTGTCTCCTGCAGTAATTCACCGAGGGAAGTGGAAACTATCGTTTTTTATTTTCTTCTCCTCTTATAATATCTTCTGATTGACTCGGTTGCGGGAACCAAGACAGTTACTAACGTCTCTGAGACGCGCCGGACTTCAGTGTTCCGGTGTTTTCATGGTTGTATCTAATGTAAATCCTGGGTAAAATGTTCACCTTCACGGATAAAAAGACGCAATTTTATGTACACTTTACATACACTTGCATATAAAACAACTAATTAAGATAAAGCATACTTTGTTTCATAAGCCGGCAGAGACTCGGTCAATCAACATCATTTTGTCGACTGTACAAACATGACACATGCACTGTAATTAGTGGCTAGAACACACGTGCTCAGCCCGTATCAACTGTACTGATTACTAGTATAGTTGTTTTTGTTTCTAATATGTAATTTTTCATATAAGATTTTTATTTCAACATACTTAAATATTCTATGAATGCCATCGTTGTTTTATGCGAAGGGTATTTTAATGTGAAGCCATAAAGTCGTATATGGATATCGGCAGCACCGAAATTAAGTGTAAGACATTACACCTACACCTTGACATAATTTACGGTCAGTAAGAGAATGCTGTAGTTGTTTAATCCTCAAAGGCAGACAGAGTTATTTTTACAAAAGTGACAAAAAGCCAAGTCATTCATATTATGACAAGAACATTAATATTGAAACGACATATCTAAATACAAACATGGTCGAGATAAAACGAGGCTAAATAATCTGTTTTATTGACGCACTAAATGGGTAATCTTTGGAAGATTTTTTCAAATCTTTCCGATACAGTTTATCTCTATTGTGTGTTTTTGGAATAATTTCCTTGCACATTTGCACTTTAATGGCGGAAGAATGGTATAACATGATGCCATAACATTACAGAAAACAAAGAGAGAAATTTTGTATTTAGCTCCCTCAAATACTCGCAACGAACTTGCAACTTCCCTTGTATGGGCCTAATGGGGAGCGCTGGAGATTTACCATCAGACGATCTGGTTCTGGTCTGATCGTTTGCGTCCTAACACCAAACAGCTAAAATATAAGACTACGTTAAATTATTTAGTGTACATCGTGTAGATAGCGAGGCAAGTGAGCGTTCCAGTTTATAAGTGCCACAAATCACGCGAGTATAGGTAACTTCATTTGGCCGCTCCATTCGTGATCTAACCGCAGTTTCTAATAGATTCGCGTTAATTTTATAGTATTGTGGAATTGGAATCTAATGTTTGAATTTATAGTTAACGTTGAAGTTTTACGAGTTGAAACTAGATGGTTTCGGATTTGAGTAGATATTGAGCAATGTTTTGGGAATCATCGCGAAATACCAATCTTTAATCTACCTCCTGTTGAGGTTCTGGCAAAGGGTAAATTTATGTATAAGCGACCCATACAGTGGAATATTACGGGTTGTTAATGAAGTCATGTAGTTACCAAAGTATTTTACAGGCTAATGATCCAGTGTTCCTTCTGTTTAATATTGTAGAGACATAATGAGATACATCGTCATATTTGACTTGATATTTGTTTCTTAATTGAAATAACAAGTTTTAATGCCCGGAAATTTTTGTACACACACACACACATAAATACAGTATACAAACAGATGTAAACAAGGTAATTAGCAGGCTAGGCGACACCACTAAATGCTCGTATGTATACTATTTATTGAACTAGGTAACTTGTTTATCATAAATGCATTTAAATGAAGTT